TGTGAATCGGCTTTTTTAATCGTATTTTTCGGCTCACTGTTTTATGAGTTCACCTCACTATATGTTTTTCTGCTGCTACCTACTTATATTATAGTAGTTGCCTGATGATCGTAGTAATATGTGAAACCCAAGAGTTGTGACACAGCTTCCAATCTCTCTTGTGTACTTCAGTATTAGAAACACAAGGAACGAAATCTCTCGTATCTGTGTGTCTCGACATGTTTCTTTGTCCGTCTGTCTCTCTCTCTATTCTATCAATCTCTCTCTCCCTCTCTCTATCTCTCTCTCTCTCTTTATCTCTCTTTATCTCTCTTTCTTTATCTCTCTCTCTCTCTCTCTCTCTCTCTCTCTCTCTCTCTCTCTCTCTCTCTCTCTCTCTCTCCCTCTCTGTATATATCTGTCGGTCTGTCTATCTCTCGTCTGTCTGTCTTTCTCCTTCTGCCTGTCTGTGTGCCTTTCGTCTGTCTATCTGTCGTCTGTGTGTTTTTCTCCTTCTGCCTGTCTTTGTCAGTCTGCCTGTCTGTGTGCCGCTATGTTTCTCTCTCTCTCTCTCTCTCTCTCTCTCTCTCTCTCTCTCTCTCTCTCTCTCTCTCTCTCTCTCTCTTTCTGTGTGTGTCGATGTGTTTCTCTAAGTCTGAGTCTTGGTCGTTCTATCTGCCTGTCTGCGTAACTCTCCTACTGTTTCCTTGTCTCGGTCTGTCTGTTTGGCTGTCTCTGCTTGTCTCTTTATGTTTGTCTGTCTGCCTGTCCCTGTATTTATAGCTCTATTTCTCTCTCTCTGCTGCTCTTCTTCTGTCTCTCTTGTCCCTCTCTCAGTCTCTTTTTCTCTGTCTTTGTCTCTGTGTCTTCTTCTTGATCTGCCTCTCTCTGCTGCTATTTTTTCTCTGAGTCTTTGTGTCTGTCTCTCCTTTTGTCATTCATTATGACTGTGCGTCTCTCTGTTTCTGTCTCTGACTTTCTATGTCTGATTGTCTGTCTCTGTCTGTTTTTCTCCTGAGTCTGTGTGTCTGTCTGTCTCTCCTGTTTTTCCTTGACATTTGTCCCTCTCTTTCTGAATCTAATCGTCTGTCTGTTCGTCTTTGTCTGTCTGTCTTTGTCTCCTTCTCTTTGAGTCCGTGTCTCTGTTTGTCGCTCTTTATGCGCATCCCTCTGTTTCTGTCTCTGTCTTTCTGTGTCTGCCTGTGGCACCACATACGTGGCTGTACATTTACCTATGCGTGGGACATTCACACCCAAACACACGCACACACACATTATCTATCTCTGTCTGTTATTCTCCTGAGTCTGTGTGTCTGTCTGTCTCTCCTGTTTTTCTTAATGTTTGTCCCCCTCTTTCTGTCTTTCTGGGTCTGATCGTCTGTCTGTTCGTCTTTGTCTCTTTCTCTCTGAGTTCGTGTCTCTGTCTTTCTGTGTCTGTCTGTCTCTATCTCTGTGCCGGCCCACTGTTCTGCACATAATGAAATTGTGTGGCACCACAGACTTGGCTGTATATGTACCTATGCGTCGGACATTCATACACCCACACACACACACACACACACACACACACTCGTACGCTCGATCATACAAGTACATGTAGTACTGCAGAAGTCACATCAGAGATATTATTAAAACTCTCTCTCTCTTGGGTGCAGCGGCAACTTCCTTGACACTGTCTCTCTCTCTCTCTCTCTCTCTCTCTCTCTCTCTCTCTCTCTCTCTCTCTCTCTCGCGCGCGCTGTGCCTGCCGCTGTGCTGTCATACAGATAGTGAAATTGTGTGGCACAGAACACGTACATGACTGTATATTTACCCACGCGTGGGACATTCACGCATGCACACACACTCACACACACACACACACACACATGACCTGCAGCAAATAACATTTCATAGCTACAGGACCTTCAAAGAAAGTCATGGTGTCAAGAAGATATACAATGTCATGTAGAAGGATAATTGTAAAACAGCTTGCTGTCTAGAGCATTGGTAATATAAATTATCATATAATACATGTAGTAGGGAAACTCCTAGAGAGTCAAACTATCGGATAAATTAATGGCAAGCGAGAGTCTCTACTTTTTAGAGTAGAGTGGGTGGGTACGCAGACCAGCGTAAGTCATAACAAATATTAATTGATAATAAAGTGTAACCAATGCTGGTAATGGATCATGTGTGAGCGACCAAAGAGGCGTACATCACATGTCCTGTACCACTATAACCACACACAAACATCCAGGAGAATTTCACGTACCGATGGATCTATCATGCTGCCGGGATCCCTCATATATCTCATACTGTGGTACATAACCATCGGAGAATTGCAAGGACCTAAATACAGCAAGCAAATCAGGGACATTAGGTGCAAGACCCGTTGTTCTAGTTGTCTAGACTGCACTGTGTTCTTGAAAATACTGAGCCTCCACGTTGTATCTGCATGTGGCATCCGTTGATCTCATTTGAGTAGTAGTAGTAGTATGCATGCACTGCATTACGTTTTGATGAAAGGTTCGATAGCTGCTGAATGGGTTTATCATTTGGCTTCCTGTGTGGGTATTGTTTCTGTGGATTGGTTCGGAGCAATGTTCAGATGGTCCAGGCATCTGGCCAATTAATTATGGCAGTCCAAGCTAGTTGAATATCCGGATCACTTTCTCTCATCTGGTCTACACTCCATCCGCTTGCATCCATAAGCAATGCAAACGCGTTGTCCATTGCACACTGTGACAGGCATGTAACTTCTGCATGCAACTCTGGGAGAGCGCACAGTGGCAGGACGAATATTCCCGTGAAGTTGCAACATGATCTGAGCATAATCGTAGGACATCAAGTCTTGACACTACTTGTGACATGATCAATTCTGCTATGCTCTAATGCAGACTAGCAATAAGAGGCATTTGTCAGATACTAGTAACCATGAGGTGCTGAGACGATCTGCTATAAATACTCAAATAATCTGTCATCTGCCTGCTCCAACTTGGCTGTCCTCCTGACAAGTGAAAACTGCTGGCGTCTTCAGGGCCATAAACACCATTATTGGCATTAATCCAACGCCTCCCTAGGCTAGGCCCTTGCTCCTCATCTCTGCAGCTTCTAACAATAGGTCTGGCACAACGAAAAACTAAACTTGATACTTGGAGCTCTTAGTTCAAGCTACATTTTCAGAGTCAGGAAGTTTCAAATGGCAAGAAACCCAGCTTCTCTTCACCATTGGCATCACGAGCAATGACCATTATCAGCCAGCAATGTTACTAGAGAAAATGCCAAAGGCGCTGGCGTGAACAGAAAGCTTTTCATGCAGCAACGTTTCCTTCTCAGCAAAAACAAATAAAAAGGAAAGGAACAAAAAAGGAGCAACACCAGGGATTTGTCCATACCCGGTAGGTGTGTAGTCCCTGGAAAGGCTCTCTCACAGATTCCAGTACAAAGGCCACGGACAAGTGTCCCACTGAGATGCGGTCGCTTGCCCGGACCGCTGGGACGCGGACACCTCCGAAGAGCAGCCTGTGACGTTTCTTTTTTTATGAAAGAAAATCCGCAAAAATAGATAAGCTTGTCCCTGGCTTTAGTCCGATAGTGACAAGCTTCTCACCCGGTTTCAAACAACTGGATTCTAGTCAGTGCAGGATGAAAATGCAATGATCATTCCCCATGATCATGGCTGATGGCCATACTTTCTCCCCTACTTGAAGCTTCTGCATGGGATGCCCAGTGGGGAGGGGACTTGGGGACAAAGCCTGCCCAAAACACCAGCATATCATGCCCTCGTGACCAGACATGCATGCAGGACCAACCCATGCAACCACTCACCCCACCAGGGTCAAACTGGCTAGTTGCTTACAAAAGTGTAGTCAGTGAGTGTGTCAGAGCATGATGAAAAACGGTTCGGCCCTTTCCACCACCACCCGTGACAATGGCTGGGGGCATGGGGAGGGGACAAAACTCAAAACAAACAAAACAAAAACTACAACCTGGCCCACAAGACCGCCGAACCACCCACCGACGCACGCCAGACAGAGCTAGACTAAGTACTGTAGTACGAGTCGTAGGGAGAAGAAGAAAAAGCTGATGAAAACTGAAAAAGGAAAGAAAAGAAAAGAAAAAAGTGTATAGCACGAGGTATTCCCAGGCGATCACCCATCCAAGTACTAGTGCTAACCTCGCCCGAAGTTGCTTGACTTCGGTGGAACCGCCACGGTGAATTCATGTGAGGATTAAAATTGGAGGTACATGTACCTTTCTCACCGGGCAACTTACAAATGTAGTGCCGTCCCATCTTGAGGACCATGCAAAGAAAAGGATGCTGTTTTCTCAAATACAGCGGTCCTGGGAGCACGATTTACGAGTATGCTGGCATTCTTTCATCCCACAGTTTCACCGGTAGTAGGTGGTGTACATGTACACTATTAACAACAATAAATAATAAATAAATTTCACGGTTCGCTGAGACTCGGCTGGAAGCCGAGTTTTCCGCATCCGCCGTGGGAACGCCACCACCCTCTAGGATCAAAGGCGCAGATGCAGCGCCTAAACAACAATACCATAGACTATAATAATTTCCATAGTAGTGATTGCTGTTCAGTCTTCCGCATTTCTGGCCGTTCCTCTCGTAGTGAACCGTACCTGAAATACTGTAGTGCCGCGTATAAAAGCATGAGCTGTAAAGAAGCATGACTCGAATAGAAGCCGATTTTTTCGAAGCGCGCTGTGACACAGAAGCACGATTTGAATAGAAGCCGCTCTCTGCTAAACACATGTGCAAGTACATGGGTGGCAGTATGCACTGCAGAGTGTAGACTGATGATGTTGACATAGAAGCATATTTTGAATAGAAGCCTAACTTGAATAGAAGCATGGTTTGAACCCTGGCTTATACGGCCGTAAGCACCTGCTTTTGTACGCGACATTACGGTACCTGAAATTCTCCCCGATTGGCTCGTTTCCGGAATGCAACACATCCTGATAAGGATCTTCCCGTGATGTGAAGACAACAGAGCTTAGATAGCTATCTACAACACATATCCAACTTGCAGTTGTGTGGAATTTCAGCCGTGATCCCAGAACGCTCGTTCTGCGGAAAACAAAAACATATTCAAACAGAAAATTAAGAAATTCACCCGAATAACTGGCTCGTCACCAGGGCAAGTGACAGCAGGCAAGAAGTGAAGGTTCTCAAGGGATACTCGGATTATATGACCAAATATCTCAGAAAGTGGCGGGCCGTAACACGATGGTATAATTGTTATCTAGCCAAACCACAGCACAATGCTCAGCAGGCTGTATATCGATTAGCACATTCAACCATTAGGCAAAAAGTTCAGCATCATATCAAATCTCACTAAAAATGCTACGCTCTTTCAGAATCCTGCTGTGCGTCTTCACCAGGCTGCTTCACGTGCTCCTGCTGGTTGGGGTCTTCTTCTGCTGGCTCCTCATCTGATGCAGGCCGAGCAGCATTGTTTTCAGGATTTTCATGCTGCCCCTCTCCGGCATTTTCAGGACCAGTTTCTCCATCATGGTTGCCGTCTTCTGGGTGCTGATCTTCTTCGTGTTGCTGTTCATTGTCAGTCTGAGTTCCAGCATTGTGCTGATCGTCCTTCATGTCAGAATCAGCGTGTTCATCTCGGGGGCTCTCCTCTTTGCTATGCTCCCCAGGTTCGCGAGCATCTCCGGTCTTCATTGGTTTGTTCTGTTCCTCGCCACCTTCCTGTGGAGCTTCTTTCGGTTCATCACCTCCTCCTTCCTTCACCTCAGTCTGTTTGTCACTTCCCTCTGGATTGCCGTCCTGTGAATCAGGATTTTGTGAGTGATCTCCCTGAGGGTTCTGTTTATCATCCTCTTCGCTGTGCCCTTCTTGTGATAGCTGGTGCTGATCTCCCTGGCTGCTGGGCTGTTCATGTGCTTCTTGCTGCTGCCCATGCTCCTGATCCTGTTGGTGTTGTTGGCCCTCGTCCTGTTGAGATTGTCCCTGGCCCTGCTGCTGTTCTTCAGTCTGGCCTTCCTGGGGCTGTTGCTGATCCTGACCCTGCGGTGGCTGCTGTTGTTCTTGGTCCTGTTGGGATTGTTGGTCCTGCTGCTGTTGTTGGTCCTGTTGCTGTTGTTGGTCCTGCTGCTGTTGTTGGTCCTGCTGCTGTTGTTGGTCCTGCTGCTGTTGTTGGTCCTGCTGCTGTTGTTGGTCCTGCTGCTGTTGTTGGTCCTGTTGCTGTTGTTGGTCCTGTTGCTGTTGTTGGTCCTGCTGCTGTTGTTGGTCCTGTTGGGATTGTTGGTCCTGCTGCTGTTGCTGGTCCTGACCTTGCTGCTGTTGTTGGTCCTGCTGCGGTTGGGAGTGCTGCTCTCCTTGCTGCTGCTGCTGCTGCTGGCCCCCTTGATGGTCTTGTTCCTGGCCGAGGCGATGCGGTTCCTCTTGTTCCTGGTGTTGCTGCTGTGGCAGTCGCTCTTGCTTTGCAGTTTGGTACTTATCCTGTGGAGGGAGGCCTTGTGAACGTCCTTGAGGCGCTGCAACAACAGGACACAGGAATGATGCATACGGTAACTCAGAAGCACATAATATTGTACATGACATGTACATGTGCACCCGCATATAATTATGTGCATGCACATAACACATGCATGTATAGACATGCACAAAACGGGGCTTCCTCGCTATTGAACCAGTAAACCGAAGCCCAAGTATTGGGGGTCGACTTTTAGCCGGTAAAATATGGTACGCGGAACTTATTGGGATACGTTTGTGAATTATTTGTCTTTCATGTCCGTTGGTTCGGGACTCGCAATGATGTCACGAGTCACGACAAACAGGTCAGTCGATTCTCAGCTTACAATTATTAGTAGTATTTATCCAACAACACATGCAAGCTGCATACATAGCACAGCCTGCACGGCATTTTACTCCTTTGCCTTCTTTCGACAACAAAGAAAAGATCAAACAGTGGTACGGTGGGGGGGGGGGGGCAAATACACTAGCGTACATACAGTACACGTGCATTGATCCACGCACACCACTCACAACGTGTTTCAAACTGGTACTACAGATGGCTATACATGTAGATGTGCGGACACATGCACGCATGTGCCGGCTCCATGCATATCAGAAACAGCGCGAGAGAGATCGCTGACCATACCTATCTTTCCCCCTACGAAGTTAGCTCCAAGTCTGGGAACGGCTGCCTTTGCAAAGTGCGCAGCAGCAGCACTAAACTTGTTGCTGCAGGGAAGCACACACACACACACACACACGCACACACACACACACACACACACACACACACACACACACACACACACACACACACATACACACACACATCGCGCACAAAATACTCCATGAGCCTTGGTCGCGACAGTATGTGAAATACACCTCGGGTAGGTTGACTGACGGTAAAAGATAGCCAGCTGAACCCTCAGCCGAAGCTACTTCCAGGACTTGTGCTGAAAGGCTGAGAATTACGATCTAGCAAACGAACAAAAGATCTCCCCCTCCCCCCCCCCCCCCCCCCCCCCACACACACACACACAAAAGAGTTCTCAGTAAGCAAAAATTCGTGACTATTAAACACAGCTTTCCATTAAAAACTCTGGTATTTTCTACAACCAGGAAACCTTACCGAAAGACTCCGGCATCTGGCAGGTAAAAGGGAAGTGAGAGCAAACGCTACATGTAGTACCAGGGCATTGACTCAGACAAAGAAACCAAGACTCCGTGAATCTCAATGATAACCAACAACAGCAGCAGCAGCAGCAGCAGCAGCAACAGCAGAACTACAAGTAGGAGCACAGCTTACCGTCCCATTGACTCCTGTACAGTCCGTTCATTCAATTCTTTCTGACGTAGCTGATCTTGGCAGGCGGCAAGTTGATCCTTTAGCTGTGAGCGCTCCTGCCGTATCTGTTCGGCTTCCTCCTCTTTTCCTTTGTGAGCAGCCACCTGGCTTTCCATCTGTGTTAGCCTTTCTGACTGTTGATCATGTTCTCGCTTTAGGTTGTCAAAGTCACCCTGTAAGGTCTTGTAATCGGATTTGCTGCGATCATGTTCCGTCTTCACATCTCCATGGGCTTGCTTTAGGCGCTCAAGGTCAGACTTTGACTCTTCTAGCTGCGTCAGGATTGTCTTCTTTTCTCTCTCTAGGTCCTCTTTATCAGTCTCAGCAGATGCTTTGGCAGCCTGGTAACGATGGGGGAATGTTATATCACATGCAACCGAAGCACAAACGCATTCGTTCATGCATGCATGCACACACACACACACACACACACACACACACACACACGCATGCACGCCCGCACACACATACATACACACACACAGATACACACACGCACACACGCGCACATGCATACACACAGACATACACACAGACACACACAAACACATACATACACACATGTACACACACAACGTTATATGTACACACACACACACCACACACACGCACGCACGCACGCACACACACACACACACACACACACACACACACACAAGCGATTCAAAAGTCAATCACGAGCATGTACATGTGATGTAGCTGAACCAAAGAGGCTAGCCTAGACTTCAAGATGCATGCTCTAGCAATAATTGCTGCATGTCCTGCGTGCTAAGATGCACACACGCATGCATGAATGCATGCACCCACCATGCCCACTCACACACGCCCCCCGCTCACACACAAATACGCACATGGCCCGGAAATGTGCGTGCACAAAGTGGCTGCATCGGTTACCTTTTCTTCCTTGAATTCTGTCTGCAGCTTAGTGACCTGCAGCCTGCAGTCTGCATGAAAACAAAGTACCAGAAACATCACTAGCTCTCACTTGCTTTATAACTGAGCCATTGTATGATCCCTGTACACAAAATCATCATGGCACATCGGCACATTTGCGGGCAGTCAAGCGGCATTGCACAAGTAGTCGTAACTGGCAACTGTGTACACACTTACTTTCCGCTTCTTCCTCGGCTGTTTTCAATTTCTCCATCGTTTGTGCCTTTGAGCTCGAACATTCTAGAAAAAGAAAAGGAGGAGAGCATAAATAATCGAACAGATGGTGAATATTGGCTGCTGCAGCGGAGCCTCCATTATCAGTATATTGGAGAAAGATGGTAAAGGAAGTATAAAGTTAAAGGGGAAGTTAAGGCAAAAATTAAAATTTCACCAGTTGTAGTCTTCGGGGTGCTGAGTCGAATGGTCTTGGTCCGAGAAAGCTGAGACGCTCCCTTCCTACTTGAATCCCAATCGAACTCGCGCACTTCCACCGAAACTGGGTGACTGCGCCCTACTAGATGGGGATTTGTATGCAAAATGTCACTAAAAGCGCCGTTTCGTTCTTATAAAAGCACGGATGACCGCGATTGGCCCATATGTTATAGTCTTTTGGACGCTGAGTTGACTGGTTTTGGTCCGAAAAGGCTGCGATGCAGCGTTCCTCCTTTATTCCCAATCGAACATGGCTGAACAAGTGGTCACGTGCTCCTGGGTGCCCAAATCACCTGGTCACCACGCCAGCAGGCGACAACTTTCACACCAAGGTTCAACTCGAGTTCAACTCGAGTGACAGGACTGCACCCAAAAAAGGTCAAACAGGCTAGTAAGTTGTACCCTGCAGGCACGGTGACCAGCTGACTGGTGTACGCAGGAGCACGTGACCGCTTGTTCAACCATGTTCGATTGGGAATAAAGGAGGAACGCTGCATCGCAGCCTTTTCGGATCAAAACCAGTCGACTCAGCGTCCAAAAGACTACAACATATGGGCCAATCGCGGTCATCCGTGCTTTTATAAGAACGAGACGGCGCTTTTAGTGACATTTTGCATACAAATCCCCATCTAGTAGGGCGCAGTCACCCAGTTTCGGTGGAAGTGCGCGAGTTCGATTGGGATTCAAGTAGGAAGGGAGCGTCTCAGCTTTCTCGGACCAAGACCATTCGACTCAGCACCCCGAAGACTACAACTGGTGAAATTTTAATTTTTGCCTTAACTTCCCCTTTAATATCGACACTCCGGTTAGTGAGTTGGTGGATCATAAATAAACAACATTTCTGATATTATGAAAAGGATCATGGCAGATTGAGACCAACTATGTTGCCACACATGTTAAATAGTACCGTAAATGACCGTTGATCCCCCCCCCCCCCCCCCTCCCACACACACACACCGCTTCCCAGCTGGTTTTTCGGCAGGGGACGGGAATTAGATCAAGTCGTTCAAGTGCAGTACGATGTACAACAACAAAGCAGAAGATCAGACCTGGAATGCTGGATTGTGCACATTTTCATCCTGCACTCGCACGCATTGTGTACAGCAGTACATGTGTCAGTTCAACATCGTATTTTGTTGCATACGCCGACGTCGCTTCAAAAGCAGAAATTCGACAGCGGGGCGGGAATTGGAGTGGGGGCGGATCAACGGTACAGTTTACGGTAGGTGCATTGCTCACTAGTCACTACACTGCCGCACACCGTGTGATGTACAATCAGTACAGTGTGTCGGTGCATGGTCACAGTGTGCAGTAGGCTAGCCTCATGCGCCATGGGTCACCAGCACACACAACATGCCGGGGGCGTCGGCAAGTAATATATTTAGGGTGGTAACAGTCAGCCATCGGAAGTTCAATTTACACGTGGGGAGGGTTGCTGAGCCGAAACATTTCGGAAATTTAGAGCCCAGATCAGGGTATTTCATTGATTCACAGGGTACCTGGGGCAAAAAGTGGTACAGTCAATACCGTAGTGACCGCACCGTGTCCGACGCCCCTGCATGCTCATGTTAATGGTGTGGAGCTTTCGGTGTCACTTCAATTGGCCCAGTTTGCCGGCCAGCAGAGAAAGGCTCCATCAGTGCATAGTTCACTCTCATTACCCCGGCACATTCAGAGTTCCGGTCGGACCCGAGTGTACTGCACACAAAAGGTCTCGGCAGTCTGCACACAATCCACGGCTCACAGACACCATGATGCAGATGTGGCCACCAAACCAGAGTGCATTTACATGCAAGCCTGCGGATGAATGCGTATACCAGGCACATGGATGTGTACATGGTCACCGTGAACATGTACACAGACGCCGTGTGCTTGCGCTATGCTCTTATGTTCATTTGCCCACACTATCAATTAAGACTGGACCATCACAGCGAAGTCACTTCGCAAATACAGATTGCGCTTCTCTTGCCACTGAGTCTCTTGGGCACATGTTTGGCACACAGCGCGCCATATCACATAACCTATAGTACTGGGAATAGCACTCGCACACCCGAGCTCGGTGAAATCCGGCCAAATGAAGATGCCTGTGCCTGCGCCTTGTGTCAGTGTACAGCCTGCAGTTCATGCTACTTCACTGTGCTGCATCCCGGAGCTAGACTGCTCATGCAGGTGAATTTCCTTGAGTACCATTGCCTGTTGATGTGGGTTACACCTTTATCGCGAAACTCATGTATGCCGCTTTTTTTTTTTCTACTGCCACAATCGTTTGGTGCAGTGGACTTTGAGCTACTGTCCCGTTTGCACCGTAGCTATCCGGACCTGAAAGTTATTACTTTCTCATAAAGATTGGATTTTTCAGAACGCTTTTCTGGTAGTACAGGAATGCAGTCCGAGGGCTTTTATGTAATGTCCGTCGAGTTAGACTGACCACGCTAGGTTTCAATACAAGTACATGTAGCACCGATAATTCCATGCCACGCTTACCATTCAATTTACTTGTCGTCAGACGAGCATGCTGTTGAGCTAAGAACTCTCGGTTGCGCACCCTGTCGTAACGTTGGTAGCCGAACATCAGCATGCACATGGCCAGCACAATAACCCCAATTATCAGGATAGGTCGGCCGCCAACACGAGAGTTGGCCATGCCAGGCGATCCATTCTTCGGACGCATTTTCGCGCTGCCACTCGCAAGACGCTCGCAGGAAGTAGGTCGTTCTTTCAGCGATCCAGAACACCTCTCCACTGATTCAGTGATTTACGCACACTTTGAAGTTTCTGCATGCACACGCACAGCTAGTACTACTAGTAGTACTAGTAGTACTAGTAGTACTAGTAGTACTAGTTAGTAGTACTATTAGTAGTGACTTCAGTGCTGTAACGGTAAATGACCGGCGCGGCGCGGTATAACTAAACCATGATAACTACACAGGCTGATCTGAGACGGTTGACAATGAGTGAATCACAAGACTGTCGACATGTCCAGCTCAGAACGCTAGCAAAAATCCTGGACTGTCTGGAGCACCACTTAGTCTTTCCTTCATTGGCTTCAACTAACTATTAGTAACAGTTAGTTACTTACTTGTTCAAGCAAAATGAACAGCTGAAGCTCGAACTCGAAGGACATAGTCATTAGTCATTAGGCCAGGTCTGGCAGTGCCACTGACCATGCTGACTCGGTAGATCTACTGGTTACCATGTAGATCTACATGGACGTCACAGTCATGATGATGTGTAGATCTACTCAGTAGATCTACTAAGTGTCATTATCGTTTCAGCAGAAGGCCAGGGGATCCGAATGTTGGAGGCGTACCCTGTGCAGACCACCGGTGATGGACTAACAAAATAATAGTAAGTGTTATCCTCAAACACAGTACAGGCAATGTACTCTTGTTACAAGTACGTAATAATAATGAATAGTAATACTCGGATGGAGAGCCAAGGATTTAGTTATAGAAAAGAAAAAGGATCAAGGAAGTACAGTAAAACCTGGTTAAAGCGACCACCCCACGGTGCAAGCAAAAGCGGTCGTTAAAGCCAGGTGGTCTTTAGAACTAGGTCCCACAGTGTATGTATAGAACTGTCGGTGCATGGAAAAATGGTCGTTAAGCAGGTGGTTGCTAAACACAGAGGTCGCTTACACCAGGTTTTACTGTACTAGTACAACGGTTGTGCGGCTATAATGATTATGTCCACTAACACCACCACCAGTTACTACACAATCAGCTCATGCGATAACATTGCACCACACTGACCGACGGTACTCGGATGTTCTACAACTAACTGGCTATCAGCTCTAGCACATCTTGGATGCGCACTCCAACAACCTTCCAACTAACATAGGACTGATAGGAGGCCCGAGGGGAAGGTGAGCGCAACCAAGACACAAGCATGAGCTGAAAGTCTCAGCTGTGAAGGACGTTGGCGGATGTACAGGTGCATAGCACCCGCTACGGCTGGTTGACCATGGCCGTACCACTTTTCGAAAAGTGTGGTCCGTCTGGAACGTGCAAAACCGTAGTAAAAAATCGGGACCCGTCAGATCTTTGACAGTTTACAATTTGTTTTAGTTTGACTCATACTCGACTCGACACGGCTACTACTTTCAGTGAAGAGCCTTGTTGGCCACAAATACATGTAGGTACACTTGGTTCACGGCAACTTACTTAGTTTTCTGCACGTGAACCATAAAATTCTATGACTAAAAATCAAAGAAAAAAATGTGCCAAAGTACCCAGAACACAGGATGTTGTGTCTTTTTTTACCGGAGGATGTACCCAGAGTGCTGACAGTGCTGCAGATGTTGATGATTGTGTGAGCATGAAACTTGAAGTAGCAGCAAACAAGCCTTTATTGTCCTTGTTTTTCTGTTCTGTCTTTTTTTACAAAATGTTCCCGCGGCACGACCCCCGGACCCCCTCCCCCTTCACTAGGCATTTCCCAAAAACTCCGATTTTTTGCCTTATCGGCTTTTCGATCGGCTAAGAGGATGTCCAATTTCGGCCATATTATGATCCCCAAAGTCAGAATTCGGCTCAAAGCAGTACTTGATTTTGAAGTCACCGCTCGCAGTATGCCTTTACATGCACGCTGTAGAGGCACTAAAAAATCGATTTTCGGCAAATTCAGCGCGAAATTTGTCAATTCTCGACGCCAATCAACAGAGATTTCTTCACAGCCATGATGTCGGCGTCTTTTCCTGCTGGCCGATTTCGAAACTGCCTGAAGTCGTAGTCACCTTTCGTAGTATAATGGTTACAGAAATTGTATATGCATGCTGTAGAGACACCAAAACATAGATTTTCGGCGGATTCAGTACGAAAATTGCATATTCTGCGAAAAGATCGGTGATTTCTTGGAAACCACTGTTTTCGGCGAATTTTTCGGCTGGCCGATTTGGGAAATGCCTACCCTTCACAACCACTCCGTCCTCTGATATTGCTGACCCACCCAAGTAGTTGGGTGGTATGTTGCTTTGCTACTTCGAATTGCAGTTAGACCGCATTGTCATGCGAAGGCTTATATACTGTACTAGTACTCTTGTTTATAGTACTGTTATAAGACTACAAAACTTCATACGTGTACACACAACGGATGTAGTGTTTGCTATGTATCGCACGCAAATGGAATAGCAGTCACGGCACTTGTTCACAAGGCGATTGGGAAATTTCATTACCAATTATTGTGTCTCCGTAACTTCTATGAAAAGATCTGCGCAACTGAACCATCCCCTCACTTTACAATTTGTAGAGCCTGTGCACACGATGCGACAGCATTGAAACCAGAGCTGATTACATCATGAAAATTGGCATACGTACTGTACTACGTAGTAGATCTACATGTACTGTACTAGTAATTCTGAAAACAAGTCGTGACAGCTACCCATCAGTAGTCGAACATATTTGTGAGTCATGTATTCTAACTATTATAAATAGAGAGGTTAAGATGCACGTTATTTCTGACGTGACGCGAAAGTTCAGCTCGCGTTATTTGGCTCGCACGTCGAAAAATCAACGCGAGTGACCTGCTGCTCACGTCGAAATTTGGAGTTTTACGCCAAATTTGACATGAAATTGCGCGTCACGTCGGAAATAACGTGCATCTTAACCTCTCTATTCTTCGTAAAACACGCACGTACAGTACAGGTAGCATTGCACTATACTGCTACTACTAATGTATTGTACAGGAACTACTGCACGCTGCTATTTACGGGCAGTCGCCTCAGCACGCGTACAAGGTTTCCCATCATCAGCAAGCGTACACGGTGTCCCCTTATATCGTAGACACCGGTCATGAGCGATATTGCGGATACCGTAATTTCCGGAGTACATGCCGCACTTTAAACGCTCGTAATCCCCACCCCCAAAGTCAGTGTGGCCTTTACAACGATCGTCAAATAAATGGTACTTTAAGATGGATGTCTGCATTTCGTGACAAAATCTGGGTGCAGCTTATACTCCAGTGCAGCTCATACTCTGGAAAATACGGTACATGAAGTCGCGGATGGCTGAAGGACGGACGACAGTGGCCAGTGTACGGTATACACCAGCCACACTCAACGGCAAACAAACACTAAAGCAACGCCGTACTGATGTGATACGGATATGAAAGTTAGGGGACAAATTATTAATGTAGAATTAATTGGAAGAGGAATCAAGGAGGCTAAAAAAAGAGTCCAGCTCTCATAATTATAGTACATGTACAAAGGTAAAAACGGTTGGCTACGAAAAAGAACATTGGCTCCACATACATGTCCGACGAATGGCTAAAGCTGAGTGGTCGCAAACAGAAGCAGAACATAGGATGGGACCAGCTATATCACAATGCACATGGCAAGAGCAAAGCCTGCATAGTGCACGGTCACGTGCCTCCACCTCCGGCACTGCCAAACGTCCTCAAGACTACAACACAAGTACGGCATTTTCATGTACAACAAGGAGCAACATGAAGCGATGCGTGCAGACTCACTGCGAACAGTTGGCTACGGCTGTGGGGAGACTAGGCACGTTGACGACCGGCCGTGGCGCTCAACAAATGCACACGGTACATACTTATTTTATGTACCTAACAACTATGAACACAATCGCACCAGGCACCTTATACAGTTACGTGTACTAGAGTCCCCCCCCCCCCCCCCCGGTGCACTCTGCAATTGTGCCACTTCGCCATTGCCAACCAGGCAAACAGTTGCAAATAGTTCACGTCAAGTGCGAACATACTGCATACAGCAAGGCAAGACCCACAGAGTGAGTGAGTGTGAGAGAGAGAGAGAGAGAGAGAGAGAGTGAGTGAGTGAGAGAGAGAGAGAAAGAGCGTTTTGACAAGCTGCTGACAGTTGAATCGAACCGCACACAGTCATGTCGAGTGTCATACACGCCGTGCTCTTTTCTTCTCTGGCTGAAACGAATCCATGCTGAAGGGATTGGAGTCATCATCCTGGCAGCAGGGATTCAAAGAAAATAGAAACATACATCAGCAGCCGAAGTACACAAAATACAGGGAGGAAAACAAGGAGGCCATGCGGATTGCCAGAACATGCACTATGGCCTATAAGCCAACCAGCCGTGGAAGAAAGTTGACCAACAATCAAGCTCTTTCTGGATTGAAAACGTATTGCCTATCATCACAGCCAGTTCGGGATACTGACCTCATCATCATATTGAACGTTAGCCTTGCGCCGAGAACTGGCGCGAGAGGATGATGCCGCCGATGCAGCTGGTCTGGATGACGATGTAGTTAACCGAGAAGATGGCGCATCACTGGACATGCACCGGCAAAGAGACCAAAATAGAGTTTAATGAAGATATAGATGTACGCGTACATAAAGCCGGACTTTAGCCCTTTGAGGGTTCATTTGACCTGCGCACAATTTAAGGGCCTCCAGGAAATCAGGCGCTCTCGGACCATAACCTCTGTCTCCTTTAAGCAAATTAGACATTGGACTTTCTGGAAAGCTCTTTTCCTCAGCTGTGCAAAGAGCCCAAGGCCAGGCACAGGGTTGCCAGCATTCCAGGTCCAGAGTGCCAAGAGTTTACTATTAAAGTATTGCATTTTCCTTGAATCCCTTTCTGCCACGCCATTCTGCCATCGAAACCAACCCAACGTTTTTTCATGTAAAAAGCTACGCAGCCTGTACATGTCCATGCACGTCATGCTGAGCGCCACTACACACTGCGCAGGCACTCCGGGTGGGCGAGCAGAGGGAACATCCCCATTTGATGCCTACTCTCAAGCTCTGCAAATTTGTTCGACCATGGCGAACGTTACAAGTGTTGTATCTTCAGGACAACCTGGTAGAGAAGAGTTATGCGAGCCGACCGCTGAGTTTTTCTGCTTCCGTGTGGACATTTTGATCGTAGATATTGGTCAACACATGACGAAGTTACAACAGTGAGCACGGCGTATGAGTAAGTTGGTGCCGGGTGCTATGCAGCCTTACGGCTGCAGATGCCAGGCTTTACTCCGATACAAGGTGATGATGGTACAGGCATTGCCAGATTTTATCGAGCATAACTGCACGTTCTTCACTGCACAGAGACTCCTCACGCCGAACTGCACTGTACATGTATACGCAAGAGAAAACGCCGTGCAGTGTACAGTAGTGCAATCCAGGATTCCTACCAGAACACACTGTCTTGCGTCACTTACGCTGCATTCGAACGAGCACCGGCAGCCAGGCGACCACCGCGTGAAGACTTTGGCGCATCAAATTCCTCGATGATGTCATCGTCGTCACTATCACTCTTATAGCATGAGTAAACACACAACAGCCATAACAAGAACAGTCATCGTGAGAATAACATATTTCAAACAAACAGCAGTAGCTCATAGATATAGAGAGCAACAACAACAATGACAACATCATCAACATCAACAGCAACATCATCATCAATAACAACAACAACAACAACAACAACAACAACAACAACAACAACAACAACAACAACAACAACAACAACAACAACAACAACAGCAGCAGCAGCAACAACAACAGCCAAAAAAAGTAACAACAAAAATACTTGTTCTACTACTAGAGAACTCTACGTTGTGCACACTGAACATATCGGGCACCAAAAGGCAGATCACGTCACATGTTCATTTTGTATCCAATCCAACACCCAAACTACAAAGGCACGCTGGATATGGACCCTTGTGCATATCATGCAGGAGAGAATGTGCGGCACATCTCTGACGTTTGCTGTAGATAAGAAGGTTGACATTACCGGAATGGCTACGACTGCTGATTTCTGAGAACTGAGTGCACTTGCACGCTGGAAAGAGGATTCTGTGAGAAAAACAAAACAAAAACCCAAAAGGATACCAGTCTTCTACAGAGACCATTGCTGGTCCTAAATACATTTTCATCACCATACTAGAAGTGGTAATTATATTATATGAGTAGGTGAAACAACACCACATGTATGAAATACTCAAAGTTGCTAACACTCCATCACTTATAAAAAAAGGCTAAAAGATAGTGTATTCCAAAGTCTGAGGGAGTTGAAACGGGGAAAGTCTGAAGAAAAAATTAAACTGCCATCAGGTGCATCACCAGGACTCGGATCACAAAGCCTCGCTTATGGCCAGCGATGCTCTACCACAAAGCTATGATGTAGTCGTCATCGCAGGAGCGACCGTTCAACATTTCCTTCAGGCTTCAAAACTAATGCTTTCTGCAAAACCGCACAGGCTGGCGCGATGCAACCATCACAGTACCCACACACTCGCACTCAAACTAGCACGCGGGAGCCTCAATACATAAATATTGATACAGTTTGAACGAGTTGAATGGACTACTGAACTACAACTTGAATTGGGTTTTGACAAATAACAAAGGCCCGTGCTTACGTATCGTGCTTGTCGCTCCTGATGACGAAGTGGCACCCCGACCTCTGCCTCTACCCCGACCACCTACACCGACAACACAAAAACACCAGCAAAGCTACAACTCGTAGGGAACAATTTCAAGCGCACCGTATAATTGATTGACGGTAACATCTTACATCTGGAAACTAAAGCTCTCGAGAGACACCATGGAAACCTATTGTTGAAAGCCCTGTGCAATGTACATGTACGGTCAAACCTCTTTAGGACGAACAGCAAGGGACCGATGGTATTCGTTCGCAATAATGGGAATTCTTCTTATCCATATGTTATACCCCGTGAATAACGTTATGCCGTGATTTATCCAATACAATGAGTAAAAAAGTTAGTCATAACTCGTAACATGTCCTCCTTTTTTACCATAATTAAATAGGCTCACCGTCCGAGTCCAACAATTATGAGTACTAGTTCTTCTACAAGCGAAAGTTTGTCTTATCAGTGTTCTCCTCCACTGAACATCCAAACTACTGCGTACCCATCTCAACAAACCAGACTACTACTACATGGACAAACTCTACCCGTTAGTTCTGCGAGTAGCTGACAAGAACTTACGTGTTGATGGGGTAGCAGTCTTAGCTGTTTCTCGTGACCCGCCACGACCACCTCTTGAGCCCCGGCCGCCACGTGAACCTCGGCCACGGGTGGGTTTCGCTGCCTTAGAACTGCTGTCAATATCATCGTCATCTGAGGAAACTGTACCAATCATTGGGTGGTGGTTAAGAACAAGAAATGGAGAATATGCAAAATAGTATTCTTTCATGCCTTGATGAACTAACACCCTTTCTTGGGCGCTTCCCTGTGCATCTTTCGCTTGAAGCTCAGTATCAGACGTTGATATCAAAGATGGCGAGAAACAAATTACATTGACCGTCAAAAGATTCACAGCATCGTAGACGAGAACATTGCAGTGCAAATATGACCCTGTACTACACTAGTACAGTGTAACAACACATCATCGATGACAGCCTTTTACTAACTGTGAGTGATAGAGCGGGTGGAGAAATATCGACCGTGTCTTAACAGGACTTCCTCCTGGCACTAATACATCATCATCATCATCATTCATCATACATGGCCTTATATATTGCACAGTGCCTGCTCGCTGTAGAAAACAGTCGAGCCAAAGGAGGAAAGAAAGGAGCCCTGCTTGACGTCCACAACGTACCATCCGAGTCACTAGCGGCCTCTTTAGGAGGCTGTGATGCCCGCTCCTTTCCCACTTTTTCCAATATCTGCAGCCACACAAATCACAGAACCCCATGCACTTCTTGCAACATACAGCAACTGGCGAAAGCAGTGACATGATGACACAAACAGTTTCAGGCAATTGCACACTGCCGCTTTCCCCTGCTCTCTTTTCGCTGTTAAACGGTTCAAAAGGCAAGCTGAGAAAGAACTTTCAAAGAGTGACAGCCCCCCGTCCCCCTCCTTCCCGACAGCACTGAGTGATCTGATAACTTATTAACAAGCCCAACAAAGTACCTCTTTGGCTTCCGCTTCGTCTTCTTCTCTCAATCGCATCTGCTGCTGCCGGTGCTGAATCTATCAGCAAAGAAAGTGTGCATGAATGCAGAATAGCAGATGTCATCAAAGAAAGAAAGAAAAAAAAAAAGGCCAGATCCATCTACAAAACGTATGTGTATGCAGTATTATGCATCTGGCAGACCTGTGCGCATGCCACAGTATGCCTGCACATGAGATGGCGACAGAGCAGGTGGCATCCATGTAGCAATAGAAGAGTGAAACATAGCAACGGCGACTCACGAGCTGCAAGTAATCCGTTTCAGTTGCTTTGCGCTGCTTGAGATACGACTGCGTCTGGTTGAGTGAGTACTTCACAAATCTTCAAGCGTGCAGGAAAAAGAAACACAAGGAGAATTTTTGTTTAACACCCCAATGCCGAACCAAGCGTAAACTTTTAACAGTGCAACACTAAATACATCACGAGGATCAAGTACGACAAACCCCCAGTTGGCTGAAAAGCAGAAACACTCACTCGGAAATTGCTTCTTTCTCCTCCTTGTCTACGTACTCTTTTACCGCCATGCCAAGAGCTTTGCTGGATAGGACGTTCATCTGGACAGGTACGACCACACGGTAAAGCAGAAAGTGACACGGACATGGTACAGGATCCATTCTATGATATGGAAAAAGCCACCTGTACAGGCAAGTCTACATGCATATCATCAAACTAAGGCTTCGTTTACACGACAACGATTGAAAAACGTTTTTGTCAAAAAAGTTTTCAAAATAATACGCTTCCACAGATTTTGATAAGAGCGTTTACACGACAACGCTGAAAACGTTTCAAAAACGTTTCAAACGAAAAACGGCCTTCAAAGTGTTTTTCAATCGTTTTCGTTCCGTTTCGTTCTCGTGTAAACGGCAAAAACGTTTTACTAGTACGAGCCTTGTACTCAAAACATGCCGCCGCCAGCCTGCGCCAGGCCAACTTATTGCACGTGACCATTGAGCGCCGAAAAATGTGTTGCAGTGTACACGATTATCGTTTTCGTGTAAACAGCAAAAACGTTTCGAAAACGATTGAAAAACGTTTTTCAATCGTTGTCGCGTAAATGAGGCCTAAAGTGATTGGGGAAATCAAATCAAAATAAATAATTGAACACAAAAGCAATATGATTGGTATTATTGTTTTGACCAGGTGGTGATCAGGGAAATCAACTCAAACTCAACAAAAAAATGAAAAAAGACAAGCTCAGGTTCCTCCGGGGTTCGAACCCGGGACCCTTTGCGTGTAAAGCAAATGTGATAACCACTACACCAAGGAACCCTTGCTATGGATTGCTCTTCAAGTAAAGCACTTAGATGTGATATGCTGAAAGTGCCTTTCTTGTCACAGGTCATAAATCTAGATTCAGGACCGTCACCGAATACAGCAGGTCGTCACTGAATTGCAAGTGGTACAGTGTGCATGTAGTATCCCTGACCCTCTCTACACAAACAGATATTTATATTCGCGAGAAGAGCATGGCGCAACAACTAACCAGCGTGAAATCAAACTTTAACAGTGGGTGCATGCGTGCGGCCACAGCCCACAGTGCCCCGCAAACGTTTGCCATCGTAAACTCGCGACTACGCGAATATTGGGCGGTTTCCACTATGCTTTTTACCATCTCTATCCTACACATCACTATGCATACCCAATGCTGTAGATTAACTCGTTGCTCTAGTACCATCGTGCTCAAACTACGAAAAGCATCACCATACTATGGATGCTGTGACTCTGAGCAGAAGCAGCCAGGCTTCGTAAACATCCTTCATCTCACCTGGTCACTCTTCGACATGAAATCGGACACAAGATCCTCCACACGTGAACTGTCCAACTGGTCCGGGGTGAAATTGGGCACTGGCGCAGCTTCCGCATCCGTTTCCTCCTTACCGGCTGTGGTGAAATTTTAACTCGCACACGCATGCACACACCGACACACACACACACACACACACACACACACATACGTACAGACACACACATACGTACAGACACACAGACACACACATACACACCCACATAAGTACAGACACACCCACATACACATGCCCACTAGTGTGGAGACTAGGTGATTGCAACAAACAGGATGATGTCAATCGAAATCCAGCACAGATACCCAGGGCCTCAAACAACAACATGCTGATCTTGGCAAGCGAGCGTGCCAGGCAGAATCGAAGTGCCAAGAGCAACCCAAAATTTGATTTACTGGGAATGGAATGCAAAGGCAGAATAATAACAAAACAATACGATTCATACTTGCCTATTGACCGCATGAATGGCAGGTGCATGTATGCCCCTGCACATCATGCTCTGACTAGTTCAGAACCGGTCATGGTAATGATGCTAAGAGCTTCAAAGAAGCCTACGAGTTCAGATGGTAGCCAGGACTTACTGTAGGTCTGTCGCTTGCGATAGAAGAGAAGAATGTCACGCGGATTGGCAACTTTGTCCACAAACTGCTGACCAAATCGCTGAGAGCTGAGTGTGGAAAAGCCACCACTGTACTCCACCTGCAAGGGGCCAGCAAGAGATGAAGAGACCAGGCACGTTCACACAACAAACACATCGGCTGCTGTACTCAGTCACTACCAGTGATACAAACCAACTCTGAAGCCAATCCAATTAAAATTGGCAAACTGACACACTGCAACTTCGTACACCGCACATGCATGCACATGCATGCCCATGCCCATGCACACACACACACACACGCGCGCGCACACGCGTGAACAATGAGCACCACACAGCTTTCCCCACTACCTTGAGACGGATCAAAGGTTTCATTGGCTCTCGCTCTTCATCCAGCAACTGATCAGTAGCTTCCTCTATCATGGATTCTACCTAAAACAGAATGGGAAACGGAACGGAGCGGACTCCCATGAGTACATTTGAACAACCGACGAGGAAGCTGCACTCCAAAGCATAAGGAGAGGTCAACTTCCTACCAGAGTGCTCTGTGCCTACACTGACCAAAAAAACAGCAACGACTGGAACTGGAAGAGCAAAGCATGCTAACTGTGATCATGATAGAACTACAGAGGTGATGAGAATGCCATCATCGCCTATGCTTCGTATTGAGTGGCAAACCAGTGTCTGGGGTGCCAGTTTTGCCACTGCATACACCAACACAGCACACTGATACCTCGGTTATCCAGACCCCAAATTTACGGGCACTTCGGTTTACTGGGCACCCTTCGGACGAGTTTCAGTGGAAATATTACTACTCTGTTGTCACTTTTGTGGAAATAGTGATGTCGTATGCAATATCTATGGCCTTTCCCTATCAAAATGTATGTGATTCGGAGTTACGGACATTTCAAAGTTAGGACAGTGCCTGGTCCCGGACTGCCCGGATAAACGAGGTATGAGCGTACATGCATCGCGAATGAGGATGCAATCGCATAACTCCTAGAAGCACACGTCGGATTTATTTGGCTTCAGTCAAGCCGCTACTCTAGTACCTTTTCACGCAAGAAGTCGAGCACTCTCTCCTCCTTGGCAGCCTCGAGTGCTGTCTTGGCCAGAACAACTTCAGACATGATGAAAGGACGGACAGTACGCAATGGCAGCTTGTGCAGATTGAACTGCTTGTCTTTGATCTCAACTAACGCAATGTGCCTGTGAAAGAAATCAAATAAAAATTGAAATTCAATTTTTTAACCAAATGCATACATAAAACACACAGCTATGTCCAGGAGTTCACTGCACTACTGGTCTGGGTCTGTGCTCACTGAATTGCAACAGGAGCTTCGATCCAGCAGTATAAGTACCTCTAATGTGAACAACTGTTAAAACAATGTGCACCAGACACACACATATTCGACGGTAACAGCACTTTAAGTACAGTGCTGGCAACTGAAATCCGACCCCCTGGGCGGCGCGGCGTGCCGCCCAGGGGGTCGGATTTCAGTTGCCAGCACTGTACATGATACAAAAATGACTTACTTGGGAACTGCTTCACCCTCGCTGAGCGAAGTGGCAACCGAGGAACCTGGCTGCGTCAAAAAGAAATTGTTTGTTGGGTGCATGGTTGGTGTAATGAGACATTCGTGCTCATGGCCCCAAACAACGAGATCCAGGAAGTTGTCAAGAAACTGCTCAGGGATGTAATTGGTCTTCCCATGTCGAGATCTACAACACAAGAGTGACATTGACAGACAGACGGCACGATGAACACGAAAGAACCAAAAGACCTGATCCGCCCATCGAAGTTGATGCGGAAAACTGGAATCAGCTCAACCCAGCACTCAGGAAGAGGTATACATGTACGTTAACAAGAACAGCCCATTGCATTGTACATTGTACACGTGCAAGCTGACACTGTACACAACGCCATACATGTACTAGTACACAACGCACCATACATGTACACAACGCACCATACATGTACACAACGCACCATACATGTACACAACGCACCATACATGTACACAAGGGCTGACCTGTTCTGATGGATAGTGAACAGGTTGAACCAATCCTCCGTGTTCTCGCGTGGCCGCAGCAGCTTCACGTTCTTCTTGAGAAACGTCCGGTGCAAGCGTTCGTCGCGAATGCTCCCCAGGCCGTAGAGGGCGAGCTTCGTCCTGCCTTTGCGCATCAGCAGCGGCGACAAGGTGATGTCATCAACATTACTGGCTCGGCCAAAATAGTTCACCAATCCACTGACACTGAGTATATCCATGGAGGACAAGGAGCCATCCTGGGGGGAGGAAGACCAAAGCGATTCTTTGTCACAACAACACAAGTTTAAAACTGATGCAGCATGCTGCCATGGCACTAAGAAGAGAAAAAGGCATCCACACCTAATAGAGTTCCCCAGTATAGTGTACTGGTGCTGGAAGTGCAATCAGGGCAAATATAAAGAACAGTCAGGAGTTCATGAACATCTACTTCTCTTACCTCTATGGATCAGCATTGCTTCTTACATGTACATAGTAGTGAACTGCACAAAGTCCCATACAACACCTACTGGCCGCATTAAAGGCGCATTAACGTACCATTCACAATGCTTTTCTTTGCACTGCTTCATCACCTCTCGGCTGTACTAAATTCATTGTTCTCGTCCATTTTCTTTTTGCCTGTTTTCCACCTGATAAGTAGGCACTGTGAGTATACTTAAGGAAAAATCCCGAAAACATGTTGCTTGTCGGAGCCTGACGTTCGTTCTTTTCCCAAGTGTGATTGCACTCCAAGAGAACTATTTGGCAGAATAATTTCCAGGTTGAATTTGGCACTGTAACATCAGCCGAGACTATGAGGACATTGTTATGCATACAGTGCCGCCATGTAAGGGACAGTACAGAACAAAGGTCCAATAGTGAACTTACTCCAGTCGGATCGTCATGGTTTCCATGAATGGAGAATATTGGCATTGCAATGTTGTAGTCGGGGCTGTCGAAATTCACCACCGGAAAGCTGCAGCACAGACACGCACACACAGCCACGCACACACAGCCACGCACACACGCACACACACACACACACACACACACACACACACACAACCCCATTACTAGGGTCATTATACATGTACACGTGTAGTACAATGTTCAATTTCAAATACATGCAGGCAGGCAGCCACTGACTTGGAAGCTGTATCAGAAATCAGTAGTCCACGGGCACACTTACTACCTGTGCATACATACACAAAGCAGACACTACTACTCACGGTGGCGGAAAGTTGATCGACTGGTCGCTGAGGAATTCAATCTTACACGGCCGCTGTCCAACGCAATAGCGACGCATCAGGGACATGACGCCATGCATCGACTTACGCGACGGCTTGTTGTCATGGAAGAGATCACCACCCAAGAGAATGAAGTCCGCCTATGTAAAAAAACACACACAATTCCAAAAACAGTCCTTGTTAAGGTGACAAAGAGAAATTTATACTTCGTGAACATGGGAATCTGGGTACCTCTGCTTAACACCTGTACAGTCGTGAATACTGCAATACAGTTTATGCACCTGGATAAAGCCATGCAAGTAGGCCGGTTTGCAGTAAGTATGATGCATATAATATGCTGTTGTGCTTAGTGATAGCATATACTCATGAGAGGGTGCAATGACCATCATGGCTGTGATATGGGATGCCTTCACTGCACACTGCACCATGAGTCTGCAGGGCTGTGCCTTAGTGTGCCGGTGCATTGTAGTGATTGCAGCCTATCAGGCAGTTACAGTCAGTCGAATGTTACTTGCAGCAGTGGCACAAGCCGCACTGTCTTACTAGAGCACTGCTACAGGCTACTACCTCCACCATTGATGGGTTAATAAACGCCAAAGGTGCACAGTGGGAGGCAAATCGCGGTGAGAGCGTACATTGTGATAGTTGGCCAGCTCCAAAATCTCTTCGAAAGTCACCAGAGCATCATTTCCACGTATGCTGTCGCGCTCCAAGTAGCCCACGTGATTGTCAGTAGCTATGCCAAACAACAGTAGAAAGAGACAAGAGTTGTTCATACATGTACTGGTACCGTATTTCCCCGATTGTAAGTCATACCCCCATTTCCAGGTCCATGTCATATCGTTTCAATACAATAACTTCAGTAGTAATCATGCTCGATTGTAAGTCGTATCCCCTTTGTTGGCCCTGTAGTTTAGTGTAAAAAGGTGCGACTTATATTCGGCGGAATATGGTACGTGGCTGTTGAAAAACCCGCACAAAGCACGGCGTTTGTCTGACAGAAACAACACAGCTTGATCTAGGTTATGTGATGCATGTATGCACCTCTCGGGAGATTCATTGTCGTCTGGCTTCATTCATTGCGGACTAAGGATCATAACCAAGTTGTGCCCACACACATACAGTATACATCGGACAATTGAGGAGACACACTACATCTTACACTCTGCTGCTCGAAGTCTTTTTCTACTTTCCATAGTTCATAACCATGTACATGTGGTAAATAATCAGTGTTCTCAACTACTAAAATATAATCAGTTGTGTATTGGACAGACTAGTAATGAAGCAAAGCTGTGTCCCAGTACAAGCTCTTCCAGATGGTTTGAGACCAGGATTACCAGGAACATTACAGTCTCAGCATGAACAGTTTGATGAACATGGCATGCATAAGTTACAAGGACATCACTCTATAGTCCTTATGCACATTGTACAGATGTACGAAGTTCTGTACTATGGCCGTAGGTGTGTACATACCCGGTTGGGTGTTCATTGTGTGCTATACATGCGCGTTTGACCCATTTAGCCTCACAATTCATGGCAAACGATCACTTTTCAAGCCTTCTTCACTTTGGGATTGAACTAACGACTAGCTAGATCTCTGCCGGAAAAAGATTTCGTATGAAATGCCTTCATGGCCCATTTCATAGTGGAAATAGCAGTAAACACAATAGGGTCCTGCACATTCAACACCCAACCGGGTCTACGGGATTCTACAAGATTATACGGGATTTCGTGCATCTGTACAATGTGCATAAGGCCTATTGAGCATGCAAACTGAGGGGGTGAATATGTGCAACTCAGGTCAACAGGTGGGCTGGCATGCCTGCATCCGGGATCTCAGGCGAGTATGCTAGCAAACCGAAAACTCGCTGTGCATTTACATGCCAAACGAGCTGGCCCCAGTCAGCTGGGATACCCGATGCCTTGGGCCAGGATCTGGGTGACAGGGCCAGTCCAGGTGCACTTACTCAATCACCCCCTTAACCCTTTTAAACTTCACTCTGTGTACATGTACGGGAGGGAGAGGGGAGGGGGGGGGGGGGGGGGGAGCGTGGAGGGGGGCATGCCGCATGCCCATCGCGGCAAAACAGCGGACTTGATTACCACTTGTTTTGTCCCAGTGCGCGACCATAGCAATATGTACAGCTTTTCACACCTTTCCGTACTGCGAAGTGAAGTATAAATGGACCATACGATTGTTGGATCTTATCATGCACCTATATCATGCATGTGTACTGTTGGAATTAGAGAAGCTAGTAAAATGAGAAATCAATGGGAGGTGATTTTGGTACTCCCTGGCACTGATTGAGCTTGCAGAAATGAATGGAAAAGAGATCCTAACTTTCTTACCGATCAGAATCCGGAATGTATTGTCCTCATCCTGCGATGGGTGCTGCAGTCTACTTGCAAACAACAGTAAAAAAGGAAATAGTCATTCGAACTCTCCTTTTTTTCATTTGTTCCACAGGACATAATCATAACAGTCATACCGCTCAGCCATCGGCTCTTCTCTTCACTCCAGGGAATTCTCTCCAGAAGAAGAAGAAGAATGACTCCCCGAACACCTTGGCCACTGGTACAGATGATCAGTCACCGTCTACTCAAATGCTAGAATAGATTCAGAAGAGGAAATCATTGCTTTCATTTTCAAGCTCAATATCAGTCTACTGAAATCAAGATATTCACGTGGTGCACGGGTGGCGTCAACTTTCCCGGTTTTTTGCCTTTCTTGGGGAAAAATCATTCATTTTGGTCCTTTTTTGCGCGCACGTGTGCTGAATTCAAAACGTGGATGTTGGAGTTGATGATCAAGCATTCAAGGAAAGAAAAGGGCAACATTCCTTGAACGGTCTTCTCGCAGAGGCTTGTGTGCCGGATGGTAGGAACAGTGCAGTGGTGGACGGATACGAGCCTGGCAAAGCAGTGCTGGAATTGAAAGAAAAAAGACTGGGGCTTTAGAGACTGGTCAGTCTTTCTGAATTTTGTGTATGTGTTCATGTGTTCAAGCAGACAGTTGCATGTAGCTTTTGAAAGATTTCTTAGTGCACATCCTCTTCAAACTTTCACCCTCTCCATGATCCAAGATTTTGTAGTCTATAACCGTCAGTCTCACGGCATTAAAGGTTGGAGAGACTGTTAGCATAGCAGTGTCCATTTAGCTCAATATCAGCAGAAGTGGCCACAAGAGCATTCCTGTCAGCATCAGTATAGAGGGTTGACCAGCGTTATTTGGTGGAATCATGGCTGCACGAAGTGACAACCATGTCCTGCTGTGTGTTAGTCACAAGAAAATGATCTATACGAACTTTGCCTGCGTCGTTGTGGGTACGATATTGATGATCCTGGCCAGTCTATACTACTCATTTGACACAGTCACTGGCACTCATTGTAGAGTGCCAAACTTTCTGCCGACGATCAGCGCTGCAGCGCGAGATATCCCGAGCAGGCTTATATGGCAGCTGATCATCATATTCCACATTCCCCGTGGCCTTCTGGAGGTCGTTGTCTACCATAATTACTTCTCAGCTAGACTGGCCGACATGAACTGGCACTCATCCCTGATGAGAATGCTGAACTATGTTCAGTCAGTCACTCTTGCCACTCATCATCTGTCTCTGTTATCGCTTACACTGGTAACATCAGCACCCCCATACTATTACATCCACGAAGCCTCGTTCATCACATTCATTGTCACATCTTTCGTCCATATGTTGATGCTGCTGACGATAATGAAACTAACCGACAGTGATGGCCGTGGCCTGAAGACAAAGAGTGTCCGGGTGCGATACTTCTTCATACATGCCATTCTGTTTGTCTTGTCGATGGGCCTCTTCTTCCGACACAACGCATACTGCGAGCCATATGTCTACTCATACTATGCTGGAATGGAGTACTTGGTCATCTTCAGCAACATGATGTTCTATATTTTTATCACCAGAGACTTCCCTGATTTGAAGCTGGTGATGGTGGGATCGGGCCACAAGCGTGACTAGACGAATCTTTGCTGCTGATTCGGGGACACCCATCTGTGGCCCGCACAGTACACACACACACACACTCTCTCTCTTTCTCTCACACACACACACACACACACACTGGTAGCACACCCTGGTGTTCGGCTTACAGACACATAATAGCTAGACACAGTGCCCCCCCCCCCCCCCCCCCCCCTGACTCATCGCTCTGGTATGTGAGAGTTGGGACGGGTTGTTTGTGCCATTGGTATTGCCCAGGCAACATCGTTGTGAGTCTTGAACAGTGCATTCACATGTACTCAGCAAACCTTTTTTGCTTTTTTTGCAAGTATGAGCAGCACACTGATATTATTTAGAACAATAACCTTTCCCTTCGGGGCGGCATGAAAGCTCGACTCGCAGTTCGCCCTGCACACTCCCGTTCCTACTAGTGCACGGTGTCGCTGGCATCTGCATGCATGTATCTGTCAGTATGTCCAGTGCACGGTGTCGCTGGCACGGTGTGCCTTGTGCGTAGTCAGATGGACACCTGCCGGTCTTGGGTGCTGGAATATTATCTGTCTGCTATCTTGCAAGTGCAAGAGACATGATGGATATGGCTATTATGCTTTGAAGAGGAGCATGGCAATGTGCTTTCTCACAATTTATTTATGCTTTTTGCAGCACAGCCTACCGTTAGATCTACGTACATGTACTATATTAATTATTTCTTTATTGAAATTAACGCTAGGCTACTCCGATGTGTGCATGATGTTGTTTCACAAATCTCCTCCTTTATTTTGCGGGAGGTCTTTATAATAAATGTTCAATTATGTACTTGGAAGTATTTTTGTTCAATTTGACCAAAACAAACGAAGCATCAAGTTCCTGCCACTCTGTAGCTACTCTTTCCTCTTCTTTGTGTAGTGAGACAAGAGTACATAACTCCCAAGAGTGGAATTCCACATTATTTTCAGTCACCACTCATTTTCAGAATGACCGATATGCCATGTTTCATGACGTGTTACACCTGAGTGTACATAACTGCATGCGCACAATGTATTGTAGTAGGCAACGGTACGCATCTGTAGAGCTGGATGTATCATGAGACGTAATGTATTTCTGAAAATGAGTCGCAACAGCAACCCATCAGGATCAACCTTTCCAGAATCCAGGTACGCGTCTCCAACTATAATGGCACCCGTCTGGTACCCTTCGGCAAAATAATAAAAGCGCTATAACAGGTCTATCTCCAAACTCCTTGAATACGTGTAGAGTAGAACCCGGGTTAAGGGTCACACCGGATTAGGGATCGGAGCCCGGGGGGGGGCACTTGGCACGTACATTGTGCGGGTGATCCTTCGGAGCCCGGGGGTCACTTGGCATGTACATTGTGCAGGTGATCCTTATACCGGGATTTAATTTCCGGCCCAAGGGGGGGGGGGTCCCCCGTCGGTTTCCGAGGAAGCCGTAATATTTTTCGCTCCAAACTATTTTCCGGGGTCCATCTACTCACAAAAAGTTGTTTTGCACACCTTTTAGCCCATCCCTGTACAACTGAGTCCAGCTATGTCCGCGCAGAGTTAGTTGGATCCCTAACCCGGGTTCTACTCTACCTTATGCCTTTGCAGGTATTGGAAATCATGCGGATAGCCTTTTGGCAGGGCCTCTCTCAAATAATTATTGTGGGCTTTTTTCAAGCCTGACTTGCAATAATTATTATGTCAGGTTCGAAAAGCTCTCATGCTCACCTCAAATACTTTTGACAGAATTGTAGGACAGTGCTCATATATCGCAACTTATTGTTCCCACGCCATAGTACTGTCGTGGACATGGAGATTATCGCCACGAGCTTTGTTCTGCTGCCGGTCGGCTATTTTAAACTCATAACCTGCAATATCACGAAGTATTTCCATCGGGAAGGTTTTTTATTTATTTTTTGGTGCCTTGGCACCACCACAAGAAGCATAATTTGACCAATAGCATACAGAAATCACACAGAGAAATTTACAGCATAGCGGTGCACTGGAAGCAAGAAGTGAAAATACAGGGCAAATCACGTGGATAGCCTTTTGGGCACTTCTCAACTAATATTTTAGGCAACCAGTTGCTACGAAAGTGGACTAAAGTAAAAATATGCACCAGCAGAGTAGTTTTAGGCAGTCTGTATGCACGATAAAGGACAATGACTGTGGAGGGAGGGGGGTATGTGCACAGTGGGGAGTAGGATATTACAGAGCAAAACACCTGAACAGATATGTACAGCAGGGAAATATATACAAGAACTAAGGGCCTGCTCTCGGCCTGCCTCCTGGCGAGTATGCACATACTCCCAGAAAATAACTGCTACTGATGGCAAGCCCACGTTATACCGTAAAATTCCTGTGCCAGACAGGTTGGTTTAGAAGCGCTGCTGATACTTGTCTGGGGATGTGTACTTGGTCATATCCTGGCCTCCAATGTTACATGTGCCGACACCAACCTGGGTATCGTAAGAAGAGGAACATAGAGCGAGATCAGTAACTGCCAGCACGCATCAAGAGATAACACAACACAAAGAATGTGCAACTGTAATATCGTCTATGGGGTCTGCAATGGCACAATTTCACATCAAGTGCCAAATCAGCACTCCTTTGAACATGATATCTCGTGTAGAGCTTGAAAGTGGTCCGTACCCGAAAGAGTAGACAATTTTATACAAACTTCGATTCCAATTGGATCATACTTTTGTAAGGAAGTGTTTGAAGCGCCTTTGGCCATGCTCGCGTCCCATAGGTGACCCAGCCATCTGGATTGGGTCATGGGATGAGGGCCCATTTATCATGCAAGAATAGCAGGAATACGTAGTACAGTAGCTACCGGTATATCCTATACCCGCCATAGTTCCATTCAAACAGAAAGGAAAGGAGGAACCAGTTTGGGAAAAAAAAATCATATTTCAAATCGTGACTTGATCACTTCCAAGCACTATACCTGGACCTAGGTGGTTCAACTCTCCGGTGGCCACTTTGCAGTGTTTGCTCCCATAACCCATGGAGCCATGTTACACAATGTGAAACTCTCAGCAGAGAAGTCTAGACAACTCCACGAAGGTCCCCACACACACCCATGTACAGTTTGCATGTAGCTGGAGTTCAAACAAAAAACCTACGCTAGAAACTAATCATCCTTGATGTTGGACAATGTGAACTGAAGCAGGAGAAATGTGTGAAAAGGTTAAGATTACTACAGGATAACAACATCAGTGCACACGATTTCACAGGTGCATGAGCATACCTTTCCCTTGATGCTGTCCGGTGTAGCAAATATGCTCTTCTTTGATTTTGTGTTGAGGCCGCCGCCTTTCTCACGGTAACTCTACAGAAATAGTACGGACGTCAAATGCACATGAAATGTACACAGGTGAAGCTCATCTCAACAGACATAATAATGTTATCGGTATATGACACTATAATATAATGTACAAATGTACAAAGGTGAGGCTTCTCCCAACAGACACGTAAATGTACAGATGTATGTCTAAGCGGCAGCAAAACAATGGAAAATAAATCCACTAGACGGCTAGGTGTGGTACGGAGTGAAGCACCAGGTACAGGGTCTACGTGAACAATACTCGAATACACAGCTACATGGCCAAAGTAGAGTAGGGACAGGTCTGAGAAGAGACCCAAGACATGTGGTCCACCACAGTCTGCTAAAGAATATCCACTAAACAGTGGTCCCTGAGTGATATGAGCAGATCAACATTGCGGGTAGGCTACACATCCTAGATGCCAACAAAGAGAACAAGAGTGTGAACAACAGCATGCCACTACACGTACCATTACGAGACGAAGGAAAACAAAAGCAAACTTGAACAAAACGCACATCTTGGCGTGGAATCTCCATTTGTACTCGTAATAACAAGATATATGCAACGAACACCAGCACAGCTCACCTTTTTCTGAAAGCTCTGCCATTTATTCTTCTCTTTTTCTCTGGCTTCTTCCATGTCCTACCAACAGGGCAAAGAAACACGTTCACATCTAACAGTGCACACTGAAGCTCCTACAGCCACATTCAGGCAAGACTGAACATACAGTAATCAGGTGTGCAACAGTCAACACACAGACCAGAGGTACAGCTGCAGGTTAGTTGATATGATACTAGTTTGCGAGGAACCTACCTTTAATCTCTGTTTCTTCTTCAATTGCCTGTTTTTCCGGTATTCTCGTTCTTTCATATAGTCAGCACTGGATCAAAAAGAAAAAAAAGAAGAGGAGAATTCCAAAGCAAAACCCCCAAACCAGGGATCATTAGCCAAATCCCACACCACCTGGCAAGAAGGGGAAAGGAAATAACGAACAAATGCCATGGTTCATGTGAGAGTCAGTTAGAGAAGTAAAGACAAGGATCAAGGTGCGGCGTGCAGCTTCTAAAGTAGCAGGAAGTGAGCAGATCAGACCCACCAAAGTGGTCAAAGACTAAAAATTCATTCTCCAAATGCGTGCTACCCTCATGCCAGGCTACGACTTCCCGTGTACATGTACCTGGATGGAAGCATGGTCAGCAATCTTTCCGTTTCCGAGCGGGACGTGAATCTGGTACATGTACGCTCTGTTTCCCAGTCGCTAGCCATTCCACGTATGTTAACTACGCTTGCCTGGGGTGCATGAGGTACTGCAACGTATTCATGCATGGTGCAGTGACTATGGGAAGCAGGAGCATGTAAACATGCACCGTAAAGTACGGTTGATCCGAACCCAACGCCGGGTCGCTTCCCAGCTGGGTTTTCGGCAGGGGGCGGGAATTAGATCAAGGCTGTCAAGTGCAGTACGATGTACAACAGTGCAGAAGACCAGACTCGGTGTGCTGGATTGTGCACAGTTTATCCTGCACCGGCACGTATTGTGCACGGCAGTGCATGCCTCGGTTCAACACCGTACTTCATTGTACACGCTGAAGTCGCTTCATAGGCAGAAATTTAACAGAGGGCGGAATACGAGAGGGGGCGGATCCACGGTACTTTACAGTACATGTACCTCCATACCCAGGAAGGAGATGGTGAACAAACTAACCGTGACTTCTTCTTCACGCCAAGCGCAGCACCACCTGATGCTGCAAGCTCTCCTTCGTCAGCATCATTCTCCACTTCTTCGCCGTCAATATCATCAGGTGCAGCAGCAGCCGCCGCACTGCTTGCTGCCTCCGTCTCGGTGCTCGATGCAGCCGCTGCCACCGCCGCAGATCTCTTCCGTGATTCACGCAAACGCAGCGACGACACCTACCGTGATGAAGACACATCAGTGAGGAAACAGCATTTTACAGAGTACACAAGCAGGCTGTGAAATCCTGTTCCAGTCGCACATGTAATGCAACTATACAGTAGCGTCGCGCGCCCAAGAACGTTGTTTCCAAGGGGCTAGCCTGAGACGTTCTTATCTTCAAGGAATCTGGCTGCGTTCTTATAGCACGTTCTTAGAAACTATCCGTACTGGATCATATGTATCCCACAAGATGCCAGAAAACCAACACCGCCGTTCTTAGCTTTAGGCTGTGGCGTTCTAAGAATTTCAGGCTGGCCGTTCTTGGGCTCCACGTTCTTCAGCGTGCGACTCTACTGTAGGGTGGTTGCTCAAGTGAATAACACTTTCCATTTAGACAAAAGGGTCAAACAAACAAAATGGCATGCAACTAAAACCAGTGGAGAAATGTACACCTCTACAGCCGCACACTAGTTACTTCAGTTCATTCATAAAAAGACGAGTACTGGCTCTGGCGAGCTTCCGTATTTGCCACTACTATTTGGTGATTTTTCGTGATTTTATCGTACATGGTGCAGTGCCGTGAAATTTGAAACATGAAAAGGGTCCAAAAAAGCCAAAAAAAAGGTACCTCTGCTGGGGTTCGAACCACACAATGTACTGTTGCAAGGAGAGTGAAACGGCCTGGATTTTCATGGTTTTTCCCAATTCAATGCTTTGGGGCACAACCTGGCCGAAATCCTATTCTTGTTGGCTTGCTTTTTGGAGAAATAGACTTCAGAAACATAATTAAGAATACGAGTAGCATTCCATGGGGGAAAATGGTGAATAACTCAAAATTTGACCATTTATGGCGAAAAGCGAGGATATTATCTGTTTACTATAGTTAGGGGCTGTCGCAAAGTTTTTTTTTGTCGTCCTTGAAACGAACATCGTTCGTTTCGTACTCGGACCCCTCCCCATACTGGACGACAAAAATCGCATGAATGCACATGTATATGTACAGTGTCGGTCGACTTACGATTCTGGCGCCCTCTGCCCCCCCCAAACGAATGTTCGTTTAAGGGACGACAAAACACTTTTGCGATGACCCTTAACTGTAGTTTATCATCTATGTCCTGTAGTTACAGTAGGCCATTTTCTTCAAGCACAGTCGGAAAAATGCACGTAAAGAAAAAGAGGACAAAAGCAGAGCACAACAACAGCAGCTGGTTTACTATTTTATATCCTGTACCTGCACAACTTCGCTAGTCGACCAACCATCAAATGATACGGTGCATGTCTGTCTGTCTTCAGCAATTTCCTCTACTTTAGCATCGTAGTAGCTGTGGGCAAAAGAAATCAGGCATGTCCACAAACAGAACGTAAAAACACAGTGACTGACAGACATAGAAGGTACTTCGAGCAGAAGGTGCGCACTATGCAGCAGAAGAAATACTTTCAGACAAACACTTCGCACAGGGAATGATGAACAGAAGATAAGAAACGCTTACTTCCCATCCTTGCTCCATACTGCTTGGCATTCATCGCCTATAGAGTACGGACAGCTAACGCCAGTAGCTACTTCGGATGTTAACTCCGCACTCTTATCGCCCTACAAAGATCACACAGGAAACATCCCAGGAAGCTGTCAATCCAAAAGAAGCATGAATGCAATTTGTGCATGAGATACATGCCATCTTCTGATCTCTCAAAGCCCCCTCTAGTCCCTAAGGTTCCTCTGTATCAATGCCAGGGCTACCAAACCTTACACCCTTGAATCGATCAGCTTCCAACCGAATAGGTTACTAGTACCAACACCATGGAAAGGAAACTAATACGGACTGGTACCTGTGCAGCAAGTTCAGAATATAGAGTCTGATTCATCAAATACAACTATCTTAAGCAACAGCCATACAAGTGGTCTAGGAGAAAGCTATCCCTACTAACTTATCATACAGAGAGACAAGACCAAATCAGTATTGAGCTACAGAGCAATACTACATAATCCCCCAACAAGCATAGAGTGCACTAACCTGATTAAGTTTGACCAAGTCCAATGTCAGAGTGATGACATCCTGTACAGAAACAATGAGCGCGATGGCAGTGGTGTCACCAGCATCAACAGTAGCAACAACATGCACACACAGTGGCACACACACACACACACACACACACACACACACTCACTCACACATGTACGCACACACAGGCACACCCATACATGTACACACACACACACACACGCGCACACGCGCGCACACACACACACACACACACACTCAGGCACGCACCATGTGCGAGTAGCACACGCCGAGTACTATGTACACAAACCATGTACACCTGTGGCAAGAGAAGCGCGCAAATCTGCAAATGCACTGGATACATACCCGTGTAGTAAGTAGTGCCTTGGAGGAGTGCCACGAAAGAAAACTTGGATATTACTGGTAAAGATATTGTATATGCAAGCCTTGTTCGATACTGCCATCGTCATACAGGTAGAGATATTTGTAGGTCAAGTCAAATCAATCGACCGACGATCTCCGTCGCTCACCGCAGTAAATCTGTTTTGCTTGGCCTTACAACATCCAACATGCAGAACTAAAGATTACGAGCCTGATATCGTAACTTGAGTTTTGTTAATTAGAAATGTGTTGTAGTTGTTCGGAACTGTGATCAATTTTCTTAACCAATTTAATTTACACCAGGAAGAAATCCTGCGTGCCACGTTATTATGGCTTTGAAACTCTTGTCAGTACCTGAAGATCAGCCTTCAACTTCAGCAGCTCCTCGTTTTCAGCATCTGTTATTAACGCTGCGTCAACCTGCACCGGTGCACACGGTGGAAAAAGCCATTGAGTCAATTCGGGAGGATTGTCGTCAAGTATACTCAGAACATTCGTACCTGCTTCAACTGTGCACGATACGTTGCGAGCTCCGAAGCCGCCATGGCGGAAGCCAGAGAGTAACAAACTCTTCTACAACAATTAGAAAGCTATAAGGATCGATCAGTCCAGAAACGGAGAAAAATTCTGAAGGGATAGAGAGATTATTATGCTTTTTTAGCAGTGATAATTATGTCAATTATTTTTGACAACAATTTGAACAAAAAAATTCTTGAGAAGGAGATTGAGTCGGATTGTGTGCGATCAGGGGATTCAGTGGTAGAGTCAGGGAGTCCTCTCTCTCACGTCAAGGGCCGGACGACTCCCGGTCCCTGAGTCTGACTCCCTGAGCCGAGATTGATGCATGATGTTCTTAATCTTGTCTGTCCGTTATCAATATCATGCATGGTTATGATTATGACTACATCTTCTCTTCTCTCTCTATCTAGCGCAGTGATCTGGTGATTCATTTTGGCAGTTTTCTGTTTTTAGCTTGGCACTGACCATGCTGACATGCTGACCATGATCATGATAATTATGCTGACACACCACAGCAAGTATGTGCCTCCTGAAGTCCTGTATCGTCAAGCCAGACAAGGTGGCATTTTCGACGTGGCCTGCTCAACGTGAAAGACAAGTGCAAGAGTTTCGCGTGCGTTGTCAACGACATAGTGCTGAAATAAGTTGAAGCAAGACTAATAAAAGAGTACTGAGTTCTTTCTGAAAAGAGATTTGTTGTACCACAAACAGTTACACAGCCAGCTGTGCAAGCTTGCAAGGAACTGAGAGTGAGCGGCTATTTCTTGTGCATGTACGTGTACTCTGACGCTAGCTGGAGCATATTCGGGCAGCAACAATCTTGTGATGGGTCTGCAGCAATCACAACAGACTCAACCAGTCATATCTCACCAGGTAAGATTAGAACTTCAAAGTTCAATAGAAGACAGTCTACTACTTTTGTTTTTAGGAAATTGTTGACGAAAGCGTTCCAAAAACCCAAAAAATTCAAATGGAAAATTAGTGGTAGAAGCGAACTGTTGGGTGTTTGTCCAACATCATAACATTATTGTGGCCTACAAGTGAAAAATTCAAACATGAATAAATGTTATGGTTCACATCAGAGTCACTCTGACAGACTGACTTTTCCGCATCCACAGGAACACCGCCAGCCTCAAGGATGCGCAGGATGAAGGTGCATAATGACCCATGCACAACTATTATACTTTTGTGTTGGAACTGTATGCCTTTATGACATGGGAAACCTTACACCATCATAAATGCAAGTGGTCTCTTTGCAGCAAAGAGAGCACTTGCATTTCGGATGGTGTAGAGTTTCCGTTAAAGAAATGCATACCTTAAATTCTTTAGTCATTTGTCCTCACAGTAGGAGCTGGCCTCAATGTAAGTTGTTTACGAATGCCGGGTATGTGTGTTCACCAGGTTAAGCATGGGGATGAGCTATGGAGCACTGTCCCCGTTCGCGCAGACAAAGTCCTCCCGCACTTGTTCATCGGCAACTATTCCAGCGGCTGCAATAAGCAATTCCTGCGTCAGAACCATGTCACTTATGTGTTGAATATGACTCCTGAAGCCCATACTGATCGTCTGCGCGGAATTGAATATCTGAATTTGGGACTTCAAGATTTCAGTACGTCCGACATTTCTGTACATTTCGAGACAGCCCATCAGTTCTTGACGAAAGCCCGCGAAGAAGGAGCTGTTGCCCTCGTACATTGCCATATGGGTAAGGTGATACTGCACTAGACTAGATGGTCTTTTGCTATGAATCCTTGGCCCTGACTCCTGGCTAACCTTAATAGTCATAAATAGTGCGCTGCGCTTGCCTATTCCATTCTGTATGCTGGCTTTTTGTGTCTTCTGTGGCAATGCATTTCCAATTAATTAATAAAAGTTTATAGAAACTTGGGGTTTGTTCCTTGGGTAGGGCTTATGTTGATTGTATAAAAAATTGGAGTGGGGTGGGGAGCACCGACATGTTTGGAGCAATATGAGGTGTTTCTTTGAGGTATGCTGTCATCCATAAAGTTTATGATATCAACTCCCTCAACCTAATGAATATATGAAAATCGGGGGGGGGGTATTTTAACCCAATGTGTATTTTCAAAGGTGGAATTGGACTGATGATCCTTACACATTTAGCCGCGCAATGTGGCAGGGGTGGGTGTACTGTCGTTGAACAGCACTGGTGCTCAATGCTGATAGCCTGGGCGTTCTGCAATATGACGATTTGGCTTGTCTGACTCTTTGTGACTGTTCAACGTTTGGCGCTCGGTTTAGGAAACACAGAGTTCTGTACTTGCTTCTCTCTGTTGTATCCTGAAATCAGTAATATTGCCAGTCAGCGTCACAGTTTGTGCAAGCTAACATTAGCTGTGTTTCTCGCAGCTATTTTTTTATTGTTCACTAGACGTCATTGCAATCGGTTCGGCACATCACTCTGAGCTCCGCTAATGGGACCATGCGGAGATTGAGTACTGTTACCATTCGCTTAGATCTGTTTTTTTATGCCACGGCTGTGGCCACTGGAATCACCCTCATGCAAGTACATGTATCAGCTGGAGCCAATGTGAGCTCCTGGTGCTGCGAACAAGGGTCTACACATTTGCAGCGTTGTTGAAGGCAATGGTAGATAGGTGTCTGCTTTTAGAACCCTGACGTGCTCTGTGTACTGCCATTGTCCATGCTATGTGTTCATTGCAGGCATCTCCCGAGCTCCAACTGTAGCAATGTCACACATCCTGCTTAGCGGGAAAATCTACAACAGCGAAGAAGAACACCGGCTAAATGCTGCCACTTTCAAAAAGAGCAATGGACAGATCAGAGCCACCACCACCACAGTTCCTAAAACCGAGCAAGTTTTGCTGAAAGAGGTTTGGCCATTTGTAAAGGAACGACGGCGTATAGCTGCACCGAACGACGGCTTCTTCACACATTTACAATCGCTTGAGATGCAGCTAACCGGAGCAAGCTCATCAAGTACAAGCCTCGAAGAGTTGAAGAAGTCAGTGTATAGTACGAACTTGCCTGCAGTTGCCTCCTTGTTTTAGGTGTACAGTGCACATGTCCTAATAGCGTAATAGGGGCACTATCTTTAGATTTCAAGTACATTTAGCTGTTTTGAAACTGTTGAATTGCTGGACAATTCATACATTTACTACCTGTTTTATTGGCACTTTCTGGCTGCTGTACTGCATAGGCGCAGGTTCATGTACACTGTGACGGTAACATAAACAGCCAAAGTCATGACTCCTGTCACAATCATGGAGACGCATACTAGTACCCCCACTGAGACCTTGTTTTCCGATTTTATAACGCCATGACCCAAAATGCAACTACCCCTCCGGTTTAGATGTTGTTGTCGGCTTGCTGCTTGACAGTTGCGGCACTATCCTCGTACTCCATCATTGTCTGCTTTTCGTTTGATTCGTTAGTTTTCTTGATTCAGATTGTAAGCTGAGGTTCTTCGCCGCTTGAATTGCTGCTCACACAGTGGCCCAGCCACTGAAATGAAAGATGAATAAAAAAAATAAACAAACGAAAAGGAAACAACGGGACGTTGCCTTTGTCTTGATTCTATCACTACAGCCACTGTACTGTCATGTTATTGATTGTGAGAATGGCACCTACAGAGTACAGTAGTGGGATCAAAAGCTACCTGTACATGTACATGTATTTTGATGGCCGCCGCGAAGTACTGATGTGGACATGGAAATCCGGTCGCACGTCTAGCGGCCCCAGGGCGCTGGCCATGCAGCTGTGGGTCAGCAGTACACGCATGCTGCAGCCCGCTGGTCGCATCGGATCAAGCGCTGTTCTATACGCTCTGAGGGCGCCGGCCCCGGTCAATCGACTGGATTTCAATGTCCACGACAGCACTAGTACAGTAAAACCTGTGTTCGCTGGACTCTGTACCAAGCAGACTATTGTATTGACCGGACAAGTAATTAATTTTCACGCACCGAAGTGCTGTGGATTGAACGTACATCCCTGAATCAAGCGGAATCCTGTAGCGTCATATCAGGACAGTTTCCGCTGCACCAGGCAAGGACGTCTGGCAAGGGTGTCCGGTTCGGGCAGGTTTTACTGTACGGTCATGTACTTCATGAATCTGTGAATGCTTCATGACTTTGTATTAGAGCGCGCTTCTAACCAGGGAGTCGTAAAATTTTACGACTCCCTGCTTCTAACCAGGGAGTCGTAAATATTTTTGCGACTCCCTGCTTCTACAACTACAATCAGGGAGTCGTCGAATATTTGACGACTCCCTGCCGCATGACAGTCATGTCATAACTAAATTAGTTACTTGTATTAAACGTTGATGACTTTATACAATATTATAGCAGTAATCAAAATTACGTCACCAGGTCACGTGGTGAATGCTGTGACAGTCTGATCTCTGACATGTCGACCAGGCATGGGGGAGGCAGGGGGATTCATACCTAGTAGTACATAGTAGTACATGATTGTACCAAGAGTCATAGTGAGCTAAGCCCCCCCCCCCCCCCCCCCGGGTTATATAATTATACTCTTGATTGTACTTCGAAGTACCTATAAAATAACATTATACTAATTACTATAGTACGTGATTGTACAGTGATTGTAAAAGCCATTATTCTAACGAGGCGCATAATATACTAGTAACGATTTCCTAAAATTGACCAGTTTACGTGTATCAAAGGTAACGATTCCCACTCATTCTCAACGCTCAATAGGGCTTGAAAGTGCTACGTCACTCCATAGCAATGGCATAGCAACAATTTGAAAAATTCGAAAACTGGATCCACCTGGATCCAGTTTTTGTATGGATCCAAGCAAGAGTACATGATGGTTTTCATGTACTCTTGATCCAAGCACATTTCAAGCGGTCTCACTCACAGCAAGGTGATGTTGCCAGTGAAACTGACTGATTTGGCTAGTGGGGGCAGGGTGACAACTGGTGGGGAAGTAAAAGTTGCACCTGCATACGACATGAGTGGGTTGCTATGCACCCACATACTGAGGCAATAGCAAAGTCACACCTTAGTGGATTCAAAATAGAAATCTGATGTCAATTTACTACTCCCAGGCCGTTTTTGACGTCATCACTTTCAAGCCCTATAGCAACAATATGACATTAGAGAGGCAGTACTGGAATATGCCATTCGCAAATACATACAACTAAAATCGGGTATTACTTCGGCGTCTGTGAATCTTTTCCCACGAAATTTTGATTTTGAGCACAGATTCATGATTCACGCCACCACCTAATAAAAGTACAGGGTACCCTGTAAAAAGGCCTTAGGCCTGTGGGGATTGCCCTATTCAAAATTTAAATAATAATAATAAATAATACTACCTTGAACTTATTTACTTCGCATCGTCCCAAAAGTTCACTGCACTGGAGAGTAAAAAAATACCGTCATCTCAGATTTTTGGTACATGCTAGCAGCAACATAATATCAGCTGAAGTGTTAAAAATGCATCACAAGCGACAGTCTACAACAGTAGCAGATGCTGAATAGAACAGATTGGAGATAGGACACAAATAGCACCACCCAGTCAACATCATCTGTGAAGACGCCCGTCACCGTCGAAAAAGATTATTACTACTGAGGCAGCTAACATCCGCCAAACAAAAAACTATGGCTTTATAAATATATTCAGCATCTGGGAAATTTTCCACTGATCAATCTTAAAAAAAAAAAACATTCAGTTTTTGAAGGGCCATATCTCTGCTTTGGCTGGTTCGAATGCCAAAAAATTTCATTTGTAGAGCCTTTGGTATTCCTTCTTTCAGAAAAATCACACTTGAAGCAGTTCCCATGAAATTGATATTTTGGCTAAATCTGACACCCGTTTTCCAGTACTGCTACCTTAAGATGCACGTTATTTCCGACGTGACGCGCAATTTCACGTCAAATTTGGCGTAAAACTCCAAATTTCGACGTGAGCAGCAGGTCACTCGCGTTGATTTTTCGACGTGCGAGCAAATAACGCGAGCTGAACTTTCGCGTCACGTCAGAAATAACGTGCATCTTAACATTTCTGTCAGATTTCTCCTCAATTCGTTAGAATAAGCACTTCGTTATAATAATGGCTTTTACAGTAAGGCCACCCTTTCTTTTTTCGTTGTTTAACGTCCGCGCCCGCGTACCTTTTTGCCTCCGACCGGAAAAAAAACCAAGAAAGTAGTAGTACCAATAATATGCGAAGTTGTAAATACATGATTGTGTAGTTTCACAGTGTGCCGATCATGACCTTAAAGCGGGATTCACAGAAGCTTTTTTGCGATGCGACACGCGATGCGACGCGATCTGCGATGGATGCGTGCGATGCGAACTCGCGAAATACCATTCACAGAAGAAGTCAGCGATGCGACAACGTCTTGCTGATTTGGGTACGTCACCATGATATTCGCGCGGTTTGACACAACTTGTAAAAAATTGATAGGCAACTCTTGAACCTTTGTACAACTTTGCTGCAGAAAAGGTCAAAATCGTACACCAAATCGCTTGTCGCATCGCATCGCATCGCAAAAGTTGAGCCAAGCTCAACTAGTTACTTCTGCGATGGCCCAGTTGCGGCAGTTGCGTGGGGTGCGACATGGCTGCGATTTGGGGTTTTCCCGGTTTCGCGTCTGTCGCACTTATAATCTTGCCTCCCGGGCATGCCTTTGTCTTGTGTTCTTTTTCTTTTTTTGTTGGCTTTTAAATATCGTACGGTGTGTGTCCTAGTAAAAATCCAGATGTAATGAATTCATGACATGCTAACTCCATGCTATGTAAACGTTTTGTTGGATTCATCAGGCATGTGCTCCAATGTACCATCAAAGAGTGTTGTTCTATGCCTGCAAGTGCCGTTAGACCCAGATATAGTATATATCACATGCTTTACTGGCCAAAATGTTTGATTGGGGTTTCCAGTTTTTGGAATGGGCTTTTGTTTTTTTTCCGCCCTCCCGCGTACCTTTTCGCGAAAAAAAGGACGTTAAACAATGAATTAACAAAGGGTGGCCTAATCAAGACTAGTCCATGTACGTATGAGCCCCATACAGTGGCATACTCTTGTGTTATAATTATTAATTTTATAATGTGTATACTGTATACATGTAGGGCCGGCTCCCAGCTATCTTCACTCCTCGCTGACCTCAGGCTCAGGCTCCTGAGCTGTGTCGACTGACTGACTGTGAAATGTAGAGCAGCAGGAGTCAGCAAAATAATTAATTATACCTTTGTTTGAGCTTGACAACAGCCAGGAGACGTCACGTGAATCAGCAGAAAAAGGATATGCGCGCATGCAGTACAATGCGTACAAAATAGAATCGATGACGTCTTCAGACGCTTGCCGATATATTTGGGACGTGAGCACGTGGTGTGTGGCTTATCTACGAAGTACGAACTCAGTGCGAACTGCCACATCTACCTTCAGCCTTTCTCAGCGCTGCAGCTTTGCTGTCCAAAGGCGAAGAGTCATAACTCAAACAAGTCAGACCTACGTAGACCTACGTGCGAATGAGGAAAAAACTCAAAAAACATTGGCAATGCGACGTCGCTGGCAGTCGGCAGCAGCTCTGGTGTTAGGGCGATCTCGAAAAAGGTCTGGAGGTGCTACAGAAACTGATACCAGCAGTGCAGCTGTTCCAACAAGCAAGGACGAAGACGTTGAACCTATACCCACTATGGAAGTTGAAGTAAGCCTCTATTTCAGTCTACTTTTAGCTACATGTACTTGAACTGGGGTACGTCCGAAGACATAAAGACATAATTTAAAAAAAAATTAATATTATTGTAATAATATTTGAAACTCGGATTTTGAGCCAATATAATAATGTATACACTTTTCCCGTTTGTGTCTTTCCCTCAAACTAGCCAAGAATAATAATAATGTAATTATAGATAATTATTGTAATTTGCAGCGAAGAGACCACTTGGATTGAAGATGGTGTGTGTAAGGTTTTCCAATAATTATTATTAGGGCTGAAACGATTATACCGAATAATCGAGTACTCGTTTGATAACTTGTTTTTCGATTTTGACAGCATGTTACAAGGCGAGGACGCGTAGTGCTCCTGACTACAACCATAAACCAGGTGGCAGAGTCCCGGTCTTGCGACCATTTGAACCGTATTGGGAAAACCCAGGTTCGGACCCTCGTTACTCTACGGGTTGGTAGGATTTTTATAATGGACTCTGCCAACCGGTTTATGGTTGTAGTCAGGAGCACTACGCGTCCTCGCCTTGTAACATGCTGTCAAAATCGAAAAACATGTTAAACTACCAAGCAAGGCTTCTGTATTATATCGTTTGATAACTCTAGCGATCGAGCAATCGTTTAGATTACCGATTACGATTATTTTGCGTTTTTTAAATTTGTGTCCAGAAAGTACTGTAAACCCTCGTTTTGTGAAGTTTGAATCAGTTTACGCTGGGAGTATGCAGTTGCCAGCGGTATGGTTCATGTTCTGAGGTTAAATTGACTTCAAAACTGCCATGTTTCGGAGCTACCCTTTGAAGTTTCACTAATGCAGATTTGTTGGTATTATGAAGGCATAGTTTGTGGAAACAGAGTAATGTTTGCACAGAATTATGACTCTATTTGCTAACGATTATAATCGATTACTCGATCGTTAAGCTAAAGAGTAATCGATACATGAAAATCCACGATCGTTTCAGCCCTAATTATTATTGTAATCAACAATTTGAAACACAGGAAGTGAAAACGCACCAAAAAAGAACATTGCGAATGACAAGTACATATAGGTATGTATGTGAGTTATGCACAGACAGATTCTGCTCCGCCTCCCGCCGAGTCTCACGCGAACCGTGATTTTTTAATTTTTTACTGAGCGTGGCAGTAGAAGCCCGAGATTTTTCCTCCGTTTTTTCGCCGGCCAGTAAACGGGCCTTTCCCCATTTCCCGTTTCAACCTGTCATGAAAAGCACACGCACGGGTTTGTACATACATTTGCCCGGGGTCAACCAAGATCATGGTGATTCACAGTGAATCCCAGTGATATTCCGGTGAAATGGTCATACAGTCGTCCCTCTCTAATCCAGCACCCTCGATAAACCAGCACAATTTTCATTAGCCAAAATGTCCCCTTCATGCATATTGCAGCAGTAAATCCGATTTGTTATTCCAGCACCCTCCCTAATCCAGCAGAATTTCCGTGGCACAAATGGTGCCGGATTATAGAGGGACCACTGTATCCTGTGCAGTGTGATGCGTCTAACGCACCTCTATACTAAAATCCACGAGGAATTTGCAGGAAAAAATTAATCTGACTACAAGGTTTTTATTTATTCACAAGAACGTCGAAAGGCCAAACCGCATGGTGAAGGTTAAAGTCAAGACCACTAGTACCGCGGGATAGGGCTTGAAAGTGATGACGTCAAAAACGGCCAGGGAGTAGTAAGTTGACATCAGATTTCTATTTTGGATCCACTAAGGTTTGACTTTGCTATTGCCTCAGTATGTGGATGCATAGCAACCCACTCGTGTCGTATGCAGGTGCGACTTTTACTTCTCCACCAGTTGTCACCCCGCCCCCACTAGCCAAATCAGTCAGTTTCACTGGCTACATCACCTTGCTGTGAGTAAAACCGCTTGAAATGTGCTTGGATCCATACAAAAACTGGATCCAGGTGGATCCAGTTTTTGAATTTTTCAAATTGTTGCTATGCTGTTGCTATGCTGTGACGTAGCACTTTCAAGCCCTATTCTCTCAATCCTTGTGCCATATTAGTTAAACAAAGAGAAAATACGAAACGTGCAGTGCATGTGATGAGGCCTTTATGGCCGAAACAGCTTGCTGTCTACAGCGTGCCCAACTCTTGCGATCTGCTCCGGCACCGATCCCGTACAATATTGATCAAAAGTGGTTTGTGAACCATTCGCGCCGGTGATCGCCGATGCCGGGACCCAGACTTTGTCAAAATTTCAAACCAAGACTCGTCCTAAATTTTCATAAATTGAAGGTAAGGATGAGGTCCGTTCGCCATTCTTGTAGTCGCTTCAAGGTTATGTCGCGCCTCTTCACCTCTACTAGATTATGCATACCAACCCGTCCTTCTTGGATGATCTGCTCGACTGTTGTGCAACTTATGAGACAAATACAATTGAAACAAATAAAAATACGAAGGATACATTGGAAAGTTTATGTGAGTTCATCAACGTTTGGAAGCATAATTTAGAAACCATCACTTACTAGACTGCAATAAAAGGTGTGGAAGTATTTTCATGATCTCCAGTAAAAGGTAGCACCGAGTGGCCATCACCGAAAGACCTTGAACTACCGGTACTGAAGAAACAAAGAATTCAAGCTTCAATTGGCAAACCTGTCGTAGCATTTTGGGCACATTCTGTACAGTCAGACCTCGCTTATCCGGTCCTCCTTTATCCGGATCCCTCGCCATCCGGAAGAAAATCGTTGGTTACCGATTTACAGCATATGGCATACATACAATATGTGTGTTCGATTATCCAGTTCCCTCGCCTATCCGGATATTTTTTTGTGGAAAACTGATGTGTGCGGTGCGAGGTCTGACTGTATACTACTTTGAAGTAGATTTGGTACTCGAACTGTATTCGGGACGGATCGGGAGCTGGCTCACTGCCGGTGCTTCCCGCGCGGCGCCGATTTGGCTTATGTGTACTAGCCCATAAAGGGAGTACATAAAGGGAGTACAAATATCCGGCAAAGGACACGAATGGTCGGTAAAAGAAGACACGTACATGTGCATGCATGAGTACACTACGGTAGCAAAAATGGACAAACCTAACGTAGATCCACGTGGTACTAGTCGAGTACCGTACGTTACATATTTATTAGGGCTCAAACGGTCACGGTTTAACCCGTGACGGTTAACTGCTAAGCTAACGGTCGGTTAACCGGTTATAACCTATAAGCCACGGCAATCCTGCAGACTCTTTTTTAACCGTATATTTGACTATACTCATTCAAAAAATGTACCCTATTCAGTACAACGCACACTTGTACATTCTCTTGCATGCTCATTCATACATACTCTCACACCAAGAGACCAGATATGACCGAGTTGACAGCCCAGAAATTGCGTACGCGTGCGACAGCCTGCGAAAGTGCATACTTTGCAACGACCTGATACTTGAAAAATTGACTGAAAAGTTACTGCGTAACCGTTATCTTTATCGGTTAACCGTTAATTCTTCGTAACCGGTCTGCAACCGGTTAATCGGACTAATCGTTTGAGCCCTAATATTTATGCAAAGCAATATCACATGACATGCTAGCATAAAATAATTCAAATTTCAAAACACATCGAAAATCTCCGTAAAACGAATCGTTAAAACCGAAAGTTTATAGCAAACCACTACAATACTCCCCCACCGGTGGACGGAAATGCAAAGAAAGTCCATGAAAACAAAGGAGAGAGAAACAACAGTGGTGAAATGTACAAAGAGTGGTACATACAATAATGTTCAGAGTGGCATGAGTATTATTAATATTGTACTTCGAAGTACATATAGCATAGCCACAAGATCAACAGTCACTCAAGGAACTACAAAGCGTACATACCGGGTAGGCGGGAGGCCGCGGGTCATGAAGAGACTGAACGGGAATGGCAGGAGTTGACACAGTTGATGGCGAGGGCGTATGAGCTGGTTTCAGTCGATCAAGCGAGATTAAGTGTCCCGTCGACCGTTGACATTGACAACAAAGTGCTTCTCACTACGACTGAGGACTGGATGTGGGCCAGTATAATTATAGCGGTTGAAGTGGCCTCTTCACAGCATCTGAGCGAATGAACGTGTGTGTGGCAGACTGCAAGGTGGGCGTAACATGAGTGGCTCGAGAAGCTGGTGCAGGGCATGACTGTACTGGATGAATATCCTGCATCATTGTCCGAAGAGCGATAACATATGTGCGGTAGCTGCAGATGGCAGAGGATCGGAAGATGATGTGAAGAACTCACCGTGGAGTCTAAGTGTAATGCCATACACCAACACCGTAACGCTGCTGTCGAGATCTGACCGTAGGGCTGAACGGAGAGAGTGATGAGAGGACGGCAAGTGTATAGCGTGGGTCAGAGGCTTGTAACCCGCGAGGACATAAAAGGAACAGCCTTCTACATGGTGACGAAAATGCTCCACAGCTAAGTACATCGCTAATAACTCACAGGCAAATGTTGGAGATAGCTTCTTACTGAAGAAAGCTAAAGGCTACCGGGAGTTGTTGACGAACTGCTGGAGCACAGCACCAACACAGTAATCAGAGGCATCGCATATTATGTTGATGGGAGCATCAGGGGTAGGGTGCGACAGCAGTGTTGATTCAGCTAAAAGTGACTTGACATGCTCAAAGGCAGCAGTAGCAGCACACCTTTCACATCTACATGTATGCTGGAATTCACATGATCTTGCTCTGCTTCATTAACCCGCTGTGTGTCCTCTTTTTCTAACGCCAACATCGATTTTTGGTTTGCTAATGCCAGCTCACCCGCTCCTCCCAGAACTTGATTTGTTAGAGCCGGAAGTGAAAATTTACCTGATTTATGGTTCTGTGTGTTGGCAACAGGAACGAGGTGATTCGTTTTGGAGTCGCATGCCCGTGCATGCAGACCGAGTGCTGCCACATATCTTCATTGGCAATTACTCCAGCGGTGCCAACCGGCAGTTCCTTGCTGAGAACAACATCACATACATACTGAACATGACGATGGAGAAACACACCAACAGGTTTGAAGGGATCACCTACCTGAACCTGGGCTTGGACGACCATGCTGGAGCCGATATCTCAATCTTCTTTAAGCAGGCACACGACTACCTGACAACAGTGCGCTTAGAGGGTGCAGTCGCCCTTGTTCACTGCCACATGGGTGAGTTGTACATGTGTACAGCGTCTTGTATGTCATACCTTGTGATGGGCAGTATGCTGCGTTGTTGGAATCTTTACTGTCCTCAGTTTTTGTTTTAGGGAATGTTCGCCCTCTAATATAATACCTGCAGAACTTGTAAAAAATGAAAAAGAGAAGGACCAAAAGTTTACACGCTATCCATTGTTTGTGTCCAACACAAACAAATATAAGAAAGATACCAAGATAAGCAACACTGTTGCATGTTCTGACTCACCGTTATCTTGCTTACATTTATTAGTGTTGGACACAAACAATGGATAGCGTGTAAAAATTTGGCCCTTCTCTTTTTCATTTTTAATCCTTGGCTCTCTATTCGAATATTACAGAACTTGTAGTGAGAAATGCACTGCCTCTACTGATGACAGTCTGAGGTTTATTGAAACATTTCTTCTGGAGTTACAGCATCTGGGAGTTTTGATTAAATTTTTGATATGAATTTTTGATTGCATCCTAATTTGCCTTGATCTGTTTCGGATCATGTAACTCCGTACTGGAATAGGTAGGGAATGGCTCATTTCTTTCCTGTTTCACTGCTAGGAAAACTTTTCCAAGCATTTTTTCCAGTTCGGATACCCACGGCAATAAAGTGGCACATGCCCAGTGGCAAAAGTAGTACTCTCATCACATATCGCATATGAATTGTCAATAAAACGGTGTGCACAGTAGCAGTAGTAATATGAGACACAAATCCACACAATATAAGATAATTAATGACAAAAGCAGATAAGCCAAAGTATTTACGATATGCCAAAATGCGACTTTAGAGCCATGAGGGAAGCATTGATAGTACAGAGCGCTGTGTCAGTCATTCCCGCAAGGTTCTCAATCTTCTCGTTCAATTGCTGCTCCTGTTACTGCATCTTCTCAGCCTGTTGTTCGTTCATCTGCGCTAGCTTATCAATCTTGTCAGCCTGCTGCTAGTACGCCGAGGCTAGCTTATTATTACAACGCAGACTGAGACAAGGATGTTACCGGTATGTATAATTCTATTCACAAAAGCCAACAACGAGGAAGTCACTTCAAGGACTCGGAAGACAGAACAACAAGGAAAGGGCAATAGTCCATCAGCCAAGAACTCAGAAGTCGTCAAATTCAAGCACCCTGTTGCACTTAGAAATCGAATACTTGATTTTGGCCTCAATGGGGAGTTTAGGTACCCTGTACACCGAATCCGCAAATAAAAAGAGTAAACGACTTGCACGCTCTGCAGGGGGAAGCCGACAAAGTGACCATTTTTGGCATTTCATCGACAGCCATTGTTGTGACCTAAACCCAATCTCCAATCAGTGCCATGCGCGTTTCAGGAATGAACTTTCAGATTTTTGTGAATTACGGGAAAAATCTTGCAAATCGAGAAGATTTGCAGTGTAAACCATCGCAGTTTCCGTATTACACGTGTGCCTGGATTCAAATTACAATAAAATTGTTGTTCGCCTACTTGTAGAGTGTTGTTCCATTACACATCTCTTTCACTGTTCTATTTAATTGAGCATCCGAATACATACCTTCAGGAAGATTACAATGAGCTAGTATTGAACATCATCCACCTTCGGGTTTCCGAAGTATGCACCCCGAGTCATGTCAAGCAGGTTTGAAGCGTAGTTTTTACTGTTTGGCAAAAGTGATCTACGCTTCCACCCTGAATGGAATCACCCCGGGAAGGTCCTGATCCCTGGAAAAATAAGGAACGTGGAGAGCTAAAAGTAAGGAATCTGCGGCGATGGATGTTGTACATCGAGTGAATGCCCTGCAGTTCTCTTCTCCATTACGACCAACTAGCAAACGCCATGGCTCTGATCTGGATGCTGACAGCAAACAGTTGAAATAAAGGCAAGGCTGCTTTGAACATGTTGCAACCAGGTAGTAGTACAGTTACAGTTGTACTACTTCGAAGTACTATCTACCACACTCGAGATCACCCAAAGAATAAAGCGATTGAATTCAAAATCAAAAAAAATGTTGGGGATCGTCTGAAGCATATTCAAGCGAGGTGCAGTCGGGCTTGATGACTGATCAAAGCCCTCGGGCTGGTCCCTTGGGCTTTGATCAGCCATCAATCCCTCTGTACCTCGCTTGATTATCTACTTGATACCATTGTAGTTGCAAACAAGTAACTACAACAATTGCAGTACAATAGTCATGTAGTTTTTTGAATTAGTTATTTGAAAATGGTGAGCATCTTCATCTTCTTCCCGGTGCGCATGTACACATATTTTTTGAATCTGTACGTGCTCCAAGCCAACTCACCTCTGCTCAAATCGACGGCGATTTATTTCGCGATTTTAGGTCGATCGCCGCGGAAAACCACACCAAACGTTGACAAAACTCCACGTTTTTCACTGAAGACGCATTGGATGTCATGATAAAACAGATGGAAAACCTCGTAATGGCTGATGAAGAAGAAGAAATTTGTCGAACTTCCAAGGCGCACTGCAAAAGGAGTGCAAGAGTTTCGCCAGGGAAAGTAGGCAGGTCGGATTCAGTGATGCTTTTGCTGTCGATTGATGTCAGTTCCAGGTGTTCGATTTGTAAGTGCAACAGGGGACTCACTTTGGCACCACTGGCTGATGGACTACAAGGAAGCACAGGTTGGCCTGCGTGCATGCAGAGTCCTAGTGACGTCTTAGTGACGTCAACACAAGACATGTACATGGATATCACATCCCTCCAACCCTAGATGAAACAAAGACTAAGTAAACAATAACAAATAACAAATCACCTGTAGAAACAGTAACACAAGACATGGCGAAATATAGCTGTAAACACAGAAATAAGACAGCAGATCTAACTGTGAGTAGCTATGATAGAACTGTTACAAGTCCAAACGGATGGGCGCCTGAACAGCTCTAGTCGAGCGACGCGGATGAATAGCAGGAGTCGACCCAGCTGACTGCGACTCTGAAAGTGTGACTGATTCCTGTGCTGGAGGAACTGGTGAGGCAGATACGGCCGTTGGTACAGAATCAACTGAAGGCTGTAGTTCGGATGCGTCTGAATCCGGCACAGATGATGTCGACACTGGATGGCTCAGAGGTTGACCAGATGGAACGACAGCTGGATATGCGGTTGTTGCCTGTTCTGGCGCAGCAACAGGTGGCTCCTCGGCCGGCAATCGTGGGCGGATGTGGTCACTGTGCCGTTTCCACAATCTGCCATCGGGTAGGCGCACCGTAAATGTGGCTGGGCCTAGACACTCTTCAAGAACTCCATCCATCCATTTAGGCGAGCCCGCAAAGTTGACACAGGACACAGGGTCACCACAGCAGAAGGACGACGAGTGAGCCGGGCGGCGGTCTACGGCTGCTTGCTGTCGGCTGAAAACCTTCTTAGAAGTGTCCGGAAATGTGAGGTCAAGACGGGACCGAGGCTTATGACCCATCATGAGTTGGAATGGAGATTGACCAGTAGTTGATTGTGGCGTAAGGCGATACTGAAACAGGAACCGATACAGACGGGATTCCAAATCAGAATCACCAACAGACTTCTTCAGCGCATTCTTGACGGTTTGTACGGCACGCTCAGCTAGACCGTTGCTGGCTGGGTGGTACGGAGATGACCGGGTATGCTTGATACCATTAACAGAACAGAATCGTTGAAATTCGTCGCTGGTGAATACTGAGCCATTGTCGGAAACAAGTTGAAGCGGCAGTCCGTGCGTTGCAAATGTCTGACGGAGCTTGGCAATAGTTAAAGCCGAGGTTGCAGACGATACCGGGTGGACTTCAATAAACTTACTGAAACTGTCAACGATAACCAGGAGCATCTTGCCTTCAACTGGACCTGCGTAGTCGACATGCAGACGCACCCATGGTTTACCTGGCCATTCCCAGGGATGTAGCGGCTGAAGGGCTGGTGACTTCTGAATGGCTTGGCACGGTTGGCAGCTCTTGACCTTGAGCTCTATCTCGTCGTCAATAGATGGCCACCAGATGTAGCTGCGGGCGAGGGCTTTCATCCGGGTTATGCCCGGGTGACCTTCATGTAATTCTTCCAGGAGCGTCTCACGGCCTCTTGGTGGAATAATAACACGTGAGCCCAGCAAAAGACAGCCACTTATTACTGAAAGCTCATTACGACGACGGGAATACGCTTGATAATCCACGGGGATGTTGTCCGGCCAACCTTCTTGGACGTACTTGAGGACAAGTGACAGCACCGGATCTTTGCTCGTCCATTGAGCAATGGTGGTGGATGTGACCGGAGTGTTCTCCAGGACAGACATCGACAGAACGACTTCGGCTGGTGTTGGGACTTCTGGTACCGATGAGGGTGATGGTAGCCGACTGAGTCCATCAGCATTACCATTGTTGCTGCCCGACTTGAACTGAAGCTGGTAGTCGTAGCTTGCTAGTAGTAGGGCCCAGCGTTGGATGCGACCACTGGCCATCGGCGGAATCGGACGATCTTCCTGAAATAGACCAAGTAGAGGCTTGTGGTCAGTCTGCAGCACAAACGAGCGGCCAAATAAATACTTATGAAAGCGCTTGACGGCGAACACCATAGCCAGGCCTTCTTTCTCGATCTGTGCATATTTCTGTTCCGCTGAGGACAATGTTCTCGATGCAAACACGACTGGATGCTCGTCTCCGTCCGCAGTGATGTGTGAGAGAACGGCACCAATACCATACGGTGACGCATCACAACTGACGACAATTGGCATCTTCGGGTCGTAATGTACCCGGCATGGTGCTTCTAGTAGCATGGCTTTGCTTTTCTCAAAAGCAGACTGTTCACAGTCAGACCACCGCCACTGCTTCTTAGAGAGCAATTCGTACAGGGATTTCAACACAGTACTTAAGTTCCGTACAAACTTGTGATAATAGTTAATCAAGCCCAAGTAGCTTCTGAGCTGCGATACGTTAGTCGGTGCCTTGGCGTCCAGCACATCTTGCACTTTCTCAGCTGTCGGCGTTATTCCGGTTGAATCAATGATGTGGCCGAGGAAAGAGACAGATGAACGGCCAAACACACATTTGTCCCGGTTCAAGCGCAGACCAGCCGATTCAAGACGCTCCAAGACCATTTTGACATGGAGGTCGTGTTCCTCTCGTGTTGCGCCAGATATGAGGATGTCGTCCAGGTACACTACGACCATTGGAATGTCGGCCAACAGCTGCTCCATGGTGCGCTGAAAGATACCAGGTGCAGAGGACACTCCAAAAGGCAAGCGATTATACACAAATAGGCCTTTGCTTGTGTTGATAGCCGTGAGAAGCTGAGACTGTTCGTCTAACGGTAGCTGCTGATAGGCCTGGCTGAGATCTAACTTCGTGAAGCAGCATCCTTTATTCAGTTTCACATATAAGTCTTCTATGTTGGGTAACGGATACTTGTCTGTCTTGGATGCTTGATTAATGGTACACTTGTAGTCGCCACAGATGCGTATCTGGCCATTGTTCTTTAGCACTGGCACAATCGGTGCAGCCCAATCGGTACTCTGCACGGGGTGAATAATGTTCTCTTTCACCAGCCGGTCCAGCTCCTTCTCCACTGCCGACTTGAGTGAATAGGGAACCGACCGTGCCTTCAGAAATCGTGGCCTCACGTTACGGTCCACTGCCAGCTTGACACTGCCATGTCGCCAAGTGCCCAGGCCAGACTTGAATAGTTCCGGATGCTTGTCCAGGATATTCTTCGGCATGTCACCAGTGACGTTGAAAACTTGGTTCCAGTTGAGCCTCAGTTTCTCCAATGCGTCCCGACCTAGCAGATTGGGTCCAGTGCCTTTGACCACATAATAGACCAGCTCAGCCTTGCGTCCTCCGTGGCTGGTTTCGCTTCTCACGCGGCCTACCGTTGGGATGATCTTGCCGGCATACGTACGTAGACTGGGTAAGTCGTCAGTTTCCAGCGTCAACTGTTCCTTGGAAGCCAAATCATGGTAATGCCGTTCGTTAATCACAGTAACTGTAGCCCCGGTGTCGATCTCGAATACCATTGGGGTGCGGCCAATGCGAACAGTGCAGACATACGGGTCGACAGTACTGCTTACATGGCTGATACACACGGTGTGGTGCAGTTCCGGACAATACTCCTCACTGTTTACTGCCGAGTCTGATTCCCCCGCGTCCGGCGCTGGATTGTGCACAAAGTGTACCTTGTCCTTGGCTCTGCACACAGATGCGAAATGGCCCTGCTTGTGGCAGAAATTACACGACTTTCCCCAGGCAGGGCAGCTCTCTCGTCTCTCGTGCCATTGTCCGCCGCAGCCAGTGCACTTGCGGCCAGCTTTGGGAGGCCTGTCGTTGTACGAACGCGACTTCAGCGATGATGGCGCGGACCGAAGACTGTGGACGTCTGTAGTCCTTGAGGCCGATGTCAGCTCTGCAGCCCGCGCATCAGCGAGTTCCTCCGAAGTTGCCGTGGCTAAGAAATCAGCAAATTTCTTGTCGTTCGCCATAGTCAGCAGTTTCTTAGTGATGGATTGGCCTCGTAGCCCTTGCACGAACTGGTCCTTCAGTGCGCGATCCAAGTGGGAGTCGAATTCGCAAGTGGACGCCAGTCTCTTCAGGCGATTTGCAAATTCCGTGACAGATTCCGTTCCTTGCCGGCACTGATGGAAACGATAGCTTTCCGCCACTAAACTCAGCTTCGGTTGGAAGTGTTTCTTGAGGAGATCGGCTATCTCATCGAACGTTTTAGACGTTGGCTTGTCAGGAAAGCACAAGTCTTTCAGCGTCGAGTAGGTAGCTTTACCCATCAGCGCAATCAGGGCAGCCGTTTTGACCTTTCCTGCAGCAGTGACGTCGTCTGCATCGGTGGTAGCTGCCACTCCGATTCTATTTGCGGCAAAATAACACTCGAGACGATCCAAATAATCGGAGAAGTTCTGGCCGTCAAATGGCTCCATCTGGCAGAAACTGGAGGCCATGGCCATCGTCTAATACTTTTATCTTCGTCGCCAATTATTACAACCCAGACTGAGACAAGGATGTTACCGGTATCAGGGGCGTAGGAGGGGCTTTGGAAGTGGTACGACCGAAGGTCGTTGCGGCCGAAGGTCGTTGCGGCCGAAGGTCGTTGCGGCCAAAGGCCGTGTTGGAGGGGGGTCCGGGGGACCTCCCCCGGGAAAATTTTGTAAAAAAGACACAAAATCCTGCGTTCTGGGAACTTCTGGCACACTTCTACGTGTACGTAACGTCGTTCGTAGTGTGCAGTCGAGTCGAGTACAGTACTCAGTAGGGTCTACGACTACAGATGCATAACAGATCTACGAGTCTAGAAAAAGGTCAAAGTCTGATGCGCATATGCATGCCATCGATGGATCCTGATTTTTTATCACGGTTTTGCACGTTTCGGACGGACCACACTTTTCGAAAAGTGGTACGGCCATGGCCGTACCAGTCGTAGCGGGTGCTACGCCCCTGGGTATGTATAATTCTATTCACAAAAGCCAACAACGAGGAAGTCACTTCAAGGACTCGGAAGACAGAACAACAAGGAAAGGGCAAGGAAGCACAGGTTGGCCTGCGTGCATGCAGAGTCCTAGTGACGTCTTAGTGACGTCAACACAAGACATGTACATGGATATCACCAAGAGTGCATAAACAAAAAAAAACAAAAAAAAAAAAGGACTCTTGATATCACACTTATCAATCTTCTCAGCCTGCTGCTCCAAACTTCGTTCCACGTTTGCCATCTTGGCCGTTAGGTTCTCGTACGCCGAGGCTGCCGTCAGCTTTTGACTCGCTGCTTGCGCTAAACTGACCCTAATCTCACCGTCTTTTCTGTCCAGCTCTTGACAATACTCAGAGAATCCTTCGAGCAACCACTTCCGCCTTTCTCGACACTGCTCTGACGCTTCAGCGACTTTCGATGTCTCCATTATGAGGATGAAACACTTCTTCAGTTCTTGACTGCGCCTTCTTCATGAAATGATCAGAAATGAGCTGTGCGCAGCTCTGGGCGCAACATTTATCTTTTTGTCCTTGTTCCAGCGCCATGTCCGCACACACACTGCGCATGTGTAAAAAGTGACATCATGCGATATGCAGCACGCTGGCCGCACATGCGCTGCCAACCTTCCACTCAGGTGACGACATGTACAGGCAACTATAGTATACATGTTATAGTACTCAGGCGACTCGCGACTGCCATCATCACGCCATCATGCGCATACCAAAGTTGGGGAAACATCCAGCTTCCTTGCTACAATGGAGGGCTAGAGTACTGTCATTTTCTTTACCTATACCATATTTTTCGGAGTATAAGCCGCACTGGAGTATAAGCCGCATCCATACTGGCCAACCCTCCCGGTTTTCCCGGGAAAATCCCGGGAAATCTACACTACTCCCGGGGTCTCGGGAATTTCAAGCAAACTCCCGGAAAAGTCACAGTTTTGTCTGATACAGGATTTTAGGATTTTCATGGATTCACCTCGAATGTCCCGGGTTTTTTCAAAAATATGTAAGGTGCCCTTTCGCACTTCGAACGGTGCACGGCACTTTCAAGATCTGACCAGCCTTGCCTGCAAGATCTGCACTGACAGGCGCTAGGCCGTCGCCGACTGATCGAACTGCACAGCAGGGTCGAACTGTGCTGTACGCAGATCTGCAGAGTCGATCGATTTTTTGGCGGGAAAAGTTCTTTTTCACTTGTTTTTGTGCCATCCAGGGATTTTGAGAGAAATCCAGGGATTCTGCATGTCTTGTCAAGGGATTGAGATTTTGGTGATAGTCAGTATGTGCATCCCCCATTTTTCGCCACGAAATACAGACATAATTATTATCTTCGTTAATTTGATCATTGGAGTATCAGTCGCAACCCCATTCTTTTGAGTGAATTTTGAGTGTTCAAAGTGTGGCTTATACTCCGGAAATACGATACCCATGCAAGGCTGATCTCTAGGGCACTACAGATCTGAGTTAGTTATGATGTCCTCATGATGGCAAAGAATTTGATCAAAATTAGAGATGCTGTAAACTCTGAAGCCGTTCCTCCCATTCACCTGGGTTGTTTCGCCATGTGAATGAAGGGCGTTTCTCGCTTCTTGTCATGAAGTTGTATGACTGGGTGAGCTTCCCCTTCAAAATTGAGCACCAAGCACACTGCATCCATCATATTGGGGATTCTGTATGTCTAGAGCCCAGCATTCCATTGCTTTTTAGAGCGACTTCCTCTGTAACCTAGGTCAATATAACTGTTAATTAATTGCAAGAGCGAAACAAGGATTATTTGAATTAATTTGTGTTCAATAATATCTGTGCGCAGTGCATGCATCGTCCTTATTGCCTAGTTTTTAATGTGGTTTTCTGTAGGTATTTCTCGTGCCACCACGATCACCATGTCGCACATGCTGCTAGGTGGCAAGATCTATGATGACATAGATGAGCATCAGGAGAATGCAAAGAAGTTTGCGAGCCGTCGTGCTGTTGACGACAAGGCATTGAGGGCTGCCCAGGTAGCACCATTAACAGAGCAAATAGCGCTTGCGGATGTCTGGAAACTGGTGTCGTCGCGTCGCAAGTGTGCCTCGCCGAACGACGGCTTTTTCCGACACTTGGAGCTGCTTGAGATGAGGCTTACAAACCGGAACTCGCCTACCGTCAAACGGTCCAATATGTGGGGCAGTAAGTTTATGCAAGGCAGGTGAAGCGTGCACTGAGCCTCGCTAGTGGCGGCTGTTTATACATTTACCACTGGTTTCAACACCGGACCTAAGCATAATGATTATTGTGTTATGGTGTACATGTGGATTTCTGTTAGTTACTGTTTTACTCTCGATGACATGATGTTACAGACGGTGAATCAATGACTCAGAGTACCAGTACTAGTAGCTGAGTTGATCCACCCACATTAGGGCTTTTTTAATATTACGATGTAAGTTAGTGGGCCTTTGCAATGTATCGCATTGTAGATCTATAGGTGTGTGTGCGTGCGTGTGTGTGTGTTTATGTTTGCATGCCCGTTGTGTTTAGCGCTGCTGGTTGGAGTCTAATGTGTTGTAAATCCTGGTAGTGGGCGATCTGCCAGGACTGTGTCCTGTGCATAACATTCAGTGTGACCAATTTGTCTTCTATTTACTTTGTTCATTTGTTTTGATCATTGAATGCTATCCTATGCACCATACCCAGCATGTTTTCATAACTATGAGCTGTTTCATGCCTATCTTGATCGAATTTCAAGTGCTGAAATAAATCATGTCCTTCTTTTCAATTCGTACGGCAACGCTGGAATCCAGTAGTGCCACCGTTACAATTTCCTTCGCGTATTCATGCGCCTATGTATACTCTTGTCGTGTTATGTCGGTACTCTTGGAGTTTTATTGAGATTTCCTATTTGACATTGCTGCCTCTCTGTCTTTGTTCATGACTTTTGTTCTGTATTTATGAACTTACCCTACCCTTTCTCCGTGTACGTCTTAACTAGTTATTTATTAGCACTACTCCTGCTTGTGTTTTAGGGTGTCTTCGTTCGTGTTTCTTTGATTGGCGAAAGCATCTTTTCAAGTGTGTGTTTCTGCTGTTTTCCTCAACCGTGAGCAGACTGTTTAAAAATACTTTGTGATAGCTTGCATGTCCCTGGTCCCAAGATATAGTATCTCTCTGCAGAAATTGGTTTCGGTCGATAATATTCTCTCAGTCGTAAGATCTTTATAAGCCAAACTATGGTGCAAAAAGACTGAGCCTATGTGCAGTGCATTGCATACCTCGGCATGTGCACTTGTTGTAGACTATAATCCAGCCTTATGATAATCTTGCTGACGATAGGCTCATCACTGCTCAAGAGAGTACATACGATGCAGACTGCAGACATCTTCACGGAGCACCAAGAGTACCTAACTTCCAGGGGCGTGTGACACGTTATGCCACTATGGTTTTGACCATAAGTCATCGTTAGCACCCATTTTTTATGATGAAATGCTTTGATTATTGGCAATAAATAAGATAAATTGTGCACTCATAACAACAGCAAAAATGAAGAAAGTCAAGTTCCATAACGTTTTCTTGTGACTGTCTTTCTCACATACACTATATTCACACATTGCAAAGGTGCAAACTTCGCTTTTTGTACTTGTTAGCTGCTGTATTTCTACCTGAAACCATATTAGCTACATGTATATAGTGTGTGTTTTAGTTATTACATTTTTATGTGACGGCGTTCCACTGATGACAGTCACAAGAAAACGTTATGGAACTTGACTTTCTCAGTCATTTTTGCTGTTGTTATGAGTGCACAATTTATCTTATTTATTGCCATTTTACGACTATTGTCTCCTCGTCGATTGTTTAAATGCTTTGATTATTGGCTGTGAATATTGAAATCTGTGAAGGATTGCCCCGAAATGGCACCTACAACAGTCAATGGCTCGCCGTACCAGCCTGAAATACCTTCCCATGCCCCTGATACCTAGTACATGTACCTGGTACTACATGTATAACTAAGCTTATTATCAAAATATTAACACAATGTGAAGGTCACATCAGATGTCGATGTGGGTTATGGTCTAACCAGTCTTTCAGGGTTTTATCAAGAGTACTAGTATGATGCTTTCATAGGAAAGGTGCTCCCGGAGTCCCGGTCCCCTCACCGGACCTCGCGCTTTTTTTCGGCTGACTGACTTGACTTTACTCACGGCTAGCTGCCATCCAGAGCACACGGGAAGTCCAGCATCGAACCTTCGACTTGGTAAACCTACAAGAAAGCACCACTGCCTCAGTGCTCAATGAGTCAATACACTGCGGACTGTAAACCATGGTAAACACAGTGTCCCCCCCCCCCCCCCCCACACACACACACATCAGTTGAGCTTGAATATGCTAATGTCAGTAATGATTATGCCTGAAGAGCACCACACTGTCCACAGACAGTGTTCTTCCAGGCCAAACCATCACCACCAGGGGTACAAACTTACAGAGACGCTCCGTTCCCAGCGCAACAAACACCAGAATCATGAATGATACTTGATAGCAGCGCGATGGTGGTAGCGACTTCGGCGATGATTTCACAGGAAAGGTGCTCCCCACACCGGAACTCGCTCTTTTTCCGTCGACTGACTTGACATTTGAGAAGTAACGTTGAGCGACACACGACTCCCATCCAGAGCACATGCATGAGAAGTCCATCGAACCTTCGACTCTGCAAACCTGCTGCAAGAAAGCACCACAAACTTACTTACAGAGACGCTCCGTTTCCAGCGCTACAAACACCTCATGAGCACCAGATAGCGGCGCGAGTCCGTGTCGCTCCTGGACGGTGAGAACAGACGTTGAGGACCCTCCCGGCCTCGGTCATTCGCACGCTGTCACTGTGTGTGAGCAGGGAGTGATGCTTTCTTGCAGGTTCGCCGAGTCGAAGGTTCGATGGACTTTCGTGATAATTATGATGGCAGTCGCGGGTCAGTCAAGTGTCAAGTCAGTCGGCGGAAAAAGCGCCAGCTCCGGTGTGGGGAACACCTTTCCTAGTATATAAGCTCCCGAGCTTATTGTTTTTACTCTTGGTTTTGCTGATACTAGTTGTGATAGTCTAGAGGTCTACGAGGTGAGTTGTTGACTACTGGCAAGAAGAGGTTGTACTCCTTACAGGTCTGACCGAGGAATTCACTAATACGACATAATAACTGTTACAGGCACCTTTGATACGGAGTACTAAGTTAGTAGTAATTGTAGTCACGGGCACCACCAGTGCAGCTGTTCCAACCAGGGACGAGGACCGACGTCGAACCAATACCCGCTATCAAGAGTGCATAACCTCCGCTTGCTGTTATGGATGAAGTACTGGTAAGCCTTTATTTTCAGTCCACTAGCTGCATGCTGTGGACTCAGTTCACAGTTTGAGGAAGACTGTGAAAATGTATCTTTTAAATTGTTTAGCGTACTACTACTAGTACTAGTAGTACGAGTACTCGGAGTTGCAATACTGTTCCACCTTACTTGTAAGGAAGCTCAAAATTTTATTGAGCACGTTGTGCGCAGAGAGGATATTAGCAACCTACTGTCGTGGACATGGAAATCCAGTCAAATGACCAGAACGTTGCATGCAGTGCACATGCGACCAGCACTCTGCAGCGCGTATACGAATGTGTGTACCCGCTTACCCACGGCTGCATGGCCACTAGACGTGCAACCGGATTTCCATGTCCACGGCAGTACTTTGTAGCGTACTCAAAATTAGTACTATGATGTGAATATCATAGCATTGTATGGATTGAATCGAATCACATTATGCATGAACCAGGCGCCAGGCGCACGCTCCAGTAACGAATAGAAAACTGAGGAGAGCTCTTCATGATTTCATACACTTATCCGCTACAGAGGTTATTCGAATGATTTCATTTGGTGAGTCAGCGGAACTGTTTATGGGCGCTATGTATGCGGCGTGAGTCGCTAGTGCAAGCGCAGCACTGTGCCGTGTATATGTGCTCGTGGAGATGCGTACTACTCCCTGGTTGCAATGATGCAAAGCAACCGTTGTCGTTCGGATGATCAGTTTAAAAATACTTATTTAGTTACTATTATCTGATTCGATTGGTGAACTGTTGCACTCCTAACTGTTATCTTATACCAATACTTTGCTCTCTCTTTTTTCCTCTTCCGTTGGCACATGAAAAGCCGGGTGGATTTTCACATTGCTGGAACTCACAAATCTTTTATGGGCCGGTAATAAAGAAAGTGTGTTTTTGTTTGTTTCAGAAACCTGGCATATCTCTCCTTCTCATGCCAACATTTTGGTTTGAAATGCCTTGCAAACTTTCCGTAATCCCCCCCCCCCCCCCCCCAACACACAAATATGAATCAGTCACGGTTAATTTAAAAAGAAAGAAAGCAAAACTACATGTATTATGTATCTCGGGCAAAGGCAAGAGTCTTTGGGCAGCATATTCATGGTGCTCCAGCAGCAATTGCGGCTCCCGAGTAATAATTATTGTCTCTATGGTGTGGCTTTATTTTTGTCTTTAGGAAAACCCGTATTATGACATTACGATCCCGAATGCAGACCGAGTGCTGCCACATCTCTTCATTGGCAATTACGCAGCCGGTGAGGACGAGAAGTTTCTTACGGATAACCGCGTCACATACATATTGAACTTGACACCGGACAAGCACAGGAAAAGGTTGGAAGGGATCACCTACCTAAACCTGGTGTTGCACGATTCTGCCCATGAAGATATCTCGCGCGTCTTTGATCAGGCACACGACTACCTGACAACAGTGCGCTTAGAGGGTGCAGTCGCCCTTGTTCACTGTCACATGGGTGAGCTGTACATGTGTACAGTGTCTTGTATGTCATACCTTGTGATGGGCACGGTACGCTGTCTTTGCTGAAACGTTTACTGTGCTTGGTTTTTAGTATGAGCTGCACGGACACTGCATCCATATAAGAATCAGTACGTTGATTGCTATGATGTAGTTAAAGTGGGTCACCCACCCATAATCTAGGGCGGGAATAGACCCTTCTTCAGGCGTGTACCCAGGGGGGGGGGGGGGTCCACAGGGTTCGGTCAAACCCCCCTTTCCGTCAGCCGACTGAACGATGTAACCCCCTCCCTCCCTGATTTGACTTCTCGTTGGTTTTCTGTAGGTATTTCTCGTGCCACCACGATGACCATGTCACACATTCTGCTTAGTGGTAAGATCTATGATGACATAGATGAGCATCGGGAGAGTGGAAAGATGTATGCGAGCCGTGGGTTTGCTGACGATAAGGCATCGAGTGCAGGAGAGCAAGTTTCGTTTGCGGAAGTCTGGCGCCTGGTACGAACGCGTCGCAAGTGTGCCTTACCGAATCCGGGCTTTGTCCAGTATTTAGGGTTACTTGAGATGAAGCTTACAGGCCAAAGCACACCCAGCGTCAAGCCATCCGATTTACCCTACGAGGCGTATGTGGAATTACCTTTGGAAATATAGTTCTTCTTTTCTTACTCGTCACTTAAAACTCTCGACACACTCCGCAAAAGCATCACCTTCACCCTGGGCCTGGCCCGTCAACGGGATAACACTCCAACTGTAAGTATGCAAGTATATCAACGACTTGGGAAAGTTCTCCCTCTTCTTCTTCTTCTTCTTCTTCGCATTATTATTTTTACTCCCCCTCACATTGTGTTCTAGGCTATCAATTAATGCCTCAGAGTAGGTGAGTTGATCCCCCCCCCCCCCGATATAAGTTAGTGGACCGTTACGTTACAGTGTAGCGCATGGTATGTGCTGCTGCTGCTGCTGTTATGAATCATGGGTGAGAGTGTGTGCATGCATGATATGTAGCTCCACTGACGACATCTTAGTGTGTTCTAGATGTTGGTAGTAGGCAGCCTCCCAGACGTGTCCTGTGGTGTCTGTCAGCTTGTCTTCTATTTGTTTTGACCAGTGAATACCATGCCGGCCACACACAGTAACTAGCATAATCATGTCTACTCGGAACTATGAAGTATGAGTTACTTCATGCAATGACAAAGTCCCCGTTCTACTCTTTAGGCTGACAGTGTGGCGGCGTATACCATGGTATACGCTCACTACAATGACGTAGTGTCACTGATAAGTTACAATCTTCTCCGCATGTTTGTACTGGCGTTTACCTCATACCGGTATCAACACACCAAGAGCCTCTTGCGAATTTGTATTCAAGATGTGCTTCTGCTCCTATGTCTATGCTCCTATGTCTATGCTCCTATGTCTATGATTTCCTGTCTTTCAGTCTACTATTTTTAATTTATTTATCACTTGTCAAGGCTCCTTGTAGTAGCGTTACGAATTTCATAACTCAATTTATGAGCATATCAGGTTGCTTTCTTTTGTGTGTATTCTGTCAAGCGCCTTCAATTCAGTCCAGAGTGTCTTTCCAGTTTACTTGTCCGGCAGCGTTTCTCAAAAACAGGACTGCGCCGAACTTTTGCAGTTTGAGTGTATTTTATATATTCTTGATTTGAGTTCTGTACTGATGAAAATTAATATAAGGCCACCCTTTGTTAATTCATTGTTTAACGTCCTTTTTTTCGCGAAAAGGTACGCGGGAGGGCGGAGAAAAAACAAAAGCCCATTCCAAAAACTGGAAACCCCAATCAAACATTTTGACCAGTAAAGCATGTGATATATACAATATTTCTGGGTCTAACGGCACTTGCAGGCATAGAACAACACTCTTTGATGGTACATTGGAGCACATGCCTGATGAATCCAACAAAACAGGTACATAGCATGGAGTTAGCATGTCATGAATTCATTACATCTGGATTTTTACTAGGACACACACCGTACGATATTTAAAAGCCAACAAAAAAAGAAAAAGAACACAAGACAAAGGCATGCCCGGGAGGCAAGATTATAAGTTTAAGATCATGATCGGCACACTGTGAAATTACACAATCATGTATTTACAACTTCGCATATTATTGGTACTACTACTTTCTTGTTTTTTTTTCCGGTCGGAGGCAAAAAGGTACGCGGGCGCGGACGTTAAACAACGAAAAAAGAAAGGGTGGCCTAAACTGCCAAGCCGCTGGATGGCGGTGTAATGTGGTTTGGACATGCGTTTGTGGTAGGGGTAGGTGCATGCCGGTGACAGTAGTCCGAGTCCTACACTCGTACTAGATCGATCCGTGACATGCAGCCAGCAGCACATAATGGCCCATGTCGGACATACGCTCGCTGAGCATACACATGGAAGCTTGCGCATGGCACCACGCATGTACCTGTGTACTGTATTCGAATAATTGCACACTCCATAAACTCTTCAAGTCACTCAACTTCGGTGGTTTGGATATGCAGCCTTCTGCAATAGTACGGGCTTATACGACACCTTAATAGCGGTAACAAACACAGCCGTGATGATTATGGCACAGTGTTCCACCTATAGGCATGCACGCGCAGGCCGAAAACTAGAGATGCATACGTATCCTAGAATTGTCCTTTGGCTGACTACACAAAACTAGAGAAAGCTAAATGAAAGTTTCACTTGTGACGGGCCAGAACCCCAGTGCAGTTCTCCAAAGGCCAAAAATCAACGTGCTACATAGACGCAAAAATAAGGTAGCAGATATGTGAAAACGGTTGGGGTGAAGCTGCCAGCAGCATTCTTAAAAAAAATGAGTTAAACTACAATTGTAATACAAGTGCCTTCCTAGAGCTAGAGACCTAGCTGGTTCATGAATACCGTACTGGCAATAGAACAGCCCTGCAAAAAGAAGACAAATCAACGAGCAACCTGGATTCCGCTTGCACGGACTGCAAGCAAAAAACCCAGGGTGTGCTGCAGCAGTGCGACATCTGAATGTGTAAGGAATATTCGACAGGAGTAATGAAAGTAATGTGACTACCCTATCGGCCTACACTCATTAAAATTTTACAAGTAAGCCATTAATTTGAGAAAATAAAGGGGGGGGGGAATCCCCCTGCATGTGCCTATTGTAAGTTTGTAACCTACACTACACTTGTTTAAAAAGTTCTAGACTCATGTTATAATCATGTAAGGATCTATGATAGAATTGAAAGCTAACGTAATGGCACACAGGCGTATAGCCTGGCCTATTGTAAAACGGATTCGAAATGCTAGCAAAGCAGCACAGCAAGGAAAGCAGATGCATCGTCGAACAAGGTGCAAGCCAACAAGGTATGGCAACTATAAAACGGGTAGTGACCAGATGTCTGCAAAATACTGCCATGAAAAGTGTCCGAATAAGACCAGGGAAATGAACATCGCTGCCAATGGCTAAGTGCCATTCACCACACTTCCAAGAAAAATGAGTTCATAGCTTGCAGAGGAGCTTTGAATACGGATCTAAATGTTCAAGTGGTATGTTTACTGACATTAGAATTTAGAAGCAGTACATAATGCATGCTTCCAGAGCCTTGCAAGGTTGGCATTGGAATTGGACCTCATCTGCTGCTGCTCACCTCAAGCGCTTCATCAGCTGAAATCCACCATATGCTGCAGCCGCAGCAAGCATCGGCGTCATAAGCAAAGAAGCCGAGGAGATTGGGTGAACGCGCGCCCACCCGAACGCACCATACGCATGCATGCCCATGGACAGGTACCACGCGTTGACAATGAGTTTCTCAAACTGCTCCTTACGGCCGGTCTGCCAGTGAAAAACAATACGTACCAAAGACAAAAATTCCAGACAAGTTCAAAATATTGCCCGTGTAGAAAAGCTTGGGAGTTTATTGAAGCACTCAGTGAAGCAGAGGCTGGAACTACTCACAAACACCGTATGTTCTCAGACCTCAAAGGAAAACAAGACCGTGGCAGCCAGTACTCACCTGGTCAACAACTTCGTACGAGAGCTCTCGCTTCTGCACAGCGTAACGGAGCAGTCCGACATGCTCCAGCGCTAGCAATGCTGGGTTACTGCGGACAACGCTCTCCATCGATCCTTCCAGCATATCACACGTCAAATAGGTACACTTGCCTAGTAGCAGCAGAAAATAGAGCAGAGTAGTTGCTAATTTATAGAAAAGAAAAGGACTAAGGAACTACAAGTTACGCTATAATGTCCACTAACACCACCAGTTACTTGACAATCAGCTCATGCGATAACATTGCACAAACACTGCATGAGCTGATTGTCAAGTAACTGGTGGTGGTAGGCTGTGTTTACACGAGAACTTTCAACCCGGGTCGAGTTCAACCCGGGTTGAAAGTCTGTACGATGGAAAAAATAGGTGAGTGTTTATGAAGACAGTTGATCCGGGTCAACTACTGATTTGATGCCAAAAGTCCACTTCTAGAGTCCTGTATGGTCACGTGAATCATTTCGCGCGAAATTTGCATGACTGTGCAGTTCTATTCATACCTGGCGCGAGATACACACAGAAGTACGTTAGTGTGATTTCTCGCCCCGGGTTGAAATTTCAACCCGGGTCAAGCGCAATGCGTCATGAAAACGCGCCAGTCAATCTGTGCTCATGTCGGGTTGAAACTTGACCCGGGTTGAAACGCCTCATGTAAACACAGCCTTAGTGGACACTATAGCGTAAATTGTAGTTCATTTGAGAGGTTCTGCAAAACGAAAATGTGTACGAACTTTCGCTCTACGTCACGAAGTGAGAAACTTCGCACGAACTTTCGCAACTTTGGACGCGAAACTTGCAGGGAACGCGAAATGAACTTTCGTAGGAAGTTTCGTGAGATTGGGTCATGTCGTACGTGCACTTGGCGCGTGCAAACTACGAAAATGTGCAGAACACAAAGTTCGTGCGAAAATTCGTACACATTTTCGCAAGGCCTGTCGCGAAACTTCGTTCGAATTTTCGTTGTGCAGAACCTCTCTATGGGTCCTTTTCTTTTCTACTTCTTCTGAAGTACAAATTTATCCTTGGCTCTCCATCCGAGTAGTTGCTAATGTACAGGTTAAAGCGGTGATATGGATACTGGTAATCTGGTACACGAAGGTATGGTGTGTGCGTGGCCTTTTCGGAACCATTCAACTCATAGCAACTACGTAGTAGTCACAGAAATATCATCACTTGCATAAATGCAGTTAGTGGTCGCTGCACAGTGGAGATGAGAGTAGCGTCATTGTGTGGTTATACTTATAAGCTAACTAAGTGACTCGCGAACCTCTGCACTGACATGACGCCGATGAAGACCTGACAACATGCTGGTCTTTGGAGCACACACCCATAAGTACCAGCACAAGTAGACATGCATGTAATCGGCACAGCAGAGAGGGAGCCACGCCATCATTTTGCACTGCAGCATGTGTACCAGCATGCGTGCAGGCGAGCGCGCATACACACACACACTCTCACACACACACACACACACACACACACACACACACACATGCACACACACACACACACTCTCTCACACACACACACACACACACACACACACACACACACACACACACACACACACACACACACACACACACACACACACAAACACACACACGCACAAGTTACGAGTAGCAAGAAAACAATAAGAATCGCAAACAGATGCACAGATCTCTGCAGACAAACCCCATAATCTTACTTTCCAGAGCAGCAGTGGTGTACATTCGAACAGCAAGCTTCAGTCCTCGGAACCTAGTGCGAGAAAAATAACACAATAACAAACACCCTCAGCCAGAAATTACTACTAGCATACCCTACAACGTACAACCATAAAATACTTATACACTAACACAATCACCATCAATGAGTTGTATTAGCCCACGCGAGGACACACCGCTGATTTCCGAGGATCCTGTTTGACTCGAGACGATAGCCGTACAATTATCTCGTCCTCTGAGTACTTCTTAAAGGAGAAGTTAAGGCAAAAATTAAAATTTCACCAGTTGTAGTCTTCGGGGTGCTGAGTCGAATGGTCGTGGTCCGAGAAAGCTGAGACGCTCCCTTCCTACTTGAATCCCAATCGAACTCGCGCACTTCCACCGAAACTGGGTGACTGCGCCCTACTAGATGGGGATTTGTATGCAAAATGTCACTAAAAGCGCCATTTCGTTCTTATAAAAGCACGGATGACCGCGATTGGCCCATATGTTGTAGTCTTTTGGACGCTGAGTCGACTGGTTTTGGTCCGAAAAGGCTGCGATGCAGCGTTCCTCCTTTATTCCCAATCGAACATGGTTGAACAAGCGGTCACGTGCTCCTGGGTGCCCAAATCACCTGGTCACCACGCCAGCAGGCGACAACTTTCACACCAAGGTTCAACTCGAGTGACAGGACTGCACCCAAAAAAGGTCAAACAGGCTACCCTGCAGGCACGGTGACCAGGTGACTGGCGTACGCAGGAGCACGTGACCGCTTGTTCAACCATGTTCGATTGGGAATAAAGGAGGAACGCTGCATCGCAGCCTTTTCGGACCAAAACCAGTCGACTCAGCATCCAAAAGACTACAAGATATGGGCCAATCGCGGTCATCCGTGCTTTTATAAGAACGAAATGGCGCTTTTAGTGACATTTTGCATACAAATCCCCATCTAGTAGGGCGCAGTCACCCAGTTTCGGTGGAAGTGCGCGAGTTCGATTGGGATTCAAGTAGGAAGGGAGCGTCTCAGCTTCCTCGGACCACGACCATTCGACTCAGCACCCCGAAGACTACAACTGGTGAAATTTTAATTTTTGCCTTAACTTCCCCTTTAAGCATAATTCACGGCTTGACAGACCACAAGAAACCATCTCGCTGTCCATGGCTGTTTCTTTTGACGAGTGGCAGGACGCCATCCTGTGGGGTGTACTGACTAATCCAACCGGGGAAAAACCAGAAGATAGTGTGATGTGGATGCGATAGGAATTTGGTGATTTTTAAGAGTTTTTACCAATGATACGAGTTGAGACGGATGTGTTGTGTTCCCTTTGCCCAGCCTCAACCATCCCTTTTTTCCCTCCAGAACATGGATACAAGGATACAATCAGGCCGGGCTCTTTTTGTGGTTGTTCTTCCGCTCTTTACTGTCACCGGAGCCTTTATTCTTTGTCTATTTTGGGTATTCCTCCATAATTAATTATAATTATGGTGGTGGTAGTGGACATTCTCCAAAACTTGAAACGTCGGCGCATTCTGAGGTTCATGCAATTAATTACTACCCAGAGACTTCCCAAAGAATTGTGCGGCACCCACTGCCTGAGCTTGCGCACACCGTGTCCTCTCTCGGCTTTATACGACTCCCTGATTGCCATTAGACGCAAAATGAAAAAGGAAGCATCAGCATCGAATGAGAGCTTTTAGGAAAAATAATGGGAAAAACGCATGTTGACCAACCTAAGCAAGCACCCTTTTTGGTACACGCAATCAACCCACTACCACCAATACACGCAATCAACCCACTACCACCAATACACGCAATCAACCCACTACCACCAATACACGCAATCAACCCACTACCACCAATACACGCAATCAACCCACTACCACCAATACACGCAATCAACCCACTACCACCTATACACGCAATCAACCCACTACCACCAATACACGCAATCAACCCACTACCACCAATACACGCAATCAACCCACTACCACCAATACACACAATCAACCCACTACCACCAATACACGCAATCAACCCACTACCACCAATACACGCAATCAACCCACTACCACCAATACACGCAATCAACCCACTACCACCAATACACGCAATCAACCCACTACCACCAATACACGCAATCAACCCACTACCACCTATACACGCAATCAACCCACTACCACCAATACACGCAATCAACCCACTACCACCAATACACGCAATCAACCCACTACCACCAATACACACAATCAACCCACTACCACCAATACACGCAATCAACCCACTACCACCAATACACGCAATCAACCCACTACCACCAATACACGCAATCAACCCACTACCACCAATACACGCAATCAACCCACTACCACCAATACACGCAATCAACCCACTACCACCAATACACGCAATCAACCCACTACCACCAATACACGCAATCAACCCACTACCACCAATACACGCAATCAACCCACTACCACCAATACACACAATCAACCCACTACCACCAATACACGCAATCAACCCACTACCACCAATACACGCAATCAACCCACTACCACCAATACACGCAATCAACCCACTACCACCAATACACGCAATCAACCCACTACCACCAATACACACAATCAACCCACTACCACCAATACACGCAATCAACCCACTACCACCAATACACGCAATCAACCCACTACCACCAATACACGCAATCAACCCACTACCACCAATACACGCAATCAACCCACTACCACCAATACACGCAATCAACCCACTACCACCAATACACGCAATCAACCCACTACCACCAATACACACAATCAACCCACTACCACCAATACACGCAATCAACCCACTACCACCAATACACGCAATCAACCCACTACCACCAATACACGCAATCAACCCACTACCACCAATACACGCAATCAACCCACTACCACCAATACACACAATCAACCCACTACCACCAATACACACAATCAACCCACTACCACCAATACACGCAATCAACCCACTACCACCAATACACGCAATCAACCCACTACCACCAATACACGCAATCAACCCACTACCACCAATACACGCAATCAACCCACTACCACCAATACACGCAATCAACCCACTACCACCAATACACGCAATCAACCCACTACCACCAATACACGCAATCAACCCACTACCACCAATACACGCAATCAACCCACTACCACCAATACCACACACACACATAAAGGCACGCAATCAACCCACTACCACCAATACACGCAATCAACCCACTACCACCAATACACGCAATCAACCCACTATCACCAATACACGCAATCAACCCACTACCACCAATACACGCAATCAACCCACTACCACCAATACACGCAATCAACCCACTACCACCAATACACGCAATCAACCCACTACCACCAATACACGCAATCAACCCACTACCACCAATACACGCAATCAACCCACTACCACCAATACACGCAATCAAACCACTACCACCAATACACGCAATCAACCCACTACCACCAATACACGCAATCAACCCACTACCACCAATACACGCAATCAACCCACTACCACCAATACACGCAATCAACCCACTACCACCAATACACGCAATCAACCCACTACCACCAATACACGCAATCAACCCACTACCACCAATACACCCAATCAACCCACTACCACCAATACACGCAATCAACCCACTACCACCAATACACGCAATCAACCCACTACCACCAATACACGCAATCAACCCACTACCACCAATACACGCAATCAACCCACTACCACCAATACACGCAATCAACCCACTACCACCAATACACGCAATCAACCCACTACCACCAATACACGCAATCAACCCACTACCACCAATACACGCAATCAACCCACTACCACCAATACACGCAATCAACCCACTACCACCAATACACGCAATCAACCCACTACCACCAATACACGCAATCAACCCACTACCACCAATACACGCAATCAACCCACTACCACCAATACACGCAATCAACCCACTACCACCAATACACGCAATCAACCCACTACCACCAATACACGCAATCAACCCACTACCACCAATACACGCAATCAACCCACTACCACCAATACACGCAATCAACCCACTACCACCAATACACGCAATCAACCCACTACCACCAATACACGCAATCAACCCACTACCACCAATACACGTCGTCCTCTAAGTATTATCATCGTTCTGCTCTGCAAAGTTTTCAAACTGCAAACTCGTCTTACCTTGGCTGTACGAATGCCGTCACAATCTCGTAACCCTGTGCACCAGACTGCAGCTTGATGAACTCACCGATCGCATACGCTACAACGTCTTCGACCTGCCCAACATGGACAAGCACATGCACAATGCACAAGCGCATCCAATCACACAAAGAACAAGACATTCAGCAACTGTGGCGGTACCACACTCTCTGCAACGCAAACCGGGTATTCCAGCATGTTGCCAAACAGCCACAATACCTGACCATGCTTCAAACATGGGTAGAATGATGGTGTGTGAACAATGAGAGGAGCAGCTGTCGTTGCTTACCTGGAACATGTCAGCACTCCAGTCTGCTGCACGTTTCGAGCTGAGCGATAGTACAATAACACCGGGGTAACAAGGTTGAGAGGCCGGACCTAGAGGCATTACAAATCACATGACAGCACAGGACATCACAACACTCAAGAGGAGATGGTGACTAACATGCACACTTGCACAGGCAAGAAGAGAAGACAGTGTGCATGTGCAGACCTGAGTAGGTACAGGTCAGACAGGTTAACCAACTACGCAGCAGCAGCAGCAGCAGCAGCAGCAACAACAGCAGCAGCAGTGGCAGCGGCGGCGATAGCAGTGGCAGCGGCGGCGATAGCAGCAGCAACAGCAGCAATAGAAGCAGGAGCAGCGACGACCATCCTATGCTCTTCCTGCATTCATTATTGGTTTGTGCTTCCAATATAACACGTTTCAGTAGCAGCAGCAGTGGTGGCCACGGCGGCGGCAGCATCAGCAGCAACAGTGGCGGTGGCAGCAGCTGGCACAAGTCACTTCAATACCATCAACATGTACATGGACATGCACATGAGCCACACTGCATACATGCACGCCAATCGAATGTATGCTATGCGCAGATAAACCTGTAACTTGCTAAAATATCTTTTCGCTAGCGGGGGACGTCTTTGTGAAATGCGGTAAAAGTAGCAACTCCTTATAACACACGTTGTACAGTAACATTCTCTTCTTAATCTCACTCACTCTCTCTCTCTCTCTCACACACACACACACACACACACACACACACACACACACACACACACACACACACACACACACACACGCTTCTCCGTGATTACTTGCCCGTACCTTCACGTCGATGTGGAAGGAACTGAAAGAACTGCTGTAGAGTCTCATTACGATCACGCCCACCACGGTACCGCCACACTCTACAACATGTGTACAGACAGACAGACAGAAGGAAAGATGCACAATGAACTACAACTGCACAAACAGACAGACAAACAAACAAACAAACAAAGGGATTCCAGGTTGAAGACAGCTTGATAACCACAACTAATCTGTACAGGGAAGAATTGAATGGAAAGACTGGACATTCCTGAGCTTCACATTGCGCTCTTGGCTGACTCAATCGATAGATTTACTCACAGGCTGAGAACAGTGTTGATAGATTTACTCACAGGCTGAGAACAGTGTTGCAACACCTCTACTGTTAAAAGACAATAAAGTCCTGAGAGCTGAGAGCTGAGAGCTCGGCCTAACCTGTCTTCGTTGACAAAAATCCAGCGCATCAGCTCCTCCTGATCAGCCGGTGATAGCTTGTGAATTCCAACGATCAGAGTGTAGTCGTTCAAAGCACGATGGATGGCATCTGTCTGCTGACGTAATGCCTGCAGAAATCAACAGAAAAAATGATGCCGTGGGTCTAGGTCTCTGGTAAAAGGGCAGCATTGCCTGAGCACAAAGGAAATGAAGCGAAGGAACACCTCAACACTGGCATCAGACCAATGTTAGCACCAGTGATGGCAGTAATTGCAACAACATCGGCAACAACAGCAACAACAGCAACGGTGACAGCGATGACAGCGACAGTGGCAACAGCAGCGACCGTGGTAGCAGCAGCAGCAGAACAAAAATTAGAAACACGCCGTCAACCAAGCAGAGCTAAGACAAAGAGAGACTGGGGAGGTGTGGTAAAAAGTAGCAGCAGGGCACTTACTACACGGGCAATACGTGCATTTTACCTTGGCATCAATCAATGTTGATCTGGTCATACGCATGTGATACAGATAGTGCTGCAGAACAGACACATACACAGGCCCGGCAAGACAGATAAACATACACTGCACGAGTAATGCTACTACACTGGTCACCGATACACAACGTATTACAGGTGCATATACCAGGGAAAAATGCAGGGAAAACACCCAATCACATGATGCGAGGCAAATAGCCCCAGCTGAGCTGGAAAGCAAGATGCTCTCACCTTGAGATCAAAGAAGTTGCCACGACTTGCCGCAAACAAAGATGCCACTCCGATAGTCGCACAGTACTCCGCAGTGTGAGACCTGACTAGCTGAGCGAGATTTGACACAATCTCATCTTTCTCCGGAATCTGCAGATGAAACATGAAATGAAGAGTCAGAAGACGACTATGAGCGCACAACACAACTTCTTCGTCCTGTTGGGGCGACCAGCCAAGCAGCCCAGAGAACCGAGTCCTGTTGGGGCGACCGGCCAAGCAGCCCAGAGAACCGAGTCCTGTTGGGGCGACCAGCCAAGCAGCCCAGAGAACCGAGTCCTGTTGGGGCGACCGGCCAAGCAGCCCAGAGAACCGAGTCCTGTTGGGGCGACCAGCCAAGCAGCCCAGAGAACCGAGTCCTGTTGGGGCGACCAGCCAAGCAGCCCAGAGAACCGAGTCCTGTTGGGGCGACCAGCCAAGCAGCCCAGAGAACCGAGTCCTGTTGGGGCTTAGCCAAGCAGCCCAGAGAACCGAGTCCTGTTGGGGCGACCAGCCAAGCAGCCCAGAGAACCGAGTCCTGTTGGGGCGACCATACAAGCAGCCCAGAGAACCGAACATTATCTCTGCGTAATATAGTGCACCTCCGCACAGCTACTTTTTAAAGGGGCACTCCGGGAATATTTTCCGTGGTGTGTTCTCTTCATGGGGGCCTTATATGGCCCCCAAGGAATGGGGAATCGCGAAAACTAGACCCAAAAAGTCGATATATGAAGCCAGGGAGGGCCAAGTTTGTCTCCTCTTTTGATGGTTTTGATGATGTCCCGTGTGATTAGTATTCAAATTCTCTGCATTTGAAGATCTTAAAGTTGATTGTTCCAACTAGGAACACACGCTTCTTGCCGAACTTGACACTTGACTGACTCACGACTGCCATCCGGAGCACACGAGGAGCACGTCGCACCTTCCACTCGGCAAACCTGCAAGAAAGCACCACTCCCTGCTCAATACACGGTGTTTCGGGGAATTCACCCCTCATCGGTTGAGCTTGAGTAGGCTGAGGAAGATTGTGCCTGAAAAGCACCACTTATATACTGCTCTCCAGGCCAAACCATCACCAGGGATACAAACTTACAGAGACGCTTTGTTTCCAGCGCGACAAACACCCCGTGAAGCTCCAGGTAGCAGCGTGAGTCAGAGTCGCTCATGGAGTTGTGAGCTACCTGGAGCTTCACGGGGTGTTTGTCGCGCTGGAAACAAAGCGTCTCTGTAAGTTTGTATCCCTGGTGATGGTTTGGCCTGGAGAGCAGTATATAAGTGGTGCTTTTCAGGCACAATCTTCCTCAGCCTACTCAAGCTCAACCGATGAGGGGTGAATTCCCCGAAACACCGTGTATTGAACAGGGAGTGGTGCTTTCTTGCAGGTTTGCCGAGTGGAAGGTGCGACGTGCTCCTCGTGTGCTCCGGATGGCAGTCGTGAGTCAGTCAAGTGTCAAGTTCGGCAAGAAGCGTGTGTTCCTAGTTGGAACAATCAACTTTATGACTATTACCGCCGAAGTCGCAACTTCTAAGTTTGAAGATCTTAGTTGTTTGAATTTTCTGGTGATGAAGAACGATGTTTGGTCAACATTCCCAAGCTTCACAACTGCGACCATACTCTAAGGAACCTGAAGGACCTCCTGAGGTGCCCCTGGTAGAAGCGCAGCCTGATGAGGGCCAGGAAATTGGAGCGGACGACTTCACTGGTCCGAGTACGAGGATCCCGAAATTCTCTATACGCCGTGAGGCATATGGTCAGAACAGTTTTGTTTAGACAAGCTGACGCGAAGTCAGGGTGATGTGTAGCACATGTCAAAGGGCTGTCAATGCTAACAGCTGCAGTGCTCTCTCGACAGCGAAGGTAATCGACTGCCCTCTGCATCACCCCACATTTCTGGCAGGAACACCAATCGTTATTTCCTTGTCGACCAGTGAAGTCGTCCGCTCCAATTTCCTGGCCCTCATCAGGCTGCACTTCTACCAGGGGCACCTCAGGAGGTCCTTCAGGTTCCTTAGAGTATGGTCTCAGTTGTGAAGCTTGGGAATGTTGACCAAACATCGTTCTTCATCACCAGAAAATTCAAAAAAACTAAGATCTTCAAATGCAGAGAATTTGAATACTAATCACACGTGACGTCATCAAAACCATCAAAAGAGGAGACAAACTTGGCCCTCCCTGGCTTCATATATCGACTTTTTGGGTCTAGTTTTCGCGATTCACCATTCCTTGGGGGCCATATAAGGCCCCCATGAAGAGAACACACCACCGAAAATATTCCCGGAGTGCCCCTTTAATTTTAACCCTTTAAGAGCCACAGGAAATTTTCAAAAATCTGCATTTTTTCATGTTCCTCGGATCATAGCTTCAGTTCTACTCACTCAATCCTCACAATCTAGGGCTTCCTGGAAAGGTATTCGCGAGAGGAAGAGAATGAGGTCGATCATGATAGCCAGCACACCGTCTATCCAGCGCTAGATCGCAGCGACAGTACGAAAAATGCCCCAAATGCGTCCAATTGCGTCCCGCTCCAGATATTTCATTCTACTCGATCGTGGAGTTCCAATTTTTTTGCTGTGTACCCTTGACAATATCAACAGTGAAACCCGTGCAAATTCGAGTAAACCAGCGTGACGAAAAGTCTCAAAAATCTCAATACTAAAGTTGCACTGCGCGCTTTTGAAATTGCCGCGATCGCGGCTCAACTTACGAGTGATTTATCTCGGGAACCGTTGCTCGCAGCGCTTCGCGGATTGTTTCTCCCGACAGGTGAGAGTTTTCTCTTCGCCCTGGATATTTCGATCGATGGATTTGAGCGAGATTAGACTGAGTTACGATCTTTTGAAGTTTTGCATTTGAATGCGTCGTTTACGACGCATTCAAGTATGGGGCGGCTCTTAAAGGGTTAATAATACGTTTACAGGTATGTGAGCAACACCAGAGTGTATGCAATGCTCCAAGAACAGACCACATTGAGAGGGAGGTAAGACAGGAAACATGCCGCATGAAGTGTGACTGTGTATGAAGACAAACGTAAAGATACCAAAACAAAAATGTGTCCTAACGTTATCTGGACATTGATCACAACACATACGCAGGAACCAATATTTTCACATTTTTCAGGTTTTCTAACCACTACTGAGGCTGTAGCTCCTACTACGAGTACTGACCATCTCTGCGCCTTCTCTCGTCTGCTTGCGCTGGTACACATCATACTTGAACGCGGCTGACAGGATTGCCTCTGGACTGTCACCCCTGCATGAAATCTCTGCACCCACACTTTGAGCCAGTGATCTGCCAAGAAACCTACAGCGAAGAATCAGGAAGCACAGGGCCAAAACACACAGGTTATGCATACCTTCTCACATCCCTGCCAAACAATATTATGTCTTTGTTGCCAGAAAAAATAGTCGCTGTTGTATTTTTTGCAAACGTTTCGCACCCGGCAACACAACAGAATTTTTGTGAGTTGCCTATGCAGCCTATGGCCCTGACGCAGTATCTCCAGGTTGGCTATTCCTTCTCCGGCAACGATGGAAGAAGCGACATTGATACCATACTTGGCATGTCCCTGTTGTTGCTGCACTGAGCCATGGTTTGTGGAGAGCATTCCCACTACATAGCGCTTGCTCAAGGCCGATTGCGTCTGCCGCAGTGCCTCAGCGCCATGTTTGCTGTGATTAACACGGCTGCAATGCCGCCGACATTCACCAGTATTGACTCTTGGTGCGAGTTGTTTGCAAAGGCACTTTGTCTGGATACTGCCAGGCGAGGGCAAGTTTGCCACAGTGCCAGCCCGCATCATCAGTCTGAGATGTGGCACACGGTGACACGGAGAGTGCGAATGCAGATTGACAGCGTCAAGTGTACATACACCACCGTCATGTTTATTGTCACTGCTGATGGATGGCTGATTACAGCACAAATATCCTCAGGTAGGGAGAGTGGGTCCTTACCGAAACTGTCGGTAGTAGTCGTCCTCAACAAGTCGAGTCATCAAGTCGGTGAAAACCAGACCAGCCAGGTCCTGAAAGAATGGATACACAAAGAGGATTAGTAGGTTAGAGTAAGCCGGTGCCTTTCTGAAGACAAAGGTACATCCTGGCTCAGGTGCAAGCTACCAAAACAATGAGATGTGACGACCATCAAAGAATGCAAATGCCCATGCAAAACATGTGCACAGCTCAAGAAAGCAGGGTTTCACAATGCAGGTCATACATAAAATCCTCCTCCCCCAACCCTCCCCAATGCGAGATATTAAACATTCGAATGCACATGCACACGTAGATACAATGCAATGACATACTTTCTGCACACTGGCTAGTCGGCGCAGTGCCCGATCTCCACGTCTGACTTCATTGCTGAATCCCGGGGTCAGCACAATGTCAACGCCGCCACGAACTCGTTCAGGACTACTCGCAACAAACACAGTAATAACACACAGCACCGGACAAACACATGCACGTTTACAATTAGTCAATTAGTAACCGAATATACACGTATTAACATGTAGCTACATAGTGCTGATGCCGGTAGTCCTCCAGTCACCGATTGAGACACGGCTGTCTGTACATGTATACCTCATTCAAGTTCATTGTACAAGCAGGAGCAGCAATCACAGACGCAGCTCTTAAAAGTGCAACACAGGACACACTTGAAATGTCCATGCGAGCAAAAAAGATGACTTGTGGATCACGAGTCGAGAGCAGGCTGGATTGAAGAAAAGAAAACATGAGAGAAACTCACCGGCTATCAAGATAGGTCCGCCACTCTGGTGAGAAGTCATAGGAACAGTTGATATGGAAGCCAGATGTGACTGGCTCTACTAACCTGCAGAAATCACAATGACAACATCGAAAAATCACTGCTCGGCCGTCTTTCACATCATTTTCAATTCAACCTTACCAACTTGATACCAGGAGCAAGGTTCTTCTCCCTTTTGTCCTTTTCGTGACAGTAGTAGTCAGTGGTGTCTACAGGCACATTGCGATAACCTACTGCTCTTGTGGCCCAATCACATGCCCGGGTATATGCCGTCCCAGGCACATCTTGGCAGCTAGTGAGTACAGAACGGGAGGTTCAGTCCAGATTGTGCTCAATCCACACCAAATCCTGCGCTCACAAGCTGCCGGGACGCGCATTCGGGCGACATGTGTGAATGGGCCGCTAGAGTGTGAAAGACCACTTTTAACATGCCTTGGCCTGTGAGTGGCTCCTCACCTGTTCAACATCAGCCATGTCTGAGTGTTAGGGCAGCCTGGTTGGATGATCAGTGCAGGTACAGCTGGATGCTCGCTGCTCAGAAGAACTTGGAAGAACTCAACCCACACCTGAATAGCATGGAATTTCGAGCATACGTACAAGCACACCCACACCCACACACACGCACGCACGCACACACACACACCACACCACACCACACCACACACAAGCATGCATAAAGTCTCTACACAATGAAAGTAAAATCAAAAGTAGTGCTTGAGCCATATGTGCAAGGCCATGTGTGCATCCGCTGAGTTGCATTCAGTAGTACGATCACGTACTTATTTGTTTCTTCAACCTGTCTGGGCAAAGTTGGAGAGAGAAAACAACTAGGCCAACAGAGAAGAGTAGGCAGCACACATGTACAAACAACAAAGGGGAGAGGGTCCTATGAAAGCAGCTGCGCTGAATAACTAACTCGAAAGGCACATGCACATCAAGACGAAGATGGGCTCGTACCTCTGAGGTATCATACGGGTGACCATTGCTATAGGCCTTGTATACAAGTGTGCCTTCTTCGCCAAAGACCAGCTCCACATTCTCAATCTCCATGCCATCAAGATAAATACTTGCCAGGGCATTGTCAGCTCTAAGACCGATCTGAGACAACGATATAAAGCAGTTTTCAACAATAACAGACATGAAGTTTAGGACTAGAACCACTGCAGTTCACTGTGCTCAAGTCAAACAGTACACACATGTATGTTAGTGATGAGTATGCTTTGATAGCACAGGGATTTACTCTATACAAGGCAACCACCCAACACAATGAACAATGAATTATTCGAGTGGAACCACAACAGGGCACAAACAGAGCCATCTCACAACAACACAGTACGCTACACATAACTGTAGATGTGAGCATGTGTAAACGCATGCATACGCAAGCCCGTTCACACATGCGCATACGCACATGCACACACGTACACACACACACACCACGCACGTACCTCCAGCGGTCTCTCACAGTGCTCCCCGTTGGGTGCATAACAGCCAATGATACCACCACTGCAGGTTCTGTTGCAAAACAACACACACAAGAAAACAACCAAATGATACTACCACTGTACATTCTGTTACAGGACAGACACACAAGAAAATAACCAATGATACCACAACTGCAAGTTCTGGTACAAAACAAACAAGAAAACAAGAAAATTACTAAAAAAACCTAACACAGCGGTATGGCCGGATGATTGACAGAGGCGCAGCGTTGTCCAATACTGCATCTATTTCATGTAGCAGGGTACGTTCAAGAGAGACTTTCAACCGGTCAAATAACAACACAGAAAATATGTCCTTTTTGGTGGATTCCACCCAGCGCAGACTCGAATGTTTGCTCACGTACACATTTACTACAGAGTCAGTGGCTGTCGCCTGTGATACTCTGCAGCATTGCTAATAGCAATGTTTTCGTTGGCTATCCGATACGACTCATCGCCTGAGAGACACTTCTGATGGTCCTAGCAGACGTCATTGCCACCGTGGCCAAAAGAGCGTCGTTGCAATCGTCGCTCTTGTCATCGTTAGAACCAACATTGCCAATATTCAATACCGGTATTGCTGGAAATCAATGACACCGAGGCGCTCCGTTACGACACACTATCTATTTCGATGCCGGATAATGCCTGAACATCTAGAGTCTGAGAACCCTGCTTGATAGCCGATTCTAAGCCTGCCTCCATATTACAGTTTAAGCCTCCGAATCGCTCTGTAAATCTCACTCACGTCTGATCTTGTTTGATCAAATCTACCTGGTCCAGGTGTGTGATACAACGTACTTATACGGAGGTTGCAGAGCGGTTGGGATGACATTCCCAAAACAATCTTCTTGAGTCTTGTGGCAAAGCACTTGTGAAACACAGTATTACTAGTACATTCACTAGACGCACAGCATGTTAGATCCAATGTCTGGAATAGAAGTGTATCCACAAGGCACACCGAACAAATATATGTGCACTGAAAGCTCAACTAATGGCAACAATTGCTAAATGGATAAACACACACGCACGCACGCACGCATACACACACACACACACACACACACACACACACACACACACACACACACACACACACACACACACACACACACATATCATACGTCTAAAGTGGACAACAGACTCACTGTGCTGTGTGAAACAGTGATGTGTGCAGCACAACACTGAATGCCTTTGGAGAGACTTCTGCCTTCTTCACCTACACAGCAACAAAACGCAAATACACCTGTTTCAAGAGCAACAACTAATTGGTAACACACAAGCAGCAGTAGCAGCAGCAGCAGCAGTTATAGCAACAAAATCAACATGATTATGCCAATACAAGAAAGCTGAATCCTTGATACTTTGCACTGGGCTACTCTGTGCTTGACAGTCTCCAGATCACCCCCGCCCCCCCCCCCCCCCCCCCTTTGATGAAATGACTCGACCAGATTTGCTGCATGTTGCAAGGCGACACTTGCATAGGTGAACCCGAGCAGCCACATGGGCAACACCAGGATAGTGAATGCCACTGCGACTATGCACATGTAAGTTGACCTATTTTGACAAGAAGCAGTGGCGAATGCAGCTGCTGCTGTTATCACAACTACCAGTGCCAGTACAGTAGAGCAAGTCGGCATCTTACCATCTCTTCACACTCCAATTCAATCTTCTCTTCTCGCGTCAAAAGAGAAAGCTGTTGAAAGAAAGAAGAAGGAAAAGCCATTCACTAAAAACACCTTGCTACAGCACACACCTCAGCAGTTTTCTGGATCATGCACAGGTACAGAGTTTACTTAGCACAAATAGGCGCACATGCCTGTATCCGGATACAGGCACACTCACTTTAAAGCGCATGCTCTTATAGGCAAATCACGGCCAAACTTCTCACTCGGACACAATCACGGGTAAAAGTCTGCAAACAGCATACTGGAACCATGAAACTGACATCCACAAGTCAAACTCAAAGATTCTGGCAAACGAACTCTGATCGCACATGCACGTAAAAGTGAAAGACATTTTAATTTGAAAATCAGATTAGTGGTAGTGACTTTGGCGAAGATTTATATTTTATAGGAAAGGTGTTCGCTTAACACCCCGGAGCTCGCGCTTTTCCGCCGACTTGAGTTGACACTTGACTGACTCACGACTGCTGCCTGCGTGAGTCAGTCAAGCGTCAAGTCAAGTTGGCGAAAATTGGATTTGTAACAAAAAGTCATTTATAAGCGCATGTGCTTCTATGTGCATTATTACGGTACACGCAGTTTACAAACATGGGAAGTTTGTCAAACTACATGAACAACAACTTTGACACCAGAGAGTTCTACTTTCTCGTGTCTGAAGGTCAAACCTTGTCTTTCGGCTTCAGCCAGGTTGACTCACTCGTTACGGTTCTGCACCACACATGTTTGAAGGGCGAGTATGTGATGGGGTCATGGGACTCATGGCAACCAGAACAATGCTGACATCCGGCACAGTGCAGCCTACTGTACTCGTCGCAATGACCGAACTCTCCGTGCCTACAACGGGGGAGTTGTCAGCACACTGGAGAGGGCAGAGGTCACCTTGTCATCTGGCAATCGTATCTGCACCATAGCCTGTTTCATTGTGCCAAAGGGCTCCCTCCGAGTGCCATTCGGCCAGGACATAATCAAGGAACTCGAGCTACTAGTGCCGGCCCACCTGACGGAGTCTGGAAATGTAGTCAGCATTGCACCGGCCAGCATAGCCATGAAGCCAGATGCAGTGGCTGTCGCTCTGCTAGCTCGATGCACCCTTTCAGCCTCAAGGACGAGATAGAGGTAGAAGCCTGCTATTCGCAGCTAGAGAGAGAAGTATTGGGAGTCGTGTTGGCGCTGCAACGCTCCCGGTGATACGTGCTTGAGCGACACGTCAATGTACATACCGACCACCAACCCCTGATATCCATCGTACAGATGATGACGTGCCTCCCCGGCTTCACTGGTGGCTGGTGTCTCTCATGCCCAACACTTACAAGTCGTTGCACGTACCCGGAAAACAGCTCTTATGTGTGCGTGCCTTGTCCAGGGCTCCGCTCTGCTGAGACAAAGTCTAGGGCGGGGTTTGTTGGTATGGTGCTGGAGAGCAGGTTGCACAGGTCACACAAGACGACCCGATTCTGCGTAGCATTTCGCAACGAGTGCTGGCGTCCAGACAGGGGTCCACGAGTGCTAGTAAAGAGCCGTACTACATCGTAAGTGACCAGCCCTCAGCCTCAGACGGCGTCGTGCTGTTCAATGCGAGAGTGGTCATCCCAGAAGCGCTTCGTACCGCAGTTATGGCGTTAGCACATGAGGGGTACCCAGGTGGAGCGGTGTTCCTGGAATCTCTCCTACGTCAGGTTTGGTGGCCCGGTGTCACAAAAGATGCCACATTGCACTCCGACCGTTGTTCTGAATGCTATAGGAAACATAGCAACGAGCATCAGGAGCTTCTCCCTTCAGAGATAGGTGTACGGAGAAGCTCGCAGTAGACTTGGTGAATGTGGAAGGACAAAAACGGCTTTTAATTCACTGATTATGGCTCGCGCTACCTGGAAGTGCTCCTACTGCAAAGCACGTCGACCACCAGCGTTGTGAGTGCGTTAATGGAGGCATTCGCAAGGTTCAGCTTGCCTGCACACTTGGTCTCAGACCATGGTCTGCAGTTTGCCACCAGAGAGATGGCAACTTTCCTCCAACACCTAGGTATTCATCATATCAAGTCAAGCCCGCGCTATGCTCAGTTCAGGGGCATGGTGGAGCGATCTCACCGCTTACAAAGGAGCGGATGGCAGGGCTTAAGCCCCATTCACGGTTCAGCCGACGTCTGCAGCAGGTGTCGTTCGACATTCGTAACACAAGTAACGGAATGATAGGGATGTCGCCAAATGAGGCTCTGTTCAGTAGATTGGTTCGCATGAGGCTCCCCGTACTACACTTGTACACTTGTGCAACAGTGAACAGCAGTCATATCGGCGAACAGTGCCGCTGAGCACTACACCCACAACACCTTCATCCCAGTCCGCTCAACCTTTACTGGCAGTTTGAGCAGTCAGGTAAAGTACATAATGCGCCCCAATATTAAACTAGGCTGTGAGAAAATTAATGTTGTTGCTTTCCAGTACCAAGGACTCCACAAGATATGAAAACGTACAGTCAGCAGATCATAGAGTGTCGGTAAGCAAGCCCTGTAACAGGAAACACTAAACAATGATAACCTACCTTGCGGACGGCAAGATTCTCAAAGACACTCTTGTTCAGATTCTGATCAATACAGCGACAAGCAACCGCTCGCCGGCCCTGACAACAGCACAGAACAAAACCCAAACAATACAGAAAGCATGATCAGACACGGGCGTTCCAGTGCATCAACTCTGGCCAGTCGGTCACGTACAACCCTGTGCGTACATCAATGGAAATACCGTAAGAATTAGAACTAAGCGCATGACAACGCCTAAACCAGCCTATATTGGAGTCATCTGGAGAGCTTGTGAGTCTTCAAGGCCACATACCGTATTTTCTCTAATAAGAGCCCGGGGCTCTTATTTTTTCAGTGACAGCTCTACCCGCGCTACTATTAGAGACTGGGCTATTATAGAAGACTGGGCTCTTATTTTTTCAATTGTCAACTATCAAGCCAACTCCAGTCTATACAGGCATAAACTGACCATATCAAGACTGATTTTTCAACCCTAAACTCAGGAATATTGTCAAAACAGATGTTTCACAACAGCATTGGCGCAGGGAGGAAGCAGTAGACCGAAAACCTCTTTACTAATATGTTCTTGGCATGTTGAACTGCTGTTTTATATGCAGTCAATATACTTGTTGCATACTCCAATTGTGACCCGCGCTACTATTAGAGACTGTGCAGCACTGCTCTTATTATTTCAAACCACCCTCACCCCGGGTCATTATTGGAGACTGGGCTTTTATTCCCGTAGCTATGCAAAAGACGTTACTTCAGTAACGTCTGGCGCTAGCCAGGGTCCACACAGCTTTAATTTGGTATTTGTTTGTTTGTGTGTTTGTGTCACGCCTGGCGCTATCCGTATCTGACGGCAAAAAAGCATAGGATGTTATAAATTTTTCAATTCTCCTTTTTTTTTCAGGCATATCCTGGGATTCGAACCCACACTATCGCCCTACATGCATTCCCCCATTCACTTCGCATTCATACCCATTCTTCCAAGTTGCTTCACGTTATTATCTTGCGTTTGAAAGCCCTATTTGAATATTGCGGGCAGCTAGACGGTGTCGTATTACCCTCAATCGTACCTGTCCCGTACCTATCCCCTACCGTACCGTGCCATCAAAGACGGCTGGCCACAATGCATATTCAAATAGGGCTTTCAAATGCAAGATCACAATGTGAAACAACTTGGAAGAATTAGTATGTATGCGAAGTGTATCGGGGGATGCATGCAGGGCACGCGATAGTGCGGGTTCGAATCCCAGGTTATGCCTTAAAAAAAGGAATTTTTTAAAGAATTTATATCATCCCTATGCTTTTTTTTTGTCTAGGTCATCAAGGCAAAAAAGCATAGCGTAGGGCCCTGAGCTTCCAAGCTCTCTCGTTAGAGAAAATACGGTAGTTTCCTTTTCAACTACTGTAGAACGGCTCGTTTTAGCGGGTGACATTTTTGGTGTTTTCTGAATCAGGACCAATTCACGCTAAAATAGTTTAGGGATCCGAGTTTCAGAGTTTAAAAAAGATGACTAGTACTGCATTAACAATTTCAAATAGAAGAAATCACATGGAAACGAGTTATGAAGCAACTATCCACGACAGTAACAAGATAATAAGCAGTCAGAAAGTGCGATGGCAGGGCTTCTTCTATTTTAATTATATTTACTGGCTCAGTATCCGAGTTAAATTAGTACTGTATTGTACACGCAAAATTTCTATCGGCACGACAAAACTTTAGAGAAAACACTCCTTTTGCCAAAATTGCTAAAATATCACCGGCGCTAACATTTGCAATTTTACAGTATCTCCTTTCGATAGCCTTGTTTATTCGCAAATTTGTGTGTGTTTCCTCCTCTTTTAGTTTCGTTTTCCCGTATGCAGCCGTTTGTGAATTCTTCTTAGAATTGTCAGTAACTGTTATTGCGCCGTCTGTTTTAGGTGTGTGCAGAATTTTCCCGCTAACCAAGATTGTTTTTTATTGCTGGTTTCATTCTTGCTCTCTTCGAAAACCTAACAAAAGTTTGTGTAGCGCCCTTGTTTTTTTTGTGGCGAAGGGGTCCTAATTCTATTACTATGGCTAGTATGAGTACCAAAAAGACTACAAAAAATGAAGTATCCTATCTGGTGTATGCAGAGAGAGAGAGAGAGAGAGAGAGAGAGAGAGAGAGAGAGAGAGAGAGAGAGAGAGAGAGAGAGAGAGAGAGAGAGAGAGAGAGAGAGAGATAGAGAGAGAGAGAGAGAGAGAGAGAGAGAGAGAGAGAGAGAGAGAGAGAGAGAGAGAGAGAGAGAGAGAGTGGCAGGACGTTTTCATCCATCCGGCCAAAAAGGTTGGGCTCAAACACGCATTATCTTGTAAAGGATTATGCATTTGACTTGTAAAAGGGAAAGCTTTCTCTAGACTTGGTGGTTGTGAGCCTTCGTACAGCTGGTCTGATGCTCGTAAAGTGAATAAGCTGTTGAAGGGTGGTCGCCCCCAGAAAGCGTCACAACGCCACACACAATGCGTCGTCTCAGCAACTGCACAATCTACCGGTACATCACATGGCCGTGATATGGCCGTGATATGGCCGAAGATGACTTTTACACACGAGCAACACCATCGTACAAACATACTGCAGATGTATTGCCGACCCAGGCCGTTGTTGATTTCGCACCAGTTTTGTGTGTGTGCTATATGTCATACTATAATGTGATAGAGCAAACTGACACTCTGTGCTGCACAAAGCTATTCTGTGTAGCATGCATCCTTCGGAGTGATTCCTTCCCGCAGAAAAGACTTGACTCTTTTGCTGTGCTTGAGGCCTCACAAGCTGGTATCGCAGCTGAGTCACTTGCAGGTTTGCCAGTGTCTTGCGACTTTAATTAAGGGTGAGCGTGCGCTTGAAGGTTGCAGGGAAACGGTCACATTGTGTCAATTACGCGAGCATTGTGACAGTTGCACTTGCAAGTTGCAATGCCTCACAGCGCAGGGTCCCAACAGAAACTCCACTTTGAGCGAAGTTTTGCAGTGTTCCCCGTCCAAACTGGCGGTGGACACAACTGTACGCCTGGCGAGCAAACTAGTTGCGTGTACTTCAGAAAATGGAACATTCCAACAAAGAGTCGGAAACAATGCGCTAGCATGGGTCCGGCAGACTACACCCCGAGTACCTTCAGAGCTTGCTTCTCCCCGTACGCTCTGCAGACGTACCAAAGAGGTGGATAGTGATAGGACTGCTACCAGAGGCGGTAGCTTCGACAACCACACACAGCTCCAGCACGAGATAAGATCCCAGCAAGTAGCGGAGCACCATGAGTTGCTGAAGGCCTCTGGGCTTGTTCCAGAATCAGGGAGTGCCTGAGCAATAAAGGCTGACCTGCATTTACCGTAGACCTCTCTCAGAAACGGTGATTTAAGATACAGCATTTGGCTCGAAAGTGAAAGTACGATACGGAAACAAATTCCATGCTCTGTTCCAATTGAAATACTTTCGCTTAGAGAGTGTTGTTGAGGCAGTTAGACATTATCTGGACACGCATGATAAGGTAGGAGGTCTGGTGCATGCATGGCAGCAGCACCATATCCTGTCGGATGAGATAAGGTCGTAAGGATAAAAGTTAGTGGCAACCACGGCAACAAGAGTTTCAAACTCATGTTCCAGATTGCTAACTTGAAACACTCAAACTCGTTTCAAACACATACTATTCCGTTTTTAGTTTTTGCGACAAAGGACCTGCCGGCTAATACGGAAACGACCATGCAGCAGTATAAAGCTGAAATTGAAGAACTCAACATCACTGTATGGCAGGAGAAGAAACTAGAAGTCATTGCAATCGGTGACTATGGGTTTCTCACTATGCCGTGCGGACTATTGGGCCCAGCTGGACTTGACCCCTGCCTTGACTGTCTGGCGAAATAAGCAGACTTCCAAAGTTCACCAGACGAGTCTCAATTTCCATTGCGCAAACTCGAGCAACTGCAGGTTGACGATTCTGCGCTTGTTGTTGCTGGCTGTGAGATGAGCAAGGCAAAGTTTTTTTCATAACGCCGTCAGGCCCTGTCTTCTTCCAATTGAGCCGGAGAGGCTTGCGTACCTATCCTACACTTAAAGACGGCCTGCCAAAGAGGTCACGTGCACGGACACGGCAGATGCAGATTCAACCAATATTTTACTACTCCCATTTCAGGCACCATCTTGACGAATGGCCACATGCACATCTATACACTCGTGCTGGGCAATACAACATATCCAGAACGCGTGGTCAGGTCAATCAATACAAGTGCAATATATCCGGTTGCTTGAAGCAATAGCAGAAATCGTCATCTTATGACTGTGCTTTCTTCGGGAAAGGAAAATGGAGTGATGGAGAACCGGCTCAACATCCTCCTCCTCCTGGAAGGTGCCGTACCCCACCCAACCTCTTCCCAATGAATACACGTGTGCACTGACCATTGCAACTATATTTCGAAGAGCGCATCACTACTTTTCCAACTCACTTTCAAGCAAACAGTAGCATTTCGAACCCCTCCTCAAATTACACAATTGTATCTTCAAAGAAATATCGTTGTTTTACGGACGGCCTCTACAAGTGAGTGCCAATATGCCAAGAAAACATGTAATACGTGCATGCAATAAGGACAGCACATACCCTCAATTGCTCCAGAGAGAGTCGGTCATCAAAGAGATCAACTACCTTCACCTGCTCTCCATCGACGTCAACCTATGCACGGTCGCACAAAATAGAAGAAAAAAGTCACCAGGCATCACTACCAAGACAAACCTATCAGCCAGCAGCTAGCTCATCGTAAAGAAACCAGAACAGGGAGACAGCATGCTAAGGTCAAGTATGCAGCCACCAGCATGACACTAGAAGCCGTACGGTTCGTGCTTATCTCACTATGCTAATACTCAATACTACCATGTGCAATATGGTGTTTCGAACTATCAACAAGTAACTTAAAACGAGGAGTGAAAAATGCAGTGCTTTCTTGAGTGTGGGCGAGTTGCCTGCAAACGTGAAATATAAATAGTGAAGCTGCATGAGGCGTCTTTCGGAATTTTGAACGAAGAGGTTTCGGAAAAGCCAAAATCCTCAGGCACGCTCGCCTCAGCACTGACTGCAGCCCCCAGACAAATGATGCAAAACTTCTCAAGGAAAATAATCAATATACTACTTCGCCGAGTCGAAGGTTCGATGGACTTCTCGTGTGCTCTGGATAGCAGTCGTGAGTCAGTCAAGTGTCAAGTCAAACAAATCATCGCCGAAGTCGCAACCACTATTTCGTACTACTAGTACGTTTGCAAGATGTGGTGTTATCAATGACTATTCCCTGTATGGGAGCATGTAAACAAGGCAATGCATTTCGCATCCTGGGCAAGTTTCGCCTTCAGAACTGCAAAAGCTCCATGCTTAAACATGCCAAGCAGGGTTTAGAGCGTTTGAGCAAAGGAATACAATTAAATATGACACATTTGCAAACAAACAACCCCACCCCACACCATCGTAGTGGATGCACATCCCCACTGTGAAGTTAGTGTGTGCACCTATGATCATTGTTTCCCTTTCTGTCACTCATAATCCATGCATGCATTCATCTGGCCGCGCTGTCTGGAACCATGTGGCATGCCAGTTGTACTGTACGGACTTTAGCCGTACCTGCCCGCCTGGCTTTTCTTTTGTTCTTTTGTCTAGGTTATTTGCTTACGCACCCCAGTTATAATCGATCCCACCGAGGAAGAGGCAGAGACCGCGGTACACAGCATTTCGGGCAGTCATGATAGTGGGCACAACGGAATGGGCAAGGATCGGTGCCTCGCCTATGATCCTGGACTGGTTGAGCAATGGTTTCCCGATAAAGTTCAAACAGCACCAGCCAGCGTTCTACCAAGGGAACAGGCCAATGCCGAAGGAGAGCAGAGAGTTCATCACAGCTCATATACAAGAATTGCTCGTACAGGGAGCAATCGAGAAGACACAAACATCACCGCATTGCATTTCTCCAATAGCAACGGTGCCGAAGAAAAATGGAAAACTCTGTATGATTTTGAATGTTAAGTGCCTGAACCAGTGCGTAGTGGCACCAGGCTTCAGGTACGAGAACCTGGACACGATGCAGGATATCCTACAACCAGGAGACTGGTGTAGCTCCCTCGACCTGCAAAACGGCTTCTTCCACGTGCTGGCACACCCGGTATACCTTGGGTTCCAGTGGTGCTGGCATACCCGGTATACCTTGGGTTCCAGTGGTGCTGGCACACCCGGTATACCTTGGGTTCCAGTGGAACGGAAACTATTACCAGTACTGCGTCCTTCCATTCGGACTATCAGCCAGTGCGTGGGGACTATCAGCCAGTGCGGGACTATCAGCCAGTGCGTGGGGACTATCAGCCAGTGCGGGACTATCAGCCAGTGCGGGACTATCAGCCAGTGCGGGACTATCAGCCAGTGCGTGGGGACTATCAGCCAGTGCGGGACTATCAGTCAGTGCGTGGGCATTCACGAAAACAATCCGGGAAGTAACGAGGGACATAAAATAGTCGCTGGGTGCCAGAGTAACGTCCTACGTAGACGATTGGCTGCTTATCACGGCTTCTCTCCAGGAGTGCGCCTCGCTAACAGAGCAAGTTACGGCTCTGTTTCGCCGCTTCCAACTTCAGATGAACAAAGAGAAGTCTTCCCTGCATCCAGCTCAGAGTGTGGTGTATCTGGGGATGCGTTTGGACACTCCAGCGCCTTTAGACTTCAGTTCACCAGACCAGTGGCCAGCGTGGAAACTGTGTTCTACTCGTTTTCGTGCCGCAACCAAATTGAGTTCAGACCCTGGAGAAACCCAGGTGGCTACTGTGACAATATGACAATGTGTGTAGTGTGACGATACAATGTGTGTGTAGACAAACATTACGATTATGTATTTGTTGTGGTGACATCTGTCATCAGTGTGTCATGCCTCTTACCTCATTGTAGCTTCATCCGTAGTCCGCTTCCATTGTCCTTGTTCTATATTCTATTCTATTTCTTCTAGTGCTAGTCGTTTCACTTCTCATCTTTCCTTGAAGTAGTATATTTGAATTGTAATTGTTTTCCTGCAACGATCGCTCGTCGATCGTTGTGTTATTTATTTGTGTCTTGACTTCATTATTTATTGCGCCAGCGCCTGCAAGGCCTTTAAGGCTGCATGCGCATGCTAGATTCTGTGTTCACGCGTGACTAATGATGTCATCGCTATGCCTTTGCTTGCTGCGCGTAGTCGCGCGTAGCTGGTTTTGTTGTTTTCTTTGCTTCGTTCGAGTTGCTGTTGCTCGACTTCGTTTTCTGATCTATTTTCTGCATTCAATGGTGGCCGTGATGGCTGTCGCTGCAATAGCAGCTTCAGCCACGACGGGCCTCTATCGGTTGCTCTTTGGATGCCATGTTTTAGACGTGTCTTTTCCTGGCCAAAGTGCTGGTGATTTTGTGTTCTTGTTGTTCTTTTCTTGTTCTCTCTCCTTTTCCTACTTGCATTTTTCGTGATTCACACATTTCCACCAAGAGGCTGCCGTTTGCGCTGGTGTGTTGTGTTGGGCGAAGAGGGGTGAAATAGAATGAGTGTCGTTGTGATAACATCATTTACGAGTGTCGTTGTGATAACATCATTTACGAGTGCGTTGTTACGATACAGTGTTTGTTGTGTGTTGTGCGTGTTTGTCGGATAATAATATCAATAACAATACGCCGATATAATTACAAGTAGTTGCATAGATAGTACTTACGTTGTTGCTTGCATTCTCGCTCTCCACAGCAACTCCATTGCGTGCTGCGTTCTATGTATTCCTATTCTGTACAATGACTCTCTCTCTGACAGGGTTTGCTGTCACCCTGTCGCTGGGCGCAAGCACCCTCTGACAGACCAAACCGATTCGCTTCATCTTTGCAATATTTATCTCCTTTCGATTTGAATTTCTGTTTGTTCTGCACTCTGACTTTTCCTTGTTGCACCTGCGCTTTTGGACGCGGAACTAACTTTGCTGTCGCCATTATTATATCCATGGTTACGTAGTCGTTGTCCGTTGATATGATAATTATGACTCATCGATGCATCATGCATGAGTTGTGATCATTCTGCTTTTCTGATCTTCAAAGACTTCATGCATGCACGCACTGATGACACGTAAGCCAATGCACGCATGCACTGATGTACACGTAAGCCAATGCACGCACCCGGGCACGTTTTGCTGATGACAGCGATTTGGCGATCGTGGTTCTTGGTTCTTTTTCTTGTTGTAATCTTCTTGTAAATATCTTAACTTAACTTTGTTTCTCCTACCTGGTCGCTTGGTGCACTGGTTTGTGTGAGCGACGGTAATGGTGGTTTGTGGAGTACAGTAGTGAGGAGGATTAGGCAACAACTTTTGGTCCCGAAACCCTAGCTTGAGGTTGAGCCGTTCAGGGCTGTTTCTTCGTTTTTCAGTTTTCTCGTTCTGTAAGTGTTTGTAGCCTGTAGGGCTGTGTTACCTTAGTGGGTAGTAATGTCGTTGAAGGTTGACGGATTTGTGAAGCCCTTCAAGGGTAAGCACGACGACTGGGACATGTTCTGGGTCAAGTTCCAGGTGATCGGCGAATGTTCTGGTTGGGACACCGAGGAAAAGCTGATGAAAAGGCTGCCCCTGTTCTTGGAGTCAGATGCTCTGTTAGTGTACTCCAAGATGCCGACAGATGACAAGAAAGACAAAGCCAAGGTGGTGGATGTCATGAAAAAGACATTTGGAGTGTCACCAGGAGATGCTTATCGCCAATTCAGTAGCCGGCGGTACCGGCTGGATGAGACGCCTGAGGCGTATGTTGCGGACTTGCGCCGCCTGCTGTCTGCGGCCGGCCACTCCGGCGATGGTGATGACAACGCCGTCATCATTGAACAGCTGCTGGCGGGGCTACCTGTCCACTTGGAGCGCCAGATTCGCCTCTCGTGCGCTGGCGTCAAGTTCGCGGTACCGGACATTGTGAGCAAGGTCCGTGCCCTAGCCGTTGTGGATTCGTCCAGGCCTGATACGGGGATGGCAGCGGCAGCCAGTGGCAGTGCTGCGCCCCGAGGTGGCAGCAGCAGTGGTGGCACCAGCGCTAGTGGACAAGCTCCCAAGGCCAAGACACTGTGCTACTTTTGTAATGAGCCCGGGCACATCCGCCGGAACTGCCCGAAGCGGACTGCCAGCCGAGGAACACTGCAGTGTGTGTTCTGCGATAGGACCGGGCACGTAAAAAAAGACTGCTTCCAGCGGAAGAAGTGGCTGGAGGCGCAGTCGGCGAACGGCGTGTCAGCAGCATCTGTGGGCGGCGCAGACAAGGTGCTCTGCCTGCAGAATCATGCCCGCGGCGGACTACCACGCATATACACAGATGTCTCGTCTCCGGGCGGAAGTTGCTATCGAGCAACTGCTATCGTGGATACTGGTTCCACCCGCACGCTTATTTCTCGTGCTCTGCTCGCGCACTTGCCTGATGTGCAGTTGTCTCGTGCCGACAGCGAGGCAACAGGGGTGATAGAGAGACTAGATAGCTCCAGTTCTCCCACAACTTTGTGGTGCCGAAACCCGGGAAAGAGTCGGGATAGAGTCGGGAAAGTGTTTTCGGAGTACGAGTGTCGTAGTGATTTATTTATTTTGTGAGACGAGAGTTCTTACTGTGAGTTCCTACTGTGTGTTCCTACTGTGTGTTCGTGGAATACTCGAGTGAATCATGTCTACCAAGTATCTTGTCCAGCCGTTTTCTGGCAAGGATGGTGAAGACCTAGAGGAATTCTGGGCAAAGTTTTTAGTTTTGGCCACTGCCAAGGAATGGTCCGACGAAGATGCACGCATGCAACATTTACCTTTATATTTGCAGGGCGATGCATTTCGAGTGTTTGCTCGTATGGCAGAGAGTGACAAAAGCAAACAAGCAGAGGTCAAGAAAGTTTTAGTGAGTGCGTTCAGTGTGACGCCGTCCAGAGCGTATGATTTGTTCAAGCGCCGTTGTTTGCGTGTGGATGAAAGTGTCGACGCGTATGTGGCCGATTTGCAGCGTTATGCAGCGCTGTCGGGGCACAAACCGGGTGGTACCGCCAGCAAGGATCCGATCGTGATCGAGCAACTGATCGCTGGCCTACAGCCCGAATTTGGCCGCCAGCTGAGAATGTCACTGACGATACCTGCGTGTCTAGAGCGTGTGCGTGCGCTCAGAGCCAGTGAGACCGATGCTCGGTACACAAGCAGGTTCAGCCAGAGCGTTTCTGCTAGTGCCAGTACCAGTACTGGCAGTAGTTACAGCGGAGGTGTACACCGACCTCGCAGTACTGTTGTCTGCTATAACTGTAATCAGCCTGGGCATGTCCAGCGTAACTGCCCAGAGTTCAAGAAGAAGCAGAAGCCCCGTTTCAGTGGACCAGTAGTGTGCCACTTTTGTGATCAGCCTGGTCATGCAAAGCCAGCGTGCCCTGAGAGAAGGAAGTGGCGAGAAGCCAAGGCAGCAGAACATGTGGCGGCTGCTGGTACGTCGCATAGTAGCAGTGACAAGTGCCTGTGTGCGGTGTCCACTGAAGCTGCCCCCTTGCCGAGGATCTATGTGGACGTGGAGTCGGCCAAGCCGGATGACTGGTGCCGTGGAGAGGCCATGCTGGACACCGGGTCGGCTCGCACGCTAGTGTCGTCTGGCTTTATACGTGCGGCTAAGATGTGCAGCCAAGTGTCGGCGGTAAAGCAGGAGAAGCTCCTCGCCCTGGATGGCGAAGCCCTGCCGATTTCGGGGTCAATTTCACTAACAATTCGTCGCCTGGATGGACCCGTAAATTTGCCGCCTACCCGTGTTGTTGCGTTTGTAGTTCCTGAGCTGTCGGTTATTAATGCTGACCTGTTGCTGGGATCTGACCTTGTCCGTGCCATCGGTGGCGTCAGGTTGCAGTACTCTGAGTCAGGTGATCTGCGGTCCGTGTTGTTTGGTTCGTCAACCGCCAGTGACCCTGAGCCTGTGTCGTCTGTCGTTAGTGATGCTCTGCAGTCGCCGGATCAGCACCCGTCTCGGCGTGTTAGCGTGGTGCAAGACGGTGAGGACGTGACGCTATCTGTCGAGGATGGTCAGATAAAGTGGCTAGCAGCTGAGCAGTGTTGGCAAGCAGCATGGAGGTGGAAGGACGAAAAGCCACCTACCGGACGCATCGGCAGCGGCATTGGGGAGTACCCCCGGAAACTTAGTGATGATCAAGAGAAGCTGTTCCAGCAAGAAGTGGACTCCTGGATCGGTAACGAACTCGGACTATCCGAGGACGATAAGAATAAGTACGATGAGGTCGTCAAAGCTATCGACACCTACTTCCGCCCCTCCACCAATGTCGTTCACGAACGAGCCAAATTCGAACAGCTGGTCCGACAACCCGGCCAAACAGTAGAGGAGTTTGTGCGCGCTCTCTACAAAGCTGTTGAATATTGTGAGTTTGCCGGCTCAAAGGATGATCGTATCCGAGAACGCTTCGTCGCCCGCATGCAGGACAAGTGGGTGAGTCGAGAGTTGCAAAAGGACAAGAACGGGCAAACCCATGCCAGGTTGTTGCTTTCGCACAGCAAGCCGAAACTGTGCAGCAACATGTCATGTTCCAGTCCCGCAGCGGCTTGGCCACCGCCAGTTCAGTTTCCCACGATGCCTCAGCCTCAGCCTCAGCTGTCTGGTCGCACCATGGTAAATTAAAGACAACAGCAAACATACCGCACAAAGGAAATGCACTCACTCACACGCACAGTCAGCACACCGACTCGCTTACGTGAGTGACGTGCAGCTGCTGCAGGATCTCGCCATACTCCTGGTAGCAGCGCAGCAAGTTCTGCCGCAAGTTCTCCTCGTGGCTCAGCGTGCCACTCGTAGTGACAGTGGTCAGTGGCTTCACAGGCAAGTGACCATCACCGGGTGTCTGTAAGCACCATAGCACAACTCAGTAAGCACACAAATATCACAACAACTCATCAGTGAATGCCTCCTCAGTGTCAAGTGAATCACAATGACAAGGCCAACTACACTGCACCCTGCAATACTGTACCCTGCATCACTGCACAACTTTACCCTGCACCACTGTACCCTGCACCACTGTACCCTACACCACTGTACCCTGCACCACTGTACCCTGCATCACTGTACCCTGCACCACTGTACTCTGCACCACTGTACCCTGCACCACTGTACTCTGCACCACTGTACCCTGCACCACTGTACCCTGCACCACTGTACCCTGCACCACTGTACCCTGCACCACTGTACCCTGCACCACTGTACCCTGCACCACTGTACCCTGCACCACTGTACCCTGCACCACTGTACCCTGCACCACTGTACCCTGCACCACTGTACCCTGCACCACTGTACCCTGCATCACTGTACCCGGCCGGCACCACTGTACTCTGCACCACTGTACTCTGCACCACTGTACTCTGCACCACTGTACCCTGCACCACTGTACCCTGCACCACTGTACCCTGCACCACTGTACCCTGCACCACTGTACCCTGCACCACTGTACCCTGCACCACTGTACCCTGCACCACTGTACTCTGCACCACTGTACCCTGCACCACTGTACCCTGCACCACTGTACTCTGCACCACTGTACCCTGCACCACTGTACCCTGCATCACTGTACTCTGCATCACTGTACCCTGTACCACTCTACCCTGCACCACTGTACCCTGCACCACTGTACCCTGCACCACTGTACCCTGCACACTGCACCACTGTACCCTTCACCACTGCACCACTGTACCCTGCACCACTGTACCCTGCACCACTGCACATTGCAGGCCCGGAGCCAGCTCCCGAGGGGTGGTACGGCCCCGGGTCGGCTGAAGGGCCGATCATTTTCGCGTGCCCAACTATTTCAGTGCCATCGGAGGATGAATCTCTAGCTCAGTACTGAGCGGCATCACATCTGGTTGTTTCAGCTACATACAGCCCGCCGCCAGCAACACATACATGTGTGTGTGTGTGTGTGTGTGTGTGTGTGTGTGTGTGTGTGTGTGTGTGTGTGTTTGTACATGTATACAGTGAGCACAGTAGTCCTCACAGGACACAACAAACAGCTTAGGAGGGAGAGACTCTAGCGAGGACAGCAAGTTTATTAGTACTTCCGCACACAATTGATCATTCACTGGACAATCTGTGAAAGCTGAAATTGGTAAAAACTGGTACAGCTATGGCCGCACCAGCCGCACCAGTGGTGCCGGCCCTGCATTGCACACTGAACCACTGCACACCGCACCCTGCACACAGCACATCGCACCCTGCACCACTGCACCTCACCTCAGTCCACATGGCAGCCGTGTAGCCACACTGGAAGAGCTTGGCCTTGAGAGCAACGTTCTGAGGTAGTGCATCCACTGCATCGGCCATGGTGTGCTGCCAAGACAGAGCATCATCACACTCTGCACAGTGGAGACACCCACCCACACACACACCCATGCATACACGCACACACCCACCCACACACACACCCACACACACCCACACACCCACACACCCACACACACATACACACACACACACACACACACACACACACACCACACACCCATGCACACCCACACGCAAAGCTGCAATACAAACACACTTTGTGCATAGGCACACAGCACCACCAAAGAGTCTTCTCCCGACACCAGAACACTTGCCTACACTCCCCCCCCCCCCCCCCCCCCCCCCACCGCCCTTTCCAAATACTGTACCGACTTGCAGCACAATGGACTTCTAGACTGCATAAGACTTTGTAACTGGGTGCCGTGTGTGATTCAGAAGTACACCCATTACATAGGTATAACAGAGACATTAAGATGCACTTGACCTGAACGCAAACGTGTGTGTCTGCGAGCTCAGACCCAGAAATCACACAGGTCACACAGGTTACACAGGTCACACAGGTCACACAGGTTACACAGGTTACACAGGTCACACAGGTTACACAGGTCACACAGGTTACACAGGTCACACAGGCCACACAGGTCACACAGGCCACACAGGTCACACAGGTTACACAGGTTACACAGGTCACACAGGTTACACAGGTCACACAGGCCACACAGGTCACACAGGTTACACAGGTTACACAGGTCACACAGGTTACACAGGTCACACAGGTTACACAGGTCACACAGGTCACACAGGTCACACAGGTTACACAGGTCACACAGGTCACACAGGTTACACAGGTCACACAGGTTACACAGGTCACACAGGTTACACAGGTCACACAGGTCACACAGGTTACACAGGTCACACAGGTCACACAGGTTACACAGGTCACACAGGTCACACAGGTTACACAGGTTACACAGGTCACACAGGTCACACAGGTCACACAGGTTACACAGGTCACACAGGCCACACAGGTCACACTGGTTACACAGGTTACACAGGTCACACAGGTTACACAGGTTACACAGGTCACACAGGTTACACAGGTTGCATATTCTCTGATAAGATACAAAGTACAGTACTTGGATGTGTGTGTGCGTGTGTGCGTGTGCGAGAAAACCTACAAACTTAGAAACAAAATCATCAACACGTGCACGATCGCGAAATATTTTTCCGGATAGTTGGCGAAGGTGCAAGAAAAGCGCCAAAATCCATACCGGTGTGGCCCTGCGCGAGTGAGCTGAGTGGGGCCTCGCACATGTGTGGTTTCAGGTGCTGCGACTTGTGTGGCTGGACCTTGGCCTGTGGGGATTTCACCCCTTCACGTGACTGCCCGACGTGTGTGGCCTCTTTCACCCTGGTATTTCTTTGCCTGCTTTTCTGAATTTCGGTTGCATGGAATTTGTTCAGTGCTTCCTTGATTGCTTCCATGGCACCAGACTCCAAATATGAAGACCGAGCAAAGGAAAAAAGTTTAGCAATGAGTATGCTAGGCAGTAGTGGCAGTCAACAATTACTTTCTAACACAAGCTACCAGTGTCATCGGTTTCAGGGTTACATCACAGGATAGGTCTGTTGAATTGGTCTCCAGGAGCAGTAGACGGCACGTACACATACGCGCAAACCCCCACTCACACATGCACACGCATACCCCCCACCCCCACACACACATGTACACGCACCCCCCCCCCCCCTCCACACACACACATACCCCCCCCCCCCCCCCACACACACACACACAGGACATAATCATTGCTTTGTCGTCCCTTACCGCCAGCACTCTTTACATACTCTTGCAGAATGCTCATGAGCATCGTTCTGAGCGCTGCATAGCGCGGCAACTGCATGTGCTCCAGACGTACTGTGAATGACTGCAGCATAGCAAAGCTCATGTCATGAGCAAATGCACGCCATGGAACAATAGCCATCATGCTCCGGACCTGTGCTGTTTCTTCTTCATCTGAGCTGGCCACGGAATCTCTCTCCAGAATGTCTGGGCAAATTATGGCAAACAAGCTGAAAACAGCTACATCCTGCAAGGACAAAAAAGAGGAAGAAAAAGAACAATCAATTAAAAGTCTATGTACTCCACGCAACTGCATTGTAACTAAGAACGATCAAATGGGGGGGGGGGGGGGAGGCATTCAGTGTTCCTTGTTATGGCCTTGGTGTGCTGGCATGTGGGAGGGGGATTGTACAGTGGAATTGTTTGTAAAAATTATATCCAACCTTTTTCAGCTGTTTTTGCAGGCTATCCTTGATTCCCAGTGGCGCTTCCTTTAAGAGCTCTCGCACTAGACCAGAAGTCAGAAGTCTCAAACGTCGATTGCGCCTCTCATGCTTGGCACGCATATCCAATATTTGAGCACTGTCATCTGGAAAGCAGCACACACGCAAGCCAGTAAAACATCCATCGCTTACACTTGCAGCACGAAAGCCATGCTATCGACACCCATGTCTAACAATAATACAGTCTACTCGTGATAAGTGACGCACTTTTAAGTAACGCTCTCGCGATAAGCCAAGATTGAGTTTGATGATTGATCGCTATGAATCGAAGAATAATTTTTTAAAATAGGCTATGTATGTAATTTGGAATCCCTTCACTTTCGACGCACTTGTATTTCCATCACTGTGTTGTTCAAGTATATCAATTTCCACCCAGATTATCTATCCCGCTTTGACATCAATATCTCTTCTAGCACATGCAGATTAAACAATTCTCATAATCGCATCTCTTCTTCTCTCTTTCTGGATAAAATCAGTAAGCTGTGGAACTGCCTTCCAGCAAGGCTGACATCCCAAGATTCCCTTCCTAAATTTCAGCAGCAATTTCGCTTGCACGTGACGGATTATAAATTTGACTGCAGTGGTATATCTACTTCGAATCACCCACTCCTGTTCTTATCGCTCATTATGCATATAGTTTCCTCACTATTAATCCTCATTCTCTCCGATGGTGAGCCAATTAAATTATGGTGAAAAAGGAGGACAAAATGCAGAAAATACAGAATGTCTCAGTACTCCTTGTCAGTTTTGTGCCATTTTGTCTCACTCGCTGACTGTATAAGATCTGGTTACGTTGGTGGACAGTTAGTCATAACTCGTAACATTTTGTCCTTCTCCTTTTTCACCATACTTCTACAAGTAGATTATCTTTATTTCATCCGGCACCATACACCCTATACTATGATTTCTATTGCGTCAGGAGATCCCCTTGACAGGCCATCGCCTCTGGAAAATCCTTTCAATAAAGATTATTATTAAGAAGCACTGGCAGATCTTCCTCCATGGCCATTTGAACTGCATAGTTTTACTCCCTCTCTCCCTCACTTCCTTCCTCCCTCCCTCCTTCTCTTCTTCCATCCCTCCCTCCCTCCGTCCCTTCCCCACCCTACCTATCTCCCTACCTCCCTCCGTCCCTTCCCCTCTCCCCCCCGTCCCTTCCCCTCTCCCCTCCCTCCCTCCCTTCCCCTCTCCCCTCCCTCCCTTCCCCTCTCCCCTCCCTCCCTTCCCCTCTCCCTCCCTCTCTCTCTGAACCTTCGCCGTTGGGGAAACACGGTGGTGGATCCGTATCGTAGTTTGTGCCGTGCCTGGGCCTGTACTACGCACCACGTGCCTGGCGCTTGTCGCGTAGCGCTGGACCAGGGACGTTACACCTGGAGGCACGACAACGTACTCGGGGTCATCGTCAGGAAGAGGAGATTCGAATCCGCGCTGCTGCAAACACCGTACAAACCGAAAATTCAAATGAGCTTGACTTCATCTCGTTTTGCAAGGCGGGAGAGAAGTCAGTTCGCGTTCAGCCCAGACGAAAGTTGGTTCAAACGACCCACGTGCCCTTTGCTAGGATACGACCAATCAGCGGCCTCGGAGAGCGGTACGCAAAAACCATCAAAGCTCTATCGTACTGCCCATGCGCACTGTCAGTTATAGTGTTTTCTGTGCAGAGAGGGTGGAGGGTTCTTACCTTTTTTCGGAAGTGTCTGACCAAATATGGCCGAATCATCGTCAGAACCATCTGTCAAGCGCCGGTTCGAGTCCGTTTCAGTACAGGAGGTGGACACAGTGATCACCGAAAGAGTGCCGAAGAGCACATCGTCTACCACGAAAGGATGGGTGAAAGTGTTTATGGATTATGCTGCCGAAAATGGAAAAGATATTGATCTGGCCACGTGCTCCAAAGAGGAATTGAACGAAGCACTTTGCAAGTCTTATTTGGGTATGCGAACACAGAAAAAGGAGTACTACCAGCGCAGTAGTTACCAGGGATTCAGAGCGGCAATCAATCGCCACCTAGCTGAGATTGACCGTGATATCAGTATCTTCACGGACCCTGAGTTCCGCCGTTCAAACCAAGCATACGACGGAATCCTGAAGAAACTGAAACGACAGGGCAAACCAAATCCTACACAGTCCAAGGCAATCATCAGCACCGAGGATTTTGCAAAGATAAACAAGTTGTTTCTGTACTCCAAAGAGCCAAGCAACCTAAACCTGGAAGTTTGGTTCTACCTGACCTACCACCATGGCCTCCGGGGGCGTGAAGCTCAGTGTCGGCTGACTAAGGAATCCCTGACGCTCTGCAAGGGCAATGAAGGGAAAGATTATTACATGTGGCGCTTCGGACAACACCGCAACAAAACAAGCAGGAAGGATTCAGTGCCCTCGACAAGTGCTGGCAATTAGTATCCTTCTACAACACCTGAATCCTGATTGCAACCGTTTGTTTCAACGCCCGCGAAGGAGCCTGCCTCCCCGCGACAAAGTCTGGTATGAGAATGCCCCACTGGGCAAAAATACCTTGGACAATATGATGAAGAGCCTGTCCGAGAAAGCTGGCACGTCGCGAATATACACAAACCACTGTCTCCGTGCTACCTGTGTTACAGTTCTCCAAGAGAACGGGTTCTCCTCCAATGACATAACGTCTGTGACTGGCCACACTGTACTGGCAGGTCTGTGACTGGCCACACTGTACTGGCTGCCCAGTCACTGCTCAGCTACAGTAAACCAGGTGAGAAGCAGCAGCAGCAGTGAATGGCAGCTTGCCTTGACGTGACCGCGTCGACGGCAGCCCCAGTTCAAAAACGTGGCAGCTCAATCAGGATGCTGTAGACCAACTCGTGGAGAGCTACATGCCAGCTGACCAGCTTGTAGTCAGTCAGTCTGCGCCTTCGGACACCGTCGACCAGCTACTCATGGGAATGTCCCACGATGACCATTTTCGGAGATTTGGCCCTGCCGCCAGTGGCACCACCGCCAGCCCCTGTGTCGGCACAGTCATCGGTCTCGTCCGCGTCAACTCTGAATCTGTTTCAGGGAGCCATTCTCCAAGGTGCAACCATTCATTTCACTGTGAATCACAAATAATTATAACTCTCACTTGCTCTACTACTTCGAGTTCAAGTACTTTACTCATCATCGTTTCTTTTTCGGTTGAGGTAGGTGTGCGTGGTTTCATCCCGGACTCTCTTCGGAGGGCTCTGAAAGCGCTTGGGTTTTCTAATCGAAGAATAACATTTATTTGTAATTTGTGCAGTAAGACGTCTCTGCGAAGCAGCTACATCATCTGCCTGCGACGTCAACAAAAACACTGATCGGAAGATCCACTTTTCCGAGGTACTGTATGTGGGGCTCCGTTTATTGAGGTGCGTTGAAATTTATTCTCTTTATCTTATTATTTCTTTTCTATCATATCCCCAATGAGTTCCTATCAGTTGCTGTGAACACCTTGAGTGGAGAGCACTTGCTCGAGCGTTGAACCCGGGTCCTTAATCCACCATTCCCAGTTCCCAAGGCTGGGCGGGGTTGTGAGCAGGGTTTCATTTAATCTTTTCTTATTATTTCTGCTTAAGCGCTTTTCATCTCATTACCAAAATTCTGCACATTTTTCTCCATCTGCGCATAAAAAGTTAGACTGATAAAAAAATAAATCACGGTGAGACTCGGCTGGAAGCCGAGTTTTCCGCATCCGGAGGAACGCCACCACCCTCAAGGATCAAGCTGCAGATGCAGCTCCTAAGCGGTGGGAGGTGAGTAGATCAGACCCACCACAAATTGGTCAAAGACTGAAATCCCATTCACTGCATCCATGACTGATAACCTGCTTGTTAAATCATGCACCTGCTTTCAGGCGTAAAAACCCTGTTGTAGAGGTCTCAGTCCTCATTTGTTAGACTTACCTGTCTCTATAACTGTAACTGTAATTCTCTCTCTCTCTCTCTCTCTTTCTCTCACTACTGTTATAAGAAGATTGACTTGTGTCACAAATGCTTTCAAAATGCCCGTAACAGAGACATTGTGCTTACTATCATAGGCAGGAGCAATGCTCTGGGAACAAGTCAATGTCTGATAAAGAGTATCCGATAACCCGCCAGCTAAGCCAGGTACCCGTTTGCTAGCTTAAAGGGCAACTGCGCCATCACTAAATCAAAAGAACATAGTGTTACAAGCATACCCAATGCAGTTGATGCTACGCTCTTGGGTCTCGCTGGACACAAGTCCATCAGCAACGCCAGGAATTCACCAATGAATAAGAAGTCGCGCAAGGCAGGCGGTCGCCTGCACGCCAACTGGTACAAGAGCTGTCTGGCATCACAGTACCTACAAGCAACAACAGGAAACCGGAAAACCAAAAACAGCATATGTATGAACACAGCATCAAAGCCATTTCCTTACAAGAAAGAGCACTGATTGAGCACAGGTTGAGCACGGGTTGAGCACTGGTTGAGCATTGGTTGAATGCTTGCCAGGCTTTGCTACCTACACAGAGTTACAAGCAACACTACACTGGATTTCTCTGTTTCAAAATGGCCCCTTCACTAGACGTTCAAGTGACGACATGCACCCTAAAGCAGTTGCATATAGCCATCAGTTCTACATCAAGTAGTGTCACTGCTAATGATACCCCTGTTACTCACCATTCATCCTGCAACTCTTCCCTGCACAGGCGATGGAGACAGCGCAAGTGAAGAAGTGAGTTGCTCTCAAACAGCCTGCAGACAGTGCGGCGAATTGCCTCGTCCTCCGCAGGAAACTTGTTCACAAAGAAGCGCACGCACTGCCGAGCCAGCATGGCCACAGACGTTCGAGAACTGCCCACAAACATCTGAACGATCTTCTTCGCCAAACCAAGCACATCCTTTGCCGATGCGTCGGGCTGAGCTAGGCTGGTTATGAGGTCAAATCCATGAGAAACAAAGTCGGAGATATGCTGGGGACGCTTGAGAAATGCATTCCTAATCATCTCCAGTAGCGATGTGGTGAGCTCAAGTTTCTGTGCATCATCTAACGCACTGACACGGGACAAGCCGGCAGCAAAGCTCGGTACGATAATTGCACACATGTGAAAGACGGAGAGGTCAGAGTTGTTCTTAAAGTCGGCAGCCAGTGCAAAGAGCGTGATGAGAAAGTCCTTTCGATCTCCTTGCCATGCAATGGTGGATGTGTTCTCTGGCACCTCGTCACCAAAGAAGCGAGCCAGCTTCTGCTGTCGAGTGGCATTGGTAGTCGGCGGGACTTCTTGAATCAATTTCGGAACAACACTCCGGAATAGGAACACAATGTTCTCACCTGCGATGGCACAACAAAAACACAGGCACAACACACATAAAAATGCAGAGGTCATTTTTGGAAGGTGTACAGTGGAGTTCACGTACAACACTAGTCATGTGGGGGTCACCGTATACTCTCTATGCCAAACACTTGCAGTCACAAAGTAACCACTGTGTACCTGGAGATTCACATTTGTAGATCTCAAATCAGTATTCCATTAGAGCGATTTACTTAAAAATTGTACCAAAGTAGATCCGGTGAAAGACAGAAACATGACCAACAGAGGATTAATACGACTTCACATACCACGAGCAACCATGGCACATGCCAAGCGCAGCATTCCAACCAGAACATTGACTCGCTTTGCATGCTCATCCACAAGACCGTCGCAGCTGATCTCTGTTGGAGCCTCCAAGACAGACGGTTGCCACCTGAGGACACGTTGAGCAGCTTGTGGTGGGTCCTCTCCTGAGCAGATGCAGACAGACAAAAGGCGAACGTGCAAGGATTGCAATGTATTGTGTGTACTTGCATGCACGTGTGTGTGTGCACGCGTGAGCGCGCGCGTGCGTGCATGTGGGCACAGTATGCGTGCTTGTGTGGTCGTGTGCTTGTGTGCGACAATACTGTGAATCGATCCGCCAACTGGCATAGTCAACTGGCATAGCCGGGAGCTTGTTAGTCACCAGGTTGTCAGAAGCTGAAATAGTTTTGATCGGGATAAGAGGCTCCTAAAAGCAATGCTATGGTGCACCTGTTTCTCTCAAGAGATTATCTGTGCTGCGGCTGTGCACGGCCATAGTGCACAGGCAAAACACATCAAACTCTTCTCCAGACACCATCCCTCAGCTCCACCAAAGCCATGCTCACCGGCACTTAGAGCTTCTTCAGCGGCCTGGTGTTGTGATGCAGCACAGTGTTGGTCCACTCTCTCAAGGACTTCATCCACGATCATATGCGCCACACGCACAGCCTCAACTCGCTTCACTTCCTGCAGCTCTTCACTCCTGAGGCAGATACGGGGAAGGAGAGACAGACAAGGGGGAAGAGCAACAGCCAAACAAATTGGAACATCAACTGGAATACTACACAGAGTCTAGTGACTGTTAGAGCTTCTTGACACGGAGAGAGAGAGAGAGAGAGAGAGAGAGAGAGAGAGAGAGAGAGAGAGAGAGAGAGAGAGAGAGAGAGAGAGAGAGAGAGAGAGAGAGAGAGGGAGAGAGAGAGAGAGAGAGAGAGAGAGAGAGAGAGAGAGAGAGAGAGAGAAGAGAGAGAGAGAGAGAGAGAGAGAGAGAGAGAGAGAGAGAGAGAGAGAGAGAGAGAGAGAGAGAGAGGGAGAGGGAGAGGGAGAGGGAGAGGGAGAGAGAGAAATTCGTCAAATACAAAACCCTGTGGACGGTGTACATACCTTTTCTGGGTTTCCGTTTTTATGAGGCGAAACGCCGAAAGAATGGACTCCAAGCCTGACTTCTGCAAATCCTTCCTATGAAACAAGAGGATAGTAAACGAAGTATAACGCCAGAGGAAAGTAGGTACAAGATCTAAAAATTGGTAAAATCCCTGCTGCAGAGGAAAAAGCACGATATAAAGTGTACTATAAATTACACAAAAAAAACCTACACACCATCCTCAAATCAAGTGGTCTCTTCGCTGCAAATAATTACAAGTATCTCAATCAAATTTTTGGCCAGGAGCCATCATTCGGATATAAGGATCACTATAAGCAAGAGTGCATAAACTGTTTATGGACTCTTGCTATAAGAAGTTAGATACAAAAAAGCCGTAGCGCAAAAAAACGCAAAATCTATTTTGTCAATTTTCAGTATGACCAAAAATCTGAATCAGCCCACTGATTGCTTATGGATGGAGAGCCTCTGCCCCAGCCACATCCGGTCATCTTCACGGCACTCAATAGGGCCTAGGGACGTTATTCGCCAAGCTGCACTGCGCACGCATGGTGCAGCCGGGCCTTCAGGCATGGACGCAGCCAACTGGCGAAAGATTTGTACATCCTTCCGCTCGGCCTCGGATGCACTGTGCGATGCTCTGGTTACCTGTGCCAGGCGCATAGCTACCAAGTACGTGGACCCCATCTCACTGGAAGCTTATGTGGCTTGCCGTCTAGTGCCTTTGCACAAGCAGCCAGGTGTTCGGCCTATCGGGATTTGGGAAGTAATCCGCCGCATTCTGGGCAAAGCCATACTTCAGATTGTTGGCTCGGCAGTAGAGAGTGCTGTTGGCTGTCTGCAGTTATGCGGTGGGCAAGAGTGCGGCGTGGAAGCCGCCATTCATGCGGTGAAGACCACCGTCGATGATGATCACACGGAGGGAGTCCTGTTCGCGGATGCAATGAATGCTTTCAATCGCTTAAACAGAGCTGTTTGCCTGCGCAATGTTCAGCGGCCATGTCCTGAGTTCGCGCCAGCTATCATCAACACCTACCGCTCACCAGCTCACCTGTATGTTAGAGGAGAGGTGATCCTGTCTTCTGAGGGCACCACTCAGGGAGACCCATTGGCTATACCAATGTATACGCTTGGCACAGTGCTACTGATCCGGGAAGCCGCCGCAGCTGGGGCCATACAGTCCTGGTATGCCGATGACGCAACTTCAGCCGGCTCTCTCCGACGAATGCGCACCTGGTGGTCTATCCGCTATCGGCATCTTGGTGCTGGTCCAGGCTCTGCTCTGTTGGTTACGTGTCCCAGAAGGTTGACACATGGTGCACAGAGCTGCAGACCCTCGCCAAACATGCGGCGTCTCAACCTCAGGCTGCGTACGCGTCCTTACTCATGGTCTCCGCCATAAGTGGTCATTCCTTGCGAGGACAATGCCAGCCATCGCCGACCTCCTGACACCGCTGGAAAACTCCATCAGCCAAGTTTTCCTCCCTGCACTGACTGGTTGCCAGGCCCCAGGCGAAGAAGAACATGCCATCCTGGCGCTCCCCTGTCGTGATGGTGGTTTGGGAATTCTAAACCCAAGGACCCTTGCCCAGCAGTACGAAACATCTACGTCTGTCACCAGACCTCTCGTCGAGCAGCTCCTTCGATGGGAGGAATCCATCGAGGAAGTTGTTGCAGCCACCAAGGCAGCCAAGGCGGTCCAACGCACGGCTAATCGCCAGCATCAGGCAATGGCCCTCTCCTCCCTCAGGGATACCCTGAGTGACGACCACAGGCGGACTCTTGATCTAGCCGCGGAGAAAGGTGCCTCCAGTTGGCTCACTAGTCGGCCATCTCGCAGGTTCCAGTTCACCATCCACAAGGCTGGCTTCCGGGATGCCCTATGTCTGCGCTACGGTTGGAACTCTCCCCGGTTGCCGTCTCACTGCACCCACGGAAAGCCCGTTGACACCACCCATGCCCTGTCATGTGCCATCGGAGGATTCACAGGGATGCGCCACAACGAGCTCCGAGATCTCACCGCTAATCTGTTGCGTGAGGTTGCGCATGACGTCAGCGTGGAGCCACAGTTGGAACCCCTTTCTGGTGAAACATTCCCTCTCCGGTCGGCCAACACGGAGGCTCATGCTCGTCTGGATGTGGCAGCACGTGGAGTGTATGGGAGTAGGTTAGAGAGGACAATGTTTGATGTTTGGGTGTTTAATCCGTTTGTCCCCTCCAACCGAAACCTTACTATCCCGTCTGTCTACAGAAAGCACGAGCAGGAGAAGCGGCGCAAGTATGAACGGCGAGTCCTGGAGGTGGAGCATTCCTCGTTTGTTCCCGTGGTCTTTGCAACAACTGGTGGGCAGAGGAAAGCTGCTTCGGCCCTGTTCGCCAGGATTGCCAGCAAGCTGAGTGAAAAGGGCAGTGAGCCTTTCCCGGTCATGATGGCTTTCGTACGGGCGAAGATCTCCATTTGCATTGTTCGGGCTATGGTTGCCAGTTTACGTGGTCAACGTGGGAACCCGCCTCGACATCTGTCTGATTCGGCTGTGCTGGCAGCTGCTGAATGTGCCCTGGTGCCATAAACTGTGTACATATCCATGTACAGTTTCTATGGTTACGGTGCTCCCATGATAATGAGATTCATTTACTTTTGTATTATTAGTTTGTTTTGTTTGTTATGATTTCTTGGTTTTTCATCCGGCTTTTCTCAGTACGACAGTATTATATTGAACAAGTAAGTGAATAAGGACAGCCCGAACGTGCTGCGCTGGTTTTCAATGAATTGTTTTGAGTTTTGCCCATACAAGAGGCGGTTCCAGATTGTGTGCACTGATTGCTTTCAGCTCCTATGGCCTACCCGCATTTTACTTTATTTTGGCGTTAAGGGTTTTTGGCATTTCAGTTCTAAAAAAGTACTTGTGGCAAATGACTTGAAATGAGTGAGGCATACGTTGTGATAACCAAACTGGCTCAATCAAACAAGAGAACGTACAGGAGGGCATACAAAGTGCATACATTGCCTTTGTTCATGGCACATTTATGGATACACACGCACGTATGCACACACACACACACACACACACACACACACACACACACACACACACACACACACACACACACACACATATACATGCACACGCGCACGCACGCACGCACACACACACGCAGAGAGAGAGAGAGAGAGAGAGAGAGAGAGAGAGAGAGAGAGAGAGAGAGAGAGAGAGAGAGAGAGAGAGAGAGAGAGAGAGAGAGAGAGAGAGAGAGAGAGAGAGAGAGAGAGAGAGAGAGAGAGAGAGAGAGAGAGAGAGAGAGAGAGAGAGAGAGAGAGAGAAGAGAGAGAGAGACACACACACGCACACACACACACACATACACACACACTTACTGGTGGCGTGAATAGAGTGAAAGTGTGACAAACTCAATGACCAGCAAGGACACGTCTGAATGCCGAATGCCAAACACTGCAGGCATGGAATATAACAGTATGTGCCGCTAAGCTAAACCGCCATGTCACTCGTATAGTAACACCAACGGCTTCGACAATACCACCATTAACATGGCGCCACTTGTCATTGTCATTGAAATACGGTGGAACTTCGGACATTCGACTACTCTAGAGACTGTCTGATTCGTGAAAAATACCAATATGGCATGCGGCAGCTTGAAATCATGATAGCCATGCAATCATATACTACTCAAATACCTAATAATGTGTGTTGTTGTTGTACACCTATGCCCTACCTTTCCTGTAAATATCATCAAGAGTAAATAAGCACACAAGAATGTGCAATTCTGCATGTGTTTGCTATGGGATCTGCCGACGGCGAAAAGCCACATGATGTGGTGTAGTGTTCACGTTGTACGGTTCCAGCCTGTTTAGCGAGTAAGTTAGCGGAGTAGCAAAAATACTAAAATAGCACTCAGAACCCACAAACTCGGACCATGTGACACGAGGTTTCGCCGTCAGAGACTCCATATGCAGAGTTGCATGCTGTTGGTGGCTTATTCACTCTTGTTTTCATGGGCAGTCAAAACAGTGGGTGAGACTGCCTGCCAGTCGCCATGTCAGTTTTTTCTCATGCACACAGAGCTCCACGCACACACACACACACAGTTTGTACTCTTACCGTAGCCAAACGCATTGGGCAGGCTGCTGTTCAGCACAACCTCCATGGACTGATCATTCTCTAAGCTAGTCATCAGAAAGTCGAGCAGCTTGTCAAGAAAGGAGAGCGGATGTTGAGTGAGATATCCTGAACCAGAGTGATGCACAGGCAAGAGGGGAAAGCAGGCCGTATGGATACAGGTATAAGAGCGACCACTGGTCGTCCAGTAGTGACATGTGGAAACTAGCTCCAGTAAGGGTGCGGGGCGCAGGCCTGCAGGGCCACCGGAGAAGCTAGCGCCTGGAAAGGTGCAGTGCCATCTGAAGCCACACACCAAGCATAATCACAATGCTGGAAGGCAACATCGGCTGAGTGGCGCTGGGCCTGGATCTAGAACTCCAACATCATTTCACTTGCAACAACTGAATTTGGTGACGTTCAAGCAACAAGAACTAGAGACCCATTGAGCATGGCACAACTGCAAGGAGATGCGAACACCAAAAGCTACCAAAACCATAACATGAACCATGCCCAACTGGTAGCATGACAGCAGAGGCTGATGAATTGTGCTATACTACTGTGCATAGCCACTGCCAGTAGATCTACACGTAACACCACGCCTCACACATCCCAAGTCCCAACGATTGACTATACTACCTCAGTCCTGCACAATACACCCACTGCACAGATGCACATACCAGAACACAGAGAGATAGAGATAGAGAAAAAAAGATACACATACGGAATAACAATACATGAACCCACATACAAGTGTACATGTACGCGGCGGCTATACCTTCAGTGGCGTAGACCACCAGGATGTTCAGCTGTTGCTCAAGGAAGCGCTTGGTCTCTTCAAATCCAGACGAGAACTCCTTGCTTGCCAGTATGACAAAGCACAATTCCGGAAGTGATCGTAGCATCCGATACCGGCCCTCGCGCTCTTGGAAATGCTGTCAATGAAGATACACGTATGCATACCATGGGTGACCGTGAATTTGTGATGGCTGCGCAATGGACTGAATAGTGAATACAGTACGCAGAACAGGGTATAGCCCCTTTCGTGCACATGCAACAAAACGTTAACAGCAAAAAAGCCAGAAGAGAACACAATCAGAAGAGAAAAGCTGTGAATGCTATACATGCACATACCGTATGGACGACTTTTGTCATGGCACCCACAAGCCGGTTCAATAGCTCAGCACACCGCTGCAACGGTGACAGTATAGGCGGCTGGTTAACATTGCCCTGCGCCGGCAGAGCAACGTCGAGGTCATCGCTACTGTCAGCTGGACTAGCCTGCACGCTATGGTTACGCGCGCCACCATCTTGATCGTTGTCTTGCTCAGCTGGTTCTTCAGACTCGCTCCCATCCTGTAGCACCAGGCAATGTGATGCGAACAAGAGAAATCGTTGGTCCCAACAGGCATCCAGTGAACCAGGCTTTGCAGGAACACAACAACTGCCCACAAACAAGAAACAAGTACTGGTACTAGTTTGATGCACACAAACCTACACAGAGCTGCCCCTCTTTCAAAAATATACGCCAAAGAAGTGTACAACAGGAGAAACTGCTTTTGACATAAATTTCAAATTTCCAAATCACCATACCTGTGCTGCAGTACTCTGAGAGGTTGATAAGATTGCTGCTCGTAGGCGTGCTGACGGTTGGCTGCTAGCCTCTGCCAAGGCACTGTGCTGTGTTACAAGGAACTGGGAAACACACATTGGGCAAGCAAATAACCTCAATCACACGCTCACCGGCACTATTTCTCATTAGCAACGGGGCGGACTGCAGAATGGACAAGGACATGGATGGTTGCGATTGGCAGAGCAGCAGTTGCTCAGCATTCATGAAACAAGAGCTTGTATCTACATAAATCACTGTAGTCTATCACTCGCGATGTGTTCCGCTGGTGTGGTCGCCTGCTTGGTCACAACCCCGTGTGCTCCTGGCTCAGGCCATACACTAGCTACCTGAAGAGGTTGGCTGACTCGCTCACTCCTGGAGGTTGGGACGCCAAGGTACCACCAGAAGTAGTAAGCCTCTGCCAAGAGCTGTCTGGTCGCGTTGAATGAGAAGATCCGGTACACGGTGCCTGGTCCGCACCACCTGCCACACAATGGTCAGTATGGTGCGATGCATCCAACATTGCCACCGGAATTGTGGTGCAATGCGGTGCAGATGTGATCGAGGATGCACGCTGGCTGCGTCTGAAGGATGATCGTCCGCACATCAATGTCGCCGAACTTGATTCGGTGATGAGTGGCCTTCAGCGTGCCACCGCCTACGGCCTCAGGAGTGTGCGCCTCCTGACCGACTCCAAGACTGTGCATGGTTGGCTGTATAACCTGCTGCACGACATCCGCCGTGTCAAGACCAGCGGTCTGTATGATGTGCTTGTCCAACGTCGCTTGCAAGCTATCGACGAGCTTGTCCGCCTCACCGGCCTGTCTGTCGTGGTCGAATGGGTACCCTCTGAACACAACTTGGCTGATCGGCTGACAAGAGTACCCACTCCATGGTTGAAGCTCTGCCGTGCCAAGTCTGATATGTGTGCTGTTACTGGTGATACCACTAACCCCGCCGTGGCCCTGCCCATGGCTGTTGCCACCATCCGCGCAGCGCAGCAGAATGATGGACTGATTCTGGCGCCATTCACGAGGTATCCATTGGGCTTTCTGTGTCGGCTGCATGCTACCGGAGAGTTGCTGCTCAGCTGGTCGTGAAGGCTGGCCTGCTTCGCCGAAGTGTGAAATTGCCCAATGGTGACATCGCTGAAGTGCCGGGGGTTCCCGAATCTCTGACTGATGAGCTACTGGACAGTGCGCACAACAACACTGGGCATGGCGCATGGGAGTCCATGTATCGCACTCTCTGGCGACACTGCTATTTCCCGAGAATGGCTGAACGCTGCCAAGAAACCGTAAGCTGCTGTGCGCAGTGCTGCTGTGCGCAGTGCTGCTGTGCTAACCCTCGCCGTGGTCAGATTCCTCCTCCGACTCGCACTGTACTGCCGGACCGACCCTGGAGTGTCATCCAGCTGGACATCCCGGAACTTGGTGCAAGGAAATCTGGTGAGTTCCATTCCGTTCTGGTTTGCATCGACATGTTCTCGAAATGGGTGGAAGTTGCTCCGCTACGCCGTCACGATGCGCAATCCATGGCTGATGCATTCGTGCAGATTTGCACTCGCTGGGGTCCCCCTAATATGGTCCGTCTCGACAATGGCACTGAGTTTATCAACACTATCGTCCGCTCTGTGTTTGCTATGCTTGACCAAGCCGACGGACTTCGTCGCCGGGATGCAATCCGTCCTCCTCAGCGGTTCCATGACTAATGGCATCAAGGGGAGAGGTGTAATGTGTATATAACTGAACCTATCTATCTATATATTGCTTCACTATTCATTGATCATACTGTAAGCCTACATGGGTAGTGTTTCACCCAGTATGACAGTTTGCCCTTTCATTCAATCATCGTGGTCTGCTGCACACGATGCATGGATGTGTTTCCTTTGTTTCGCATTGCTTGCTGTATGCACGCTTTCAGTCTCATCATGCTATCGTTAGTTCCGGTATGGTGCTTTGTTGCGAGACTTGCGTGCTGTGCGTATAAGTCATACCACCGCACTCAGTATCGCTCTAGCCCGATAATCCATATGCATCTGAGTTGGCTGTACTCAGTTGCCTTTTTGGGAACTCTTTGTCATGAGTTCATTAGTAGTTCTGATGTTGTCGTTTTGCTCTCTCTCTCTCTGAAATGTTCTTCCCTGAATAACAACTAATTACTTTCGTACTGCCTGTTGATCGAGTTGGCGTGCATGCCTGCGTGACTGAAGTTCCATAACATCCTTGTACCACTGAGCATTTCATCTGCCACTAACAGAATGGACAAGAGCTATGATCATAACTCTTCTGGCTTTCCTTGGTTAATTTCCACAATTTGGGGCTCCTGAGAAGCTCTTTCCGAGAGGAACACGCTATGTGCACACCTGACTCCGTAGGATGCAGTGGTCAAGTGCCACAAGCCAGCGCAGGCTCATAATTGCTGGGACTGCATTCGTGATAGATCGCCATTCATCACTCCACTTCCTTTGCTCGTATCAAGTACAGGTATTTTGTAAAACCTTCCGGGAGTACTACCTTGAACTGGAATAAACATTTCCGTACCAACAGATGACATAATTGGGGGATATCCCAGCTGTTGAGTTGCACATTGCACTCTGAGCACGGATTTGCTGGTAATGTACCAAAGTTACGAGTACCGAAACTCAAGAACTGCTTTTCTTATTTGTTATAGCTCAGGCGATTGTTCGGGGTGACAGCTGAGCGTTTCCGCTGTGACCTACGTTGTACGTAATTCGGATCTCTCCAAAAGATCGAGATAAGATCAAGTTTAAGTACATGATTGTACACCCTATATTCCCCGTCCCCCTGTACGTTTTCTCAGATAGAGTTACACGGTGTTCTAGTGACACAGAACAACAAGGCGCAAGGCTAGGTTGTGGCAACTGTGAGTAGCGACAAACTCCATGCCATGCAATCATCAGACAACGGCAAACTCCAAGCTATGCAATCATCAGACAACGGCAAACTCCAAGCTATGCAATCATCAGACAACGGCAAACTCCAAGCTATGCAATCATCAGACAACGACAAACTCCATGCTATGCAGTCATCAGACAACAGGCAAAATCAGCAGGCAAGCTGTGCGCCTTGTTGTTCCGTGCAGTATGCTCAGCCTGCGTGGTATTGAGCTCTGTTAGCACACTGAGTGCACTCTCTCCTCCGGGGTGGCAACTTTCTAGTGAACTACTCACCTCGGCAATCTCAATCATGCTTGAAATGATGTCTTCACTTTGTCCATCATCCAGACCTTGCAGCAACTGCAACATGGCAGTGAAGAACTGGCACAGCCTAGAACGACATACGCACGCACGCGCACACACACACACACACACACACACACACACACACACACACACACACACACACAGACAGACACACACACACACACACACAAAACACACACACACACAGCAAAACTGGTGGTGTACTCCGCATTTGCGGGTTCCTCCCATTTTTCTCTGGAGTTGTCAGTGTTCAGTTTATGTTGTACCTCATTGCTTCGCCATTTCGACCACAAATTTACTGTCATCAAGCCAGTGAATGTGTGGTCAAAACGCCAAAGCAATGAGCAGTTATCAAGTCAGGCTGAAAACCAAATACTGTAATTTCACAAATTTTCGGTGTACTTTTATTTTCGGTACTTTCGGTGCGTCTGTTTCATACCTAAATTTTCAATACACCGAACAAACACTAACACACATAATCCAATAGGGAACTGCTTCTCTGTACCGAAAGTTTCTTTTCACCTAACCTGGCCTGCTGCCCTCATACCGAAAATATCGAGCACCGAAAATTTCTGAAATTAGAGTAACCTTTTTGCATTTCCACAAGACATCTGCACTAGGTAGGATGAGAAAAGAAACGATGAATGTAACACGAAATCACCAATTGCTGATAAAGCACACTGGGCATGCTCACCCAACATCGGAAAGCAAATCCACGCTGGTGGCAAGATCGGTTCCGAGGACACGAGACAAGTGCTCACAAGACGAATACAACTGCAAGGAAGCACACCCAGTGGTGCAACACACAGAATACCACCATTATAACAAAACCATAACTTTCCATGCGGCTGGGCCTGGTTCTGGGATGCTCATGCCCTGGTCTACAGCAATTATTATGTTTGCAAACTACGCGCTGTATATCCCGACTGTACAGCATAGCATACTCATACTAGCTAAACTCGCTCGGTATTCCCGCAGAAAATTCCGGGAAATCAGCCCATCTCCCGGGGTTTTCGTGCAAACTCCAGGGAAAAGAACACTCTCCTTGCATATACATACCTGCCAGAGAATACTGTCCTTTACTGCCGCTGCAAGCTGCACGGGCAAAGAGCAAGCATACAAACAACAGTGAGGATAACTGCTCTATGAGAATGCAATGGTGTGAAGGCATCATCGGATTTTCCCGTGGCTTTCGCGCTACGTGCCCAGTCGCAATAATTATAGTCTCTACAGCTACGCTGACTCATGCAAGGCTATAACCATGCATGAGTCAGCAAACATTAAAAATGTTTCACACTACAGTTCCTTTTTAGTTTTATGCCATGTAGCACACACTGGTCTCGTGCGCATGGTGTGAGCCGACTGCGCTTGCATTTTCGGTGGTGACAGCGATCTGCGGTAAACTTTCTTTCTCACAATTGAATGTTCCAAAGTAGCTGTGTAAACTGCAAAGTTATAGTTCTGCATGTCCGCCAGAGGTACACAACAGGAAGTAAAATAGGGCTGTTTCGTTGTTACTCAGAGTTTCATGGCAAAAACCAATCATCAGACTTAGTTCTGAATGTCCGCGGTTTGACGGGAGACTTGGCTGCAGGACATTTTGGGTAGAAGAGGACGGTTTTCTGTTGATACTGTGGTGTTATCCCAGTCAAAAAAGTTGCATCACAGCCAGATAGTGTAAAACAACTAACTATTAGTTACTACACAACTCACGCCAAGTTCTGTTAGCATTCCACATGCAGCATGGTATAATTCACTTTGTCCAAGGTTGTCCGGCTCTGTCCATTCCCTCTTTGCCAAGTCCGCATCCATTCCTCTGAAAAGCTTCTCATATTCCCTTCAAACACAAACAGCGTAGCAAATTCACACACCTCAGACCTCAGACGTGCCCATCGCGGAAGCGATGATAGCGAACAGCTATGTTAGACATAGCAACTTGTGCTTCACACACACACACACACACACACACACACACACACACACACACGAACGCACGCACGCGCGCGCGCGCGCGCACACACACACACACACACACACACACACACATACATGCACACATGCCCACATGCACACACGTACACATACACATACACATACACACATACACACACACACACACACACACACAAGACCATAACAGAGTCACCCACATCCACACAAAGTTCGCTACATGGTAAATGTGCATTGTGCCCGTACATGCAGTACAATGCCAAACTTACAATAACACTTAGTATTGGCCCTAGGTCCTACAACACACAGTACAGTACAGCAACGTCCACCATCACAATCAGAAAACGAACCATGGCAAACTTGCTACAGTATACTATAAACTGACTAACGTTGCACCGTATTAATGCTCGCGATTTTCGCGTGAAGAGCATAACGCAAATATTAACCAGCAGGAAATCAAACTTCAACAGTGGGTGCATGGGCGTGGCCGACGTGCTCCGCGAATATTTGCCTTCGCAAACTCGATGGTTCTGAGAAATCGGGAAAATTTAGTGGCGCAAGTATTGGACAGTTTACAGTATGTTGGGGAGATAGTAGGATGGTGTGGTAAGACAGCACAGTGTGTACTACATGGCAGGGAGGCCGTAGGAGGCCGCGGTGGTCACATAGCAGGATCATGTGTGCATGCAAGCTAATCCACTAACCTGACGGTGGAGCTGCCATCAGGGTTGTGCTTAAGCATGACACTGCTCAGTTGCTCTCGCACAGCAGTCAGCCGATGCCACATGTGACCATGGTACCTACAAATACAAAACCCCCACACACACACACACACGCGCACACACATGCACGCACAAACACACACACACACGCACACATGCACGCACAAAATACACCGTGCATGGCGTAGACCGGAAAGGTGCACGCAATTATACAGAAGGTGCGTGCCAATGCCCAGGGTCACCGTTGGCATACAAGCCATGATGATCTGCAAAGGCTCAGCCAAACTGCGCAGAGAATAACAAGCAGTCAAGTGGCTTTGATCAATCACCAAGCAGACTACAGAAAACTGGCCTTTTTTTCCTTTTCCTTTTCGCATTCTCACAGTGTGTTGCCTAGTGTCCCTTGTCTTTAGCAACCAAGACCTTGTGGATTCATGTTCAGGACTATGGTCAAGAACTTCTCGATTCAGCCTTGACTGGACTTAAATCACAGTGAAAACTACAGTTCATCACACGGACCGTCCCTTCAAAACTCAAGTGGAAAACGTAAAGCCGGAAACCGGTTCTCGGTAGAGTGTTCCAAGAAGACAAAATGTACATGCATAGAACATTTTGAAGTCGGTGTGCAGTGGCAGCAATATACCAGTTGGGATACACAATGTTCGTATCAGTTGCAGGGTTCTAGCCAGGGGGGGGGGGGGGGGGGGGTAGGGGGCGCGTTTCAACCCGCCATGTACACGAAATGAATGGCGCGTTTACATGACACATTGCGCTTGACACGGGTTGAAATTTCAATAGCACTGCACATGCAAATTTCGCGCGAAAGTATCCACGTGACCATTCAGGACTCTAGAAGTGGACTTTTGGCGGCAAATCAGTATTTGACCCAGGTCAACTGTCTTCATGTAAACACCCACCTATTTTTTCCATCGTACAGACTTTCAACCCGGGTTGAACTCGACCCGGGTTGAAAATTCTCATGTAAACACAGTGCAAACAGTAGATGATGTGAACAAATTCCCCGACAAAATAATAAGCACTTCCGTCTGTTATATCAAGTAAGGATATCTCCTTCGTAATAATTTGCCCATTTTCAGTGGACTAACAGAGAGCATCATGCTGATCATGAATCTGCAATATACTTTGGGGTCCCAATATCTCTTCCTTGTGATATTGAGGTTGAAACATTAGAAATTCAAGCAAAAAGGAGCCACATTTGTGACTTCCGGACTACTGGAATATTACATGACAATTGTTTACCCAAACTGTCCCCAACCAAACGATACAGTTGCATCCCGCCTCACATTTGAAGTTGATTCCGAGCTCCCGTCACCAAATAGAGCAGGGCAGAAAGGAACCGCTACAGAGGACAGCAGCACAGAGCAACCCATTAACAGAATATCAATCACTGGCTGCTATCCTAAACACGTTCCACGATTCCAAAAAGGATTTATATTGCCAAGTGCCCGGCATACTGTCAAATGTCACTCTTCCCATTGCAAGTGACTCAAGCATGTATGGGTATCCGACGAGCCTGGAGGTACTAAATTTACGACTCCCACTATACAGTCCTTGAAGAGGAAACTGTGCTGAATATCGATCAGAAATCTGAAGTCGGTCATTTGTTTATAATAGGTGGCAATGGACAATCCCATCAACGTAAACATGAATATGACACACACACACACACACACACACACACACACACACACACACACACACACACACACACACACACACACACACACACACACACACACACACACACACACACACACACACACACACACACACACACACACACACACACACACACACACACACACACACACAATTTATGTTACATGTATCTCCGTGCAGAGTACAAAACAAATAAGTGACTGTAGAAGCAAACTGGAAAGAGTGATCACAAGACAGTTTGTGTCACGAAACGAAAACATGAAATGTCAAGAGAAAGTTATGAACAGTAAAGAATGCATATGTATAATGCAATCCACACCACATCTTACATTGACGATAGGCGTCGCTGCGTCATCCTGGACATTGCACAGCGTTCGCAGGATAACTCCAACAAGCCTTCGGAACAGACGAGGACGCTGCCTCAGCTGGCTGGAGAGGTCATCAAAGCCGATCACAACACGGGATGGCAACTGCGCGATACAAAAACAACAGAACAGTGCATGTAATCTCTGCATCATAGCAATCTCACACAGCACAAATGGCACAATATTGGCACAGGAAAAGAGCTGTAAGTTATATGCTGCGCATACACGTACTAGTACTGTAAAGTACCGTTGATCCCCCCCCCCCCCCCACGCCATGTCGCTTCCCAGCTGGGTTTTCGGGAGGGGCAGGAATAGGATCAAGGCTGTCAAGTGCAGTACGATGTACAACAACGTAGAAGTTCAGACTCGACGTCCTGGATTGTGCACATTTTCATCCTGGATTGGCAAGTATTGTGTACAGCAGTGCATGCGTCGGTTCAACATTGTATTTTCGTTGTATACGCCGAAGTCGCTTCACAGGTAGAAAATCGACAGGGGGGCGGGAATTAGAGAGGGGGCGGATCAACGGTACTGTACGGTATGTGTACACAGTGATGCCGAGTGATGTCCACGTTTTGTCTGCAACTGTCAACTCCATGCATGACCACACATGTACTGCTTGCTGAAGTCGAGGTGTTATAACTAGGCCTGTAGTGTATGCTGTAACATCCCTGGCAAGATCTTACAGCAATACACTGCAGTTTGCTATGTCCTGTTCCTAGATAAACATTAAAACCCCTTCTGGTTAGCATGACCTACAGGTCTACCTCTCGAAACAATCTACACCGATCTGGCAGCAATTTTGTACCACTGAAAGATAAATGACAACATTGATGGCATGGACCATGTACACATCGCATCTCTGGGATAAAAGCCCTACATCAAAGTCTCTATTATCCCATAGAACAATAAAGCTATGACAAGAGAGGCATGGACCCTTTTCTAAATACAAGCATGCTACGAATATGAGTAAATCACAGGGAGCGCCCTAAAGCGCCACAAATTGGTAACAATAAAAACCAACCAAAGCAAAGCAGCTACAGCAGCAGACAGATATACCACATCAGATATACCACATCAGATATACCATATGAGCATACATTGTACTACCGAAACAGGCAAGAGAAACTCACTGCTTTGACTGCTTTGTCAGCTTTCCCGATGGCCTCACATGCCAACAGCACGATCTCGGTTGGGTTGATTTGAAACCAATCCCTAGAATAACGGTAAAAATAAGGAGACACAGCAAAACAGGCTACATGTATCCCATGACCACTTCTGGGGTGGAGAAGAGTAGCATACAGCTTAACACAGCAGACTAGGCTTACTTCTGGGGTGGAGAAGAGTAGCATACAGCTTAACACAGCAGACTAGGCTTACTTCTGGGGTGGAGAAGAGTAGCATACAGCTTAACACAGCAGACTAGGCTTACTTCTGGGGTGGAGAAGAGTAGCATACAGCTTAACACAGCAGACTAGGCTTACTTCTGGGGTGGAGAAGAGTAGCATACAGCAGAACACAGCAGACTAGGCTTACTTCTGGGGTGGAGAAGAGTAGCATACAGCTTAACACAGCAGACTAGGCTTACTTCTGGGGTGGAGAAGAGTAGCATACAGCTTAACACAGCAGACTATACTTACTTCTCGGAACCCCTCGTGAAGTCCTCATTGTGCCGTAACAGCTCCAGGCTCCACTTGAAATCTTTCCATTGCAGCTCTACGTCAACTTTCACCTGTGTAAATAAAATAGAACACAATTAACTACTGTGAACCTGGTTCCCTCCTTCCAACCCGGCAAATATTCGATTTTGATAAAAAAACGATTCAAGGCCTCTAATTTGTCAATACTATAACTGTGAATCCGGTTGATACATTCAAGTACACACAAACCAAGCTCAAACATACATGTACCGGTATTAAAACCTTTCATCAGTCCCAGAAACTTGCAATTCCATGGCTACCGCAACTAGTAGAGTTGAGCGATCTCACGAGTTCATGGAGAGAGAAGCGACTTTGTCGAACCAGCCACTAGCATCACTGAAAGAATTCCATATCCTCAGTTTGCTTGACTGGTTCGAGTACCGACGCGATCTCGAAACTTTGAGTGCATGAATTTCAGTTCCGGGCGAAAGCTGTTTTCAAACCACATGGAATGGGTGGTGCTTGATTGCCTGCATGCTGTGCCCGGACATACACAGTAGCTGCATGATGTAATGAAGGAAGCGCACCACACACTCACACAGCTGGCCCATAGAAACGAGATCACAGTTGCATACTGTTGGTTATGGACTCTTGATACCACCAATCGTGACCCTGCAAGAAAGGCATAATCTTCCTCAGCCTACTCAAGCTCAACTGATGAGGGGTGAATTCCCCGAAACACTGTGTATTGAGCAGGGAGTGGCGCTTTCTTGCAGGTTTGCCGAGTGGACGGTTCGATGGACTTCTCGTGTGCTCTTGATGCCAGTCGTGAGTCAGTCAAGTGAGAATTCAAGTCGGCAGGAAAAACGCGAGCTCCTATGTAGGGAGCAACACACTTCCCCATTATAATACTGCCCGTATAATCCATAAATTTCTCAAATCTACAGTCCATCCATTAAAAAGATGAGTGCTGGTTCTGGTGAGCTCCCGTATTTGGCGATTTTTCGTGGTTTTATCGTACACAGTGCAGTGCGGTGAAATTTGAGGTTAGAAAAAGGGTCCAAAAAAGGTACCTCAACTGGGCTTCGAACCGGACAATGCAGTGATGCAAGTGGAGTGAAACGGATTGGATTTCACGGCCTTTCCCAATTCAGTGCTTTAATACAAGACAAAACCTGGCCGAAATATTATTCTTGTTATGGCTTCCTTTGCGGAGAAATGGACTTCAGAAACATAATTGGAAGCAGGGAGTCGTAAAATACCAAGTAGTATTTTACGACTCCCTGATTGGAAGAGCATTCCATGGGGGATTGCAGAAAACAATTGTGCAAAAACTCAAAATTTGACCCATGGCCCATTTATGGCCAAAAGCTAGGATATACTAGAAATATTTTTCTGAATGGACTGTACGCTGCGCATTATACTCCGGATATGAATTGCCAAAACATTGGTGGGGGGTGCGCATTATGCTCAGGCGCACATTATACTCTGGCAAATACGGTAGGTTTAACCGGACATCCCCAGTTTGAGGTTCGAATTATCAGATACATGTGTATTGTTAGATGCATGGGAATCATAATTGATAGAATTTTTTTTAAATTGTTCCAAGCCTCTTGTACGGGCAAAATAAACACAAGTGCAAGGTCAACAGCTTAGTACAGAGAGAAAATGAGCTGAAATGGCTGTGAAAACAGTCTTATACGGAGGAAGCTAAAATGGCTGTGAAAACAGTCTAATAATGAGGGAGATAATTGATAGAAATTGCTAGTACAGTACCAGTGATAATTTTTTTTAATGCCGCTTGCATTGACATAGTTATTGCTGTACGTGTACAATACTACCAAGACTAGTAATGGTGGGATTGTGGACTGGAGTCACTAGCACTAGCAGAGGGTTATGTGGGAAGCCTACCTGAGGTTCGTTCTCCTCCATCACCGGAGCGTGGGGTTGAAATCCAGTGCGGGCACGACCCAACGCTACCAGTGCAATACACTGCAACCCTATCAAGCTAGGAATTCTACTGTAGTATCAACCCACTAAAACGCCGGGACCTAAATAATGTAGAAGTACAGCATTACCTGTGTTACAGCAAATATGCTCCACACACCATGCTCATCATACATGATACTGCAGTCATGGTTTCCCCTTTTCTCTTTTTGTGTCAAGAGTTAGTAGTACTTTAGTAGTATTAGGCATTAGGACATTGGGATAATACCAAGAGTTCTTGATAATACTAGTAAAGTAGTTGTTGACCAAGAACAAAACTATATCCATGCAGGCATCGTGATTCATAACCATACAACTATCTTTCCCTTTTTTTCTGTTTTTTGTCTGTCTTCATTGACTTCTAGATTTTGATTAATTAAATTAAAACGCAAAATAAAATTTTTATTTTGCGTTTTGAATACATCATCTCTCCAGATCTGATCATGACTGGTTATGTCATGATTCAGTGATCACAATGACGAGTTGCAAGTGAGTGAGAGGTGGGGATTTCCCTTTGTTCCACCATCTGCATGATCTAGCGCTACAATACATGTCATGTATAGCTGCTGCCATGCATAGCGCATGGTATCTTTTAAAAAACGTCCACGTGGTGCATGATGCAGCAGATGCCGGGGACTGACGTCATCATGACGTGAACTGCACTTGCCCCGGGCCCCGCCCCCCGGCCCCCGGCATTCTTTAGTAGGCGCCTCCCTGCCCACCGGTCGTCGACGCGTACTTGTGGGCCGGCTGCCGCCTGCCGGTGTCCTTGGTGATCGTGACGTGTTGCTTTGCATTTTTGCTCTTTCAAGTACAGTAGTCAGTACAGTCGACTCTACCCGTACTGTTGTAGTTCTTGGATTTCTTACCTTTCGTGGTAGATCTCCACGAGTGGAGCAGTTTCTTGTTTTCTGTTCGGCTTCAGTCCATGATCCAGTATCCAGTTTTTTTTATCCTTCACGCACTTGACTGCTGACCCAGTAGAGCGTCTTGTCATAGCACTATCTCCTTCCGCAGCTTGCTTGCATGTAGGGAATATCTTATGTGATGCTCAAATTTCCTTTGAGATTGAGGCTTTATTTGCGGAGCACATTAATGCCATCCCGGAGTCGAGGTTGTGGTGACAACAACTATGTAACTGACCTTTCATCTTGAAAAGAATATTTCCTGCTTGTTCCTAGTGAGCCTGTTAGCACGGTGAGCCCTTCTTTTATAAAGTACATGATTGTAATGAAGTGAAATACACACCAGGAAAGAAAAATATCAAAAGTTTTCAAAACGCATCGCCAAGTTATTGAAGTGTGTTTAATTAATTAAATGGAGAAAGAGGACTGACAATCCCTCAGACTTAGATATATTAGTGGACAAAAGGTTGGCTAATCATCCATGGTTTTCCAACTGTAAATTGTATAACCAAGATATTGGTGGTCACTCATTACCCCCCCCCTCTCTCTCTCTCTCTCTCACATGTTCATTATAGCTGCAGTCCATTTAAAACTGGCACCCTGACTTTTTGGTGTCTTGCACACATTGTGGTAAATGTGGTGAAAACAACTGTATATTCTGCATTGTGCGACTCGTGCTTCCTTGCTACATTTGAGGCTGGAAAAGTCCAAGGATGGACAGTAAACATTTGGTCAGATTTTATCAACTTAGTACAGGTATGGCATTTCAAAATGTTGACATTCAAAAACCAGGGGGACTATGTGGATGAATGAACTGCTCGTGAGAACATTTCAAGTGGTATGGCGCCGGGTTGGTGCAATCGAGACATGATGGGCCACGCGTCAAGTTGTTGATTGTCCGTTGTCTGTAATACTAGTACTAGTATGCTAGCTGGTGCACATTCTGACTCTGACAGGTCCAAAAGTCATTCACGAGTTTTGAAAATGGGAATAGTTCCAATCAGTGTGGCATGCATTGGGATTGCAATGGATGACAATAGACCGGCGGGCTAACGGTGCGTTGTCCTACCCAGTGCCGTGAGTGTGAACACGGAAATGTTGCTTGTGAGGAGCCCGAAACTACGGTGGGTGAAAATGAAATCCAACCGCGTGCCTTCCTGTTTTGCATAAGTGCTAACGCGAGAAGGCGTTACAGACTTGGTTTTGCGTTTTTGTTTTTTTACTGACAACCAAGTCAACATGTCATGCATGTCAAAGACTGGCTTCCAGGACGTTTTCAGCGGCCCAGATACGTAGGGCAGATGTGTCTGTGCTGTGTAATAATATGCCCTGGCGGCTCTATTGACTTCTTCCCCGGTACGGTGTGTGTTAGATGCCATCATGCTTATGGTGCCAGCGGACAGAATGGATGGTGGACAAGTTGCCGTCCATCGCCAATGGCACAGCGCCGGCACACATTTTACAGCAGAGCGAAGAGGAGTTGGGCCGGTGCTGCGACTGCGTGGCCGAGTATCATCGCGAGTGCAGCAACTGGCTGCGCAGCGCCGGCATGCCAGCTTACTCCAAGCGCATCTACAAACGCGATCTACTGCGACTCACCCAGCGCTTTCAAATGTTCCTTGTCAAGTCGGAGCCAGGTACGTCGTGTGTTGTGCAACAGAGAGCTTGTGTGAAGATTTAGTGTTGCATGTGTAGTAGGTGTACATGGTACAACGAAACTTCGATGTACTGTGCACCTCTGATAAGACATACAGTAAAACCTGTCAAGGCGACCACTCGGATAAGGCGACCACCTGTCCTAGAAGACCACAGAAACCAGGACCGAGGGATGCTATTTCCAGTCAAACGACCCTGGAAAAGGAGACCGCCTGGTAACAGAGACTATCTTGTGAAGGTCCCTTGAGCGGTCGTCTTAGAGAGGTTTCGTTGTATACCCCTTGGGGAGTGGAAAACAAGTACTTACTATCTGAGGGATAACATGGAACATGTGGGTCCTTTCTTTTAATTTTTAATCCTTGGCTCTCCATCCGAGTCTTATCTGAGGTTCTTCTTATCCAAAGCCGAGTCCTGTTTCTCGACCAATGCGCAGTACATGTGTAGTAGGTTGAAAATGCTCGAAATCACTTATTGCACTCTGAAATGAAATATACCTGGCTAGTGTCACCGGACCAGGTTGCCTGGGCTGTGTATCGCCTCCTCCGCACTGTCAACATAGTCAAACTTGTACACGTAAATTACTATGGATATCACCAATTAGTCTCTTTGCATTGGATACCAGGGGCTTTTCTTAACGACCCTGCGCGTTGCTTTCCACTCCTTTGACCTTGCACATTACCTTGGCTAGAAATTAGTGATTTTTACGTCCCTTCCAGGTTAGCTATACATGCACTGAAATTCCACTGTACATTATCAATAATTATTAGGGCTGAAATGATCGTGGATTTTCAAGTATCGATTACTCTCTAGCTTAACGATCGAGTATTCGATTATAATCGCTAGCAAATAGAGTCATAATTCTGTGCAAACATTACTCTGTTTCCACGAACTATGCCTTCATAATACCAACAAATCTGCATTAGTGAAAGGGTAGTTCCGAAACATGGTAGTTTTGAAGTCAATTTAACCTCAGAACATGAACCATACCCCTGGCAACTGCATACTCCCAGCGGAAACTGATTCAAACTTCACAAAACGATACTTTCTGGACACAAATTTAAAAAACGCAAAATAATCGTAATCGGTAATCTAAACGATTGCTCGATCGTTAAGAGTTATCAAACGAGTACTCGATTATTCGGTATAATCGTTTCAGCCCTAATAATTATTAAGAAATGCAAGACATTCATGAAAAAAATATTTATGTTAGGAGTCTTAGGACATGACTTTTTTGGCAAGAGAAAAACAAGTAATCTTACACAAGTTGTGCCTGACTGTCCGACATATTAAGTCATAGTTTCTTCTTCTATGATTGTTTGCAGATGACATTGCAGCACCAGTTGATTTAGAGAAGGAGGTCAAAGCCGCTCTCTATGAAGTACTACTCGCGCCTGCTTTGCTATGGGACAAGAAACTTGCTGAGCTATTTGTGAAGTGTCTGCTGAAGTACCGCCAGCAAGGTGGTTATCTGGACTGGAGTGAGAAGCTGCCAGGGATGTACTTGCTGCTTGTCTACCCAGACCTGAATGTAAGCTGACTGCATCTGTTGGCCATGTACATGATTGTATAGACACTGCCACGGATTGAAGTGCACCACTGAACGCGTGTTCATCATCTGCAATACTAGTAGTACTTTCGGTTGTGTGTGGCTATGGGCTGTGGTAAGCGAATGGTATCCTGAAACCAAGCACACTGTGATTGTTCACAGATCTCTTATGTCTACACTGCACGTGTGTTCACGACATGTAGCGTCTGTTTTTGCGTATTAGATGTCTTCATTCCTGTAGTCAATGCCTCGCCTTGATCTGTTTTTTGGAAATGACAAAAAATCAGTGATAAATTACGTTAGGCGTAGTGAACTAGACGGTTGGGTTGGTGATCCATTTGAACATCACTTCTGTGCTCTTCTTGTCCTGTGGTGCTCTCTTGCTGTTGATGCAGGTGAGCGTATGGGCATGGGACGTGGTGCGGGAAGCCGGTGAAATCAATGAAGACGACTACCTGGACGTGGAGGAGGTGATACGCTGGATCATGGCAGCCGTGGAAGGTGGCTTTTGCATGAGCAGTGCCACCAGCGATATGCCCATGGCACCCACTATTGACTACTACACCATTCACGAGTCAAATGCGTCAGCAACGCCGTTGTGTGCACACCTGCGATGCAGCTCTGCACACCAATTGAACTTCTTCTGGCTCGGCATTGAACGCCTCTTGAAGATCATTTCGCCCGAGGCTCTACGCCGTGGTCTGCTGGCCAACAATCGCAAGTTTGTCGACACGTTGCTGACTGTTCTGAAGCGGGGCTACCAGGCTCAGGATCTAGAGCTGCGAGACTGCTTCTGGATCGTGCTACGCTGTCTCGTGTTCCTCCTGCATACCCTTGACTCGGCATTCTGGCAGTATTGCTCTGAAGAACCGGACGATATGTTGCAGATGATCGCACTGCACACTGTATATCAGAGAGAGATGCAGCGGCTTGGTCGCCAAATCCAAGATCAAACGAATCCAGTCGCTGGGTCCGAGTCTTATCGACAGTGTACATTTGGCTGGTTTGTGCCGTTCATTTTATCCATGTTGGAGTTTGGTAACCTGGCAGCCCACGCATTCACCTCAACGATTCGCTACCTGTGCAAGATATGGGGTGTTATTGTCAAGGAACAGAGCGATCGAGGTGATTTCAAGGCACCTCTGCTCATTGAGGATGTCCTGAGAGGTAATCGTCTTGCTGTAGAATGCTGTCTGGCTGTACTGCGGCTTTTGAAGGCAGTTCTTGACCATAATGTCACTTTTCTAGCTCAGCGGACATCCAAGACATTCTGGCTGCCACTCATGCTAGGTGTCATGCAGTCCAGCCTTGGCTTATCCAGCAATGCTAGCCTGTGGCCAGGTGCTCGTCTGATTGTACGTGAAGTCAACACAGTTATGCGTCAGCTACTGATGACACCAGTCTGCCAACACCTGGAGCCAGAGCGACTTGAGCTGCTCAAGACAATCTTCCCTGAGAGCCATCCCGCCTCGTCACTTTCAGCTGACCTTTTCTCTGGCTGGCAGATCCAGGTCAAGAGGTATGTAATGGACATGCTGACATATGTGACTGGCAAGCAGCAATTGGCCGGTGACAGTAGTACGGAGTGTGCATGCCCTAAGCCGCTGGTACCTACGGCAACTGTGACAGTTGAGAAAAAGACGGTGAAGGCAGACCCGGAGCTTGCCACCAGGGTTGAGGTCATCGAAATCCTCGATTCAGACGATGACGATGTCGTGGTGAAGACCGAAGTCAATGTGAGCACTCCTCCGGGTAGTGGATATGCCTCCGGAAACTCTTCTCCTGCCGGCGTCGCTCTCCTGCCAATAACAAATCCTGACGTAGTACCTACTACGGACGTTGATGTGAAGCAAGAGGCAAGTGTGAGCGCTTTGGATACTCCCCAGGGTAGTGAACCTGCCAACAAGGGCCCATCTCAAGATGACGTTCTTTTCTCTTCACTTTCTGACGAGTCGTACACAGACCTAGCTGCCGAGATGTCTGATGATTCCCAATCCGATGAGTTTCCTTGCAGTCAGATGCCAAGGTTTAGATATGTTGATGGAGCACTGCAACCGCCAGTGCAACCCGTACCTGATACGAACAATGAGGCCAAAGAAACTGCCACATTGGTGCCGGAACCCAGTGCTGTGCAGCACGAAAACAATACGGCAAAGTATGGCAGGACTAGACAGCCCAAACGTGAGCCGCATCCAGCGGGTATCAGTGGAGGCGACGAAGGTATGTATTGCTGAAGTCTTCTCTTGACATACAAACTTTGTAAAAGAATATAGACATGGTGTAGCCACTTCATGCTGCCCACAGCACCACACATCAATCACCTAAAGACGTGCCTTTAAAAAAATTTAAACAGTGGATTTTGAACTGTTTTATTTTTACTATTCGCTGAGAGACCCTTTTGACTGAGCTAGATCAGGTGTGGTGTTGTGCGCGTAATACAAAGTTGAATTAGTTGATATTTGCTTTTCTTGCTTTAATATAATTCATTTTGTACGAAACTGTGGATTGAAGTATCCCTCTTCTCTCTCTCTATCTATCTATCTATCTATCTTGCATGCATGCACACAGACACACACACACACACACACACACACACACACACACACACACACACACACACACACACACACACACACACACACACACACACACATCGAATCGATTTGATAAGGCACCCCTTGCACAATTCTTGCATGTGTGTCTGATTCTGCGTCAATGTGCTTTGGTGTATGTCTGTGCCTGTGCCTGTACGTTCACGTATGTTCGTGTGTGTATCTGTCTGTGTGTTCTATGTATATGTGTCTGGACGTGTGTGTGCGTGTGCTCTGTTCCTTCTTTTGCCAATACGCCAGGTGACACGATTTCTTCAAGTTGCCCTGCTTCGCTATCTGCGCGCACCAGTCCCGTGCCGTTTGTGATACCCTACCATCACCTCACTGTGCAGGAGGCACGCCATCAGCTGGGCCTTCCTCTCAAACCTTCCGCTTTACCATGCAAGTCTGAGCTAACTGACCGAAACACTCAACATGGCCAACCAGGTGAAGGCAGGCCAGTACATGCAGCATCTGCTGCTAACTCACCCGAGCAAGGTAGCTCATCAAGTAATGACTTGTTCGAAGAAGATACTGGTGAAGTCAAAGTGCCCAGCCCGCCTTGTGTCAAAGTGTCCAGTCCGCCGTCGCCAGTTCGTGATGGGTCACACCATGTTGGTAACTTATCAGGTATCGGAAGTGGTTCAGTGTTTCGCCCAGGCTTGCCACCTGCCGATAGTAAACCTGGGGGCAAGATTAAGGTACAGCCAGACCTCTCCGCCTATGGTAATTTTACACTTGACGATTCTGCACTCAGCGATTCTGCATTTGTGGACACCACGCAAATTGAAAATCGATCAGATGACGGCTTCAAGTCTGATCATGGAAGTGACGACGAATTGGCTGGTTGGGCTTTTGAGCAACCAGATTGTTCTATGGAAGCTGACATGATGGCCGATTTTGAGGCATCACAGCAGGTGACTGGTGCCAATAACAATACCCAAGTGGACCTTCCGTTTGCCCCACTGTCACCCATTGATGAGTCATCACAGCTTGTGTGGTTCACAAGCAGAGACAATGTTGCATTACCTAGTGCTGCCAAGGAACCCCATGCAATGGCAACAGCTGCTGCTGGTGCTCCAGCCAATCCCACCGCCGCTCTACCGCCTCCACACCCTGCTGTTGCTGCTCCACCTCCAGTGCGCACTGCAGCATATCCGCCACTAGCGGAGGATTGTTTGAAGCCGAAGAGACCCCCGTGTATCTTTTCGCTGCTTGAAGCCGTTCTGGCTTGGCGATCCATGTGGTTTCTTTATCCATCGGTTGACCAAAGGACTGGGAGACCGCTTGACACTGGAAATGCTTACAAGGAAGATAAAAGGATTCTGCCCTTGCCCATCGCGTTCAAGTCTGTTGATGAGTACGTTGAGTTCTTTGAACCACTCGTCCGCAGCGAAGTCTGGTACCAGGTAAGACAATCACTTGCAACTCTAAATCTGAGTGCATAATATTCTAAACACTGAGATGGTTGGCATACCGTAAAGTCTTGTATAAAAGCCGCACTTGAATAGAAGCCGCAATTTTGGGCCCATCAAAATCACACATAAGCCTGGTTTTAGTGTTGAGTCTGTTGACATACATGGAAATACCTGTCTTGTATAGAAGCCTGTCTCATATAGAAGCCTGCACAATTTCACCAAGAAAGTCATAGAAGCTGCGGCTTTTATACAAGACTTTACGGTAGACGTGTTGCTGAAATTGTGTTCAATGTTTGCCGTATAGCAGAGCCAGTGAATGTGCCATCCATGATGGCATAGCACTACTACGGCTTTGTCAATCTGCCCGTTTTCCTCTCACGTGACGTGTTGCGCAGTCTTCTCCACGGGTTGAATTGAGATGACAAACATTGTATGAACGCTTGATCACTTTCTCAATATGTACGTTCACTTTCGTTGTTTCACAATATCACATGAACCCTGTCGCTATGCCAGGCATTTGTCGCAGCAACTACAGTGTACCGTAAAGAGTGGCATGGTCTAAACGGGCTTACTTTTCTTTGCTTGTGCTCTTCTCGCTCTGTTTCAACCAGGTCTCAGCAGCTGTGTGTGCGTTGCACAACTCGAAACCGAATGTGTTTCTTGGCTGCGTGACCAGTGCCGACAAATCATGCCCGAATGCCAAGCGCAGTCGCTTGGTGGCCATGCAGGGTTGCCTTTCGCCATGCGATGGCAACAGGCGGGGGCCGCTCAGCGAACGGGACCTGGTATTGGTATACTTACACACAGAGACTTCTCATCCCATTAAGGACCTACATCGCGGCATGTGTGGCAGGAGCTCCATCAACAAGCCGCGTGTTCCGAAGCCGTTGTTCTTCCCCACCGGGCAGGCCAATAACCTGGCGCCTGTCGAGCCCATCTTCGCTATCGTCCAGAGTGTAGAGAAAAGAAAGCAGCAATCGGGTAACGTGCAAGAGGTAGGCCCGCATGTCTACCTTTGTGCTTCGCTGCTGCTTCTCGTGTGAACTACAGTGTTAGTCGCATCTATTAGACTATTACCTAGAGTCATGCTTCTTGCTACTGCAATGTAATTGTATTGCTCGGGAACGGTGGAACCGGTCCACTTTGTCACATCATGGCCAGACCAACTGTTTGACCACCAATGCATGCTGCTTACTGCTCAGGGGGTCATCTGTACCTACCGTAATTATCATACACAAAGTGTCAATGACTATGGTATGGCCGGACCTATCAAAAAATTCCATTGAGCAGCACTGTGGTAGTCCATAGTCCAGCTCATGTTGGTCTGTGTTCTGCGTTTACTGCAGGGTGTGGCGCACGGCGGGAACGTAGACGAAAATGGACAGCTTGTGGTGATGACCGTTAATCTCCTGGTTGACGGCTCGAAACTTCGCCACCTGGGACCAGGCAAGAAGGCCTTTTTGGTGCCCGTTGACAACCTAACGGGTTGGCAGCGGTGCGCGGTGGGCTTGCACAGGCTGCATACGTCACTGCTGGCGCGTGACGTGCTGAGTCCACGAGGTCAGGAGTACTTCTCAAGCAGGGGTTGTCTTGTCACTCATGATCAGATTGCCAGGGTAAGAGACCAGCAAGTTCCTTTTTTTACTTGTTTCTTAAGGTGTGTATGTGTGTGTGTGGGGGTGGGGGGGGGGGGGGGGGGGGGGCTGCTTCAACATGAAGGTTTGCAGTGCTAGACTACTTTTAAAATGTTGTCCTGTACCTGTATGTGATCTGCGATCTTAAATTCCTGCTGGTCCATTCCCCGCTCCGGCTCTTCACATCTAGCGAGTTGGCTGTGCCTTGCGTTTTCCTTCTTGCTTCTCTTCAGGTGTCACTGCCATTCAATGCTTGTCAGAAGGAGATCATCGCTACAACATGCTCAGCCGTACGCGAGCCCTACTGCCACCCTCGCACCAGTCTCCTACAGGGTCCGCCTGGTACAGGCAAGACACACATGATAGTTGGCTTGATAGCTACCCTGCTGAAGGTGTGTAGAGGGATAGGGCGGGTTTGGGTGCGTAGATAAGCATGCGTGTGTTGGGGGTGGGTAGATAGGCGTGGGAGGGGGGGGGGGGACAGGGCGGGTTTGGGTGGGTAGATAGGCGTGTGTGTAGGGAAGGTGACAGGGCGGGTTTGGGGGGAGGGGGGCGGGGGTAGATGGGCATGTGGGGGGGGGGGGGGGGGTGGTAGATATGTATGTGTGTGTATGGGGGGGGGGGGTATATAGGCATGTGGGGGGGGGGGGGGGAGGAGGCTACTGTTGTGGACATTGAAATCCGATGTGATGACCGGGGCCGTAGTACGAGAATAACGACACTTTTCTCATGCACGATCGAGGGTCGGTATGAAGAACCCTGACAAAGAGCTATGCTCACTCCAAGTAATGCACATGGTATATGCATGCAAGCCGTGTTGATAGTTATGCAGTCATGTATGACGATAACAGCATGTCACAAGGCGAAGGACACGCTGTATGGAAAAAAGTGTTCCTAACTGGGACTCTACCAACCGGTTTCTGGTTGCAGTCAGGAACACTGTTTTCCATACAGTGTGTCCTTCACCTGCACATGTAAATCTGTAGTTATACAGAGTAGTTTTTTGCCTTCATACTCGTGATGATTGCAGTCATTTGCACGTTGCCGATTGAAAAAATTGAAACTCCGAGGGAGAGAGAGAGAGAGAGAGAGAGAGAGAGAGAGAGAGAGAGAGAGAGAGAGAGAGAGAGAGAGAGAGAGAGAGAGAGAGAGAGAGAGAGAAATCCGATTGTGTATGTCTTGTCTTTCTGCACGACGGTAACTGTCGTTTTGTGTTCATTGACATGCTGCGTGCAATCGATGCATTATCTTCTTGATGCCCCAGCTATGTACCAGCAAGTCTGCTGAAAAGAAGACCCGGATCCTGCTGTGTGCGCCAAGCCATGCTGCAGTCGACGAGATTGCTTGCCGCTTGGTTTCGGAAGGCTTGATCTTTGACCCTACCAGGTGAGTACTGAGTGCAGGACTGGAGGACTGGAGGACTGGAGGTCCATGTCAACACATTAGTGCTACCAGGAGAAGGCTTGCTATACGTGCACATGTATGTTTGCCTGTCTTTAGTTGTACAAGTAGGTGACATCAAGAGTACATAACCCCCCAGAGTGTGCAACGCCTGATCCAGCTCTGCATAGGGTCTTGGTCGAGCGTAATCGGATCTTTGCGTCGTAATACCGTACACATCTGAGGGGAGCTCGGGGAGTCGCGGGTACTCTCGGATCAAAAACAACGGTGCCCTGCCTCGAGACGGGCCTTGTGCTGGTGTGGAGTGTACGCATGACATCAGAAAATCCGATTACGCTCGACCAAGACCCTATGCAGAGCTGGATCAGGCGTTGCACACTCTGGGGGGGGGGGGGTTATGTACTCTTGGTGACATGCGAAGAGTAATTTGAGCGAATACTGTAAACCCGGAATCGTTTGCGCCCGTTTTAGTTCGCGAATTGCGATAGCAGACCATCTTGCGCCTGCAAACGTTTGCGGTTGAAGTCAATTTGATGATTGACACAGTTTCGCGTTTCACGCCCACTTGCTTTTGCGATTTCACACCCATTGCGAAAATTGCGAACGTTTCTGGGTTTACAGTAGTCTAGATTCTCATCGGTTTCCTTCTTTGATATCATTGTAAGCTTACACATGCAAGTCACAGGTGAAAAGAATCACCGACTGACCACCCAGATGTATACAAATGCGTGTTGTTGTAAAAACAATTATGACCAGACGAGGCCATACGACGATTGCAGACTCCAGCATAAACAGTTCACCAGCAACACTCCACGACAACTAGTAGTAGTAGTAGTAGTTGCTCCTGACAAGACTTGTTTCGTTCCATATCAAGATGGCGGGAACTCATCAGAGGAGAAGCAGGTATTGAATGAAAGATGAGTTCCTGTCATCTTGATATGGAACGAAACAAGTCTTGTCAGGGGCAACTACTACTACTACGAGTAGTTGTTGTGGAGTGTTGCTGGTGAACTGTTCATACTGGTGTCTGCAAGAGTCGTCTGGTCTCGTCTGGTCACAAGGAAAATCTACCACTCCTTTGACTTGATGGACCAAATGAAGATGCAATCCCAAATTACAACTGCATGCCTCTGCCATGTTTGTATGAAATCCTAAATGGTACCGTCTGGAGCAGGAGCTTGGGATAACAAGACTGGCAGCTAAGCCTAGCAACCCGACAGTCTGCTTCTGCATTCATTCCAGAGTAGAGTGCCCAGACCTTGTGTAATGCCTCTGCATGTATATGTGTGTGTGTGGGGGGGGGGGGGGGGGGGGGGTGCTGCTTTACTGACTTAGGGGAGTGCCCAGACCTTGTTATTAGGGCTGAACGACCATAAATTTTGAGTATTCGAACGTTCTTGATGTTAACGAACGAACGAACATTCTCTAACATTCACCTCACACACGTGTGCTCGTGTACAACCCGGTATAAGCAAAACATACAGCGGAATTTTTGAATACATCTTTCAAGTCGCGTTCAAAAATTGCCCACACAATGGAAGCATTGGTCATTCAATATTGTTCAAGCGTCTGGACAAGAAGAGAGACTCCCAAACAAATAAACACACAAACAAAATCAGCAAAAAAAGAACGGGCAGAGGGGCCCTGATCTAACTGAACATAAGTTACGTAATAAAACACAATAAATAACAGAATCAATCAAGTAAACGCTCTTACTTTGAGAGGTTGACTTCCAGATGGTGCGTTGCCAGCAGCTATGTAGGACTCCTGGCGCTTCACAAGATGGTTGGTTGTCACAGAACTGTGATGAAAGTAGGTGACAAGCTTCCTGGCTTGACCCAGCATCTTCTGCACTTGCGGCGAATCGTCGATTGCGTGTCGCAAGCACGTTTGTAACATGTGCGCAGAGCACACCAGCAACTCAGCGCAGGTGCCATCCTGCCTCAGCGACCGTGATGCTGCAACCATATTAGACGCCTCATCATGCACTAGTGCACTTTCGAGTCAAGCCCAAATTCGTGGATCACAGCACGAGCATGGTTGGACACATTCTCCGCCGTGTGGCGCTCATCAAGACTCGAGGCCTCGTGGCGAGGACGTAGCTTTTCATTTTCCAGCTTGAGTCTAGGAAATGGACGGTGTACGTGGCGAAGGAACGAACGCCTTTTGATGTCTATCCGCCCGTTGTGATTGCCACGTACTCCACATCCGCCAACAGCTCACGAAGCTCTTTTCGTCCTGACTCAAAACGGGAGCGAATCATGGCTGTGAGGTGGGTTCGACTCGGTACCCTGTAGCCAGGCTGCAAGAAGGCCAACAGACTCTGAAGGCCAGAATCTCTTACGATGTTAAGCGGGCGCATGCTGCCCGTCACCCAGTTGACGAGCAGTTGGCCAATGGCCTCCGCTTGAGCAGCGCTGCACTGTTTCTACTGCGGACCAGAACGTTGACTCACAGCAAAGTCCGTCATTAACTTACTTCCTGTTGACGGCGTAGAACTATTTACAGCTGCACTTCCCGACACGACAGAGGGATGTTGTGATTTCAGGTGGGCGTGCAGGTTGCTCGTAGTTTTGCCGTGATACATATACGCTGCGGCAGATCCTGCATGTAGCCGACTTTCGATCCGCGGATTTCGTGAAATGGTCCCAAACAACAGATCGGGAAGCACGACCGAAAACAGGTTTCGACATTGTGACAGTATAGCAGTCCGAACACGAAACAACAGAAAACTACAAAGTGGTCAGCGGAAGACCTAGGAACAAAATGTAAGTACTGCGCTGTTCGGAGTGTTCCGAAGTTCGCCTACATGTACCAGTAGTAGTCGCCTCGATCGTCTCAAGGGCTGGTTCAGACCATGTACTGTCGACAATCTCCATGAACCACGCGCGCAGGTCGTGTACCACCGTACCGGCACTGCACCACTCAAAGTTCGAATGTTCGCGAGAACTTCGAATGTTCGTTTACTGAGGCCTAACGAACGAATATTCGAATATTCGGTATATTCGTTTCACCCCTACAAGTTGTTATGCCTCTACATGTACATGGGTGCATATGTGTGTGTAGTGGTTTGCTGACCTAGGAGTGCTACTGCTCCACCTTGGCGTAATGTGCGTTTGCTGTATTCCGTAGTATATCACCGAGTGTACATGTCTTGTGGTGGTTACATTATGTGTAGAGCGTCGGGTGGTGGAGGCCATGCACACTTGCTGCGCACTGGAGCACTAGAGCGTATGAACCCGGTACTGCACCCCTACAGCCTGGAACAGCGCGTCCGTGAAAAACATGATGGTGAGTCGGAAGATTTGTGAGTAGCTGTTCAGAAGTCGGTGGCAGTTGATTTGAACTGCCATGCCGTTACTACAGAAATACGGATTCCCTTTTGAGAAAAAATGGTTTGCCAACTGGCGATCACTACTTTCAGTTACTGTATAGCAGGAAATTTTCGGACGGAATTTATTTTCGTACGATTTCGTACACGCCCTCTTTTGTACTAAAATTAATTCCGTACTAAAATTTGTTCCTGTGTGAAGTTATGTACACTATACATGCGTACCGCAAGCAAACAAGTGCATTTAGCATGCACCACTGTACGAAAATAAAATCCGTACGAAATGTCGAAATTCGGCTTTGTCCGAAAATATTTCCGTCCGAAAATTTCCTGCTATACAGTACTCGTTGTGTGCTCTCAAAGCATGTGCTGAGACTCTGCAAATTTCTGATTTGGATCACTGTGCCAGCTCTGTGGTTGGAACCGGTCACCGTTCTTCAGAATGACTTCCAAAGGAAGGAGCCGGCTGTTGGCTAGCAGTGGTGACCACACTGATAAAGAATGAACTTGTTACAAACAACTTGAAACAAGCCTACATGTACATGTGTATCAAAAGCAATCTTTCTTCCTGTAGAGAGCCAATCCGTCTAGGTAGGTAGTGCCAATGTTCTTCTCTACAGCAAGATGGTGCTTCAAAGAACACCCAGGATAGGAAACCAGCAGATCTTGAGAACAATAGGACATGCCAGGCTGGGAGTGAAGATTCAGGAGCAACAGTGTTTTTTTATGTATTTAGAAACACTGGCTATTAGTATTATCTAAAAACACCAGTGTATTTCATGTAAACCTGCACACACAGTGTACCTGTACTGCTGGTCATGTGTGAGTCGTGTGGGTTGGCCAAAAGCGCACTCTTGTAGAGTGAGTATTATTTGGTTGGTATGTTGATGTATTGGTGAGTTATGCGCCTCTTCTTTTTCTTTTCTTTTCTTACACATGTCAATTCATTCCCGATTACCGCGTTTGTGTTTCATTTTCTCTCGCCCTCCAGAGCAGTTCACTCACAGCTCAGCCAATGGCAACAATGTGGAGTAAGTTATCCAAATGCTAGTAACTAGTTAGCATACTATGTTGCACCTCGTGCTGACAATGTGTTGATACTTGGCAGTAGGGCTGCAACGAATATTCTATTTCACAAACGAAGGAATAACGAATAATCTCTCAAAATGCTGAATTATTTCTAGGGGCGAAACAAATTTATAAAACCGGAATGAAATCGAATTTTTTTCTAACGAATCGAATATTCTATTACAAAAGAATCTTAAAAAGAGTTTGGCTAGTCCCTGGTCGTTCTAGACCAAGTAGATGTCTAGTGGAGTCATGTCCACTACTCTTGTGAGTAATAGTCCCCTTTCACAACACATAACACATGTACATATCACCAAATCCGTTTTGGAAATACTGCGATAGATCGACACTAGAGCAGAGTGTGCGCATGTGTCACAACGAACGAATATTCCAAGGGGAGAAATATTCATTCCATCGGGTTCCTAACGAATATTCGAATATTCCTTGCAACCCTACTTGCTGGCGTCAGTGTTCAAACATCGTGTGCATGTCTGTCTGTACCTGTGTCTATTGTTCTGTGCGTGTGTGTGTGGGGGGGGGGGGGGGTAATACTGTGGAGTCTGTGATTTTCGTGGAATGCTGTATTTTGTTTCGTGATCCTGTATTGTGATTGCTACGTTTGCTACAGGGAGCAGATCCAGGAAGTGACAGCACTCCTTGAAAAAGTGGAGAAGAAATGCTCCGTGCTGCGGTTTGACATGAACAGCAAAAAGAAAGTAAGTTCTACGGTACTTCTGCCTGAAGTTTTGTTGCGCGCGTCCTAATTATTTGAAGAAAAAAGTGTCAGGTGCATAACCAGGGATTCCTCTTTTGATTCCTGTTTGTAGATGTGGAGAGCAATGTACAGAGAGAGAGAGAGAGAGAGAGAGAGAGAGAGAGAGAGAGAGAGAGAGAGAGAGAGAGAGAGAGAGAGAGAGAGAGAGAGAGAGAGAGAGAGAGAGAGGGGGGGGGGGAGAGAGACTGAAAGAGAGAGGCTTTTCTCTGTGCAGCGCATGGCATGCTCTTGAATCTCTCTCCACTCTGTTATTCCCCATGTACACCCATTTGGATTGCTCTATGTCCGGGATAACTACATCTCTACTACTTACTACTGGCATGTGGACTCTGGCAATGTGGGCGCAGAAAGAGCCGGGCTTCTGCATTGTGCGTCTTGTCCTGGCAGTTCTTGCCCAATACGCTCTGTGCTGTAATGCTTGTTTTTCGCTCTGCTGTTGCTGCTGCTGGTGACCGTGTGTAGAACCCTAAGGAGGTTGCCCATATCAAGCCGGACATGGATGCTGCCGAGAAGGAACGCATCACCTTGGAGCGTAAGCTGCGTGCTCTGCGGCTCAGCAAGAGACAGGTAACTGGCACAGGCTCTTTGACTGACTACCTACCCAAGCTGATATCACAAGCAATTCTAAGCTGAATATCTTTTCTAGGTTGAATGTTTCAGCTTTACCAGTTCATAGTTACATGTACCGTAAAGTATCGCAAGAGCGCCCCACCTTTATTGTACAGCCAGGGAAAGGAATCCCGTATGGCAGAGTGCAACTTAGTGTATACGGTGTGAGACCTGTGTGTACTACGCTCACACTAACATGTTTTTGTGTGGAGCTCCAAGGTAAAGTGAGGGCCTGTTTACATGAGAAAATTAAGCTCGGGCTCATTCGCCTCGGGCTTATTTTTCAACCGTTCACATGACGACTGTACTGGGCTGAGTTCAGGGGAGTGACAGCGAGTTCTGAGCACATTTTATTTTTCAAATGGCACATGAACACAGTGGTAACTGCTTGTGTATGATGAAATTTGTATCTAGAAGTGCCGGCTCACACTTCTGCTTTTCCGGATGCCAGTTATTTTCGAAAAGGCAAAGCCTTCACTGAACGAAAGAGGTGGACTGTCTACAACAAATCCTCTCGGTCAGGTTCAAGAGGCAAAATTGAAAATACGGAAAACTCGCGTATGAGCCCAGGATTTACATGACCGTTTGCATCAGAAAATAATCGCTGGGAGTTCGATATGCTCGGGGGTCTGGGGTAGGGCTGATTCAGCTCGGGGGTCTGGGGTAGGGCTGATTCAGCTCGGGGGGTCTGGGGTAGGGCTGATTCAGCTCGGGGGTCTGGGGTAGGGCTGATTCAGCTCGGGGGTCTGGGGTAGGGCTGATTCAGCTCGGGGGTCTGGGGTAGGGCTGATTCAGCTCGGGGCCAGCTGAGTAAACCCGCCAAATCATGTAAAGGTATGGGCAAACACGGACATTCCCGCGGAATAAATCACTGTACAGCATGTAGATAGTGCAGTGTGTAGATGTATGTGACTTGAACTGCACATTTTTTGTGAATCTTCATCCAGAAATGGTTTAGAACACTGGGGTGGGCGTGGTGTACGAAATTGTATTACAACTGCCCGATGTACCGTCGTGTATTTTATTTGAAAACATCCTACCTACGAATTATACATGTAGCTTGTAACATTGTGTACATGTGTACTCCTTGGTTCTCGGCTCTCTGGATCACTCTCGATGACAAACACTACTTGACAAGTATGCAGGGCAGGTAAAGACATGCCAAGTTCAACCTGGCTACTGCTTTCATCTGAGCTGTAACTTCTCTCTTCTGCTCGTGCTGTTACTAGGCTTTTCCACGCAAACGTAAGAGCTTCCGTCAGATGGAGGAGATTGTCTTCAAGGAGTGCTTGAAGCAAGCAGATATCGTTGCTACTACGCTGAGCGGGTCTGGCTCTGACGCGTTGTCAAAGGCGGTGCTGCAGTAAGTGCAGCCTTTAGCCTCCTTTAGTAACTGAAGCAACTTGCTCATGCCATCATCACTGTTTGATTATACAGCCGTACTGTTTCCCGTACCGTACAGTATACAGTACACACACGCACAATGCGTTAGGTTGACCTACTCCTGCCTGTTCTTGCTTCTGTAGCCATTTTCTCTAGCTGGGCATGTCTTGTGGGACCAGGGTTGTCCCTAAGTTGTGTTTGTGTGCTTATGTACATGTATGTGCATTTGTGTGGTGTCTGTGCATGTGGTCGCTTTGTCATGCTTTGTAGGCTGAACAAGCGCATGTTTTTCACGTGTGTGATCATTGATGAGGTAAGTCTGGTGATGGCTTATGGTTGTAGCTAGACTACATAATCCTCCAAGAGTGTGCAATTCGACTACGGGTGCTGTCCCGACAGAATTTCAAGTTGACATCATTTTTTTATGATGCAATGCGCACTGTGCACGTATTATCAGACGTATCCTCGACCTGTGCTGGACAAAGCCCCATTTGATCATGTACAAACCAGTGCGGAAGAAAACCGTGTGTATGACGTGTTGCCACCCCTTGCAAATGTTGTAAATCACTGGTGCAAGGAGCATTGCATCATAAAAAATGCCGTCAACTTGAAATTCTCTAGGGACAGCAGGGTTTGCGGGAGTTGCACAGCACACTCTCGGGGCGTTATGTACTCTTGGTTGTAGGTAGAGTGCATGACATATGTGCATCCTCTCCTGCGATGCTTCCACCAGAGCAGATAGATCATTGCAACCTACAATGTACAGATCTGAATCATCTTGTTTCAACTCAACTACGTTGTTGTACGTGCCGGGGACTCTTGCCATCTGAAAGAATCCAGAAACCCTGTGTATGTTGAAACGGAGAGAGAGTCTTTAGAATTGGCGTATGTATTTTGTTGTGATTCCTGTTGACGTGTCCAGGCTGCACAATGCTCTGAACTGGACGCTCTCATTCCACTGCAGTACGGCTCCAGCAAGCTTGTGCTTGTTGGTGACCCATGTCAACTGCCAGCCACGGTCAAGTCACAGGTATGCGCCACAGATGTATCTTCAGGCTTCTCTCTTCTCATTTTCTCGCTCGTGCACTCTCTACGATCAACACTGTCTTTTCTGTTGGTAAACATTTCAACTGTCCACTGATCTATTTCCTTTGTGTCTTGTTTCCATGCTACACTACTACACTGTCCTACTCTGTGTTGCTCGGTGTGCACGTGCAGACAGCGGAATGTAATCTGTATGGACGATCGCTGTTCGAACGGTTTTTCAAGTACTTTGAGCAAGGTGCGTGCTTTTGAACTTGTTAGCAGCCACTGCAGAGGTGTGCGTGTGTTGTTGTTGTTGTTGTTGTTGTTGTCGTTGTCGTCGTTGTGTGTTTGTGTGTTTGTGTGTGTGTGTTTGTGTGTGTGTGTGTGTGTGTGTGTGTGTGTGTGTGTGTGTGTGTGTGTGTGTGTGTGTGTGTGTGTGTGTGTGTGTGTGTGTGTGTGTGTGTGTGTGTGTGTGTGTGTGTGTGTGTGTGTGTGTGTGTGTGTGTGTGTGTGTGTGTGTGTGTGTGTGTGTGTGTGTGTGTGTGTGTGTGTGTGTTGAATGGTGTAATCCCAGCACAAGTTGCTATGTCTAACATAGCTGTTCGCTATCATCGCTTCCGTGATGGGCAGGTCTGTGGTCTGAGGTGTGTGTGTTGGGGGAGGGGGCAAGGGATTCAAGCCAACTTATAGAATTATAGTAATTAAGTAAACCATTGGAAACATGGCTTCTGGTCTTCTTGTGTAAATCCGGCATAGTGACAAGTGAAACTTCATTTTCCTGATACATCTTCAGGGTCTTTCTCAGAGTGTTGGTTGTGCATCTTGCCATCAATGATTGACAAACGCCTAGTGTACATTCAAGAATGCGTTCATATTAAATTTGTTCTATGAGCTACGATAAACTACTGCTTTCAGATTTCACGGGTCTCGTGAATCAAAATAATATGGATTTCGAGATAGAATCGTTACTTATCGTAGCTTTGTGTTTCTTCCCTTGTTTGCCTCTGTGTTGTCGATGTATGCCCATAGAACGCCACCGGCAGCCTAGTCCGGTGAGAATGCTGAGAGAACAGTATCGCATGCATCCCGACATCTGTGGCTTCTCGTCCAGGCAATTCTATCATGACAAGCTGCAAACCAGTCCGTACGTCGCCGCTTGTGCTTCTGCTGTTGTTGACAATATGCGGGTTTGACACAGCGATCTATAGTGCACTGTATTCCACATGTACGATTGAAACAATCATCAAGCGGGATTCACAAAAGCATTTTTGCGATGCGACGGCCGCGAGACCGGGAAATCCCCAAATCGTAGCCATCTCGCAGCCCACGCAACTGCCGCAACTTTTGCGATGCGACAAGCGATTTGGCGTGAGATTTCGACCTTTTCTACAGCAGAGTTGTACAATGGTTCAAGAGTTGCCTGTAAATTTGTACAAGTTGTACCAAACCGCGCGAATACCATGGTGACATACCCACCTGCATTGAACTTCGCGCCAAATCAGCAAGGCGTTGTCGCATCGCTGACTTCTTCTGTGAATGGTATTTTCGCAAGTTCACATCACACGCCTCCATCGCAGATTGCTTGAGGGCTGGTTAATGTGACAGAATGCTGCTGCTGATTCCTCTGTTCCTACTTGAGTTGCATGGCATAGTCATCCTCAAGAGACGATGTGCTCCTACCATGTGTCTCCGAATTGAGGATACGTCTACAGGAGTGACATGCCCTTCCTATCGTCCCACTGGCAATTCTGGATATCCAGTTGTTTCTGCTGATTTACAAAAAAACTTTCTTTCGAATGCTCCCATGGTTGGTGCTCAAACAAGCTGCTGCCGCTAATTCCTCACAATGCTATGTACCGGTATGTGTGTTTCCTTTGCTGTTATGATTGTAGGGTTGTCTTGGAGCGACCTGCCTACCCCGTTGCGCCCTTCACCGCACTCAACTTGCTTAACAGCAGAGAAGATCTAAGGGGAGATGGGTGAGTTAGACTTGCTTGTCATTATAGCGCCGTCAGTACTGATTTTGGCGCCATGATGCTTTCTCTCTCTTGTCCACCCCTGGCTGTACTGCTCATGCTGATAGTTCCCTCTCCTGACCCGATAGCGCTAAGATTTAGCTGAGTTTGTTTTGCCCCTGCTGTATTTCTTGTGCTAGTATCACCTCAGCTGACCCAATAACACTGCTCCATTGCCACCACTATACTTCACACAGGCACGCCGACTTCCAGCACCGGAAAAAAGTTGGTGCGGCTTATACTATGTATGATGGTCAAATTAACGGTGATAAACAGGGTAGATGTCTGTATTTCGTGACCGAAAAATCTGGCTGTGGCTTATGCTCCGGAAAATACGGCATGTACGCATACTTGCTGTACATGACACTGTATTTGTTCAGTCTATCTGCTTGAGTGTATGATGCCTGGTGGCTATGCTGATATCTTGTTGTATGCGGCTTGCTATTTCTTGGCGTTGTGCCTTCAGACGTGTCTTCAATCCAGTAGAGATCCGACTGGTAGTGGCAGTGTGCAAGTTTCTAGTGACTTCACCGTCGCACCCCATTCCAGCACGGTCCATTGGCATTATCACACCGTATCGTGAACAGGTGGAGAAACTGAAGGCCCAGCTCAAGGACAGGTGAGCATGTGTACTCGCAAACATTTGTACAGTAATGTGGCTTTTGTGGCTTATCAGCATGCTATATAACACTCTTTCACCTTGGAGTATTACAGGACACTGGCTTTTCATATGACATAGGATATTGGATAACCATTGACTACACATCATCAGTACAGCTATGTGTACATGTGCATGCTCATAGGAAGAGGGCTAAAGGCAATGTGGCCAAATGGGGGTGGGTATCTTCCTTGGAGTTTTATTTATTCCCGTAGCTATGCAGAAGACGTTACTTCAGTAACGTCTGGCGCTAGCCAGGGTCCACACAGCCTTAATTCCCGTAGCTATGCAGAAGACGTTACTTCAGTAACGTCTGGCGCTAGCCAGGGTCCACACAGCTTTAATTTGGTGTTTGTGTGTTTGTTTGTGTCACGCCTGGCGCTATCCCGTATCTGACGGCAAAAAATCATAGGGATGTTATAAATTTTTCAATTCTCCAATTTTTTTAGGCATATCCTGGGATTCGAACCCGCACTATCGCCCTATATGCATTCCCCCATACACTTCGCATTCATACCCATTCTTCCAAGTTGCTTCACGTTACGATCTTGCGTTTGAAAGCCCTATTTGAATATTGCGGGCAGCTGTATGTGGCCAGCTGTGTTTGATGGTACGTTACGGGAGACGGTGTCGTATTACCCTCGATTGTACCTGTCCCGTACCTATCCCTACCGTACCGTACCATCAAAGACGCTGGCCACAATGCATATTCAAATAGGCCTTTCAAATGCAAGATCATAATGTGAAGCAACTTGGAAGAATTAGTATGTATGCGAAGTGTATCGGGGGATGCATGCAGGGCTCGATAGTGCGGGTTCGAATCCCAGGTAACGGTTATGTCTTCAAAAAAAAAGGAATTTTTTAAAGAATTTATAACATCCCTATGCTTTTTTTTGTCTAGGTCATCAAGGCAAAAAAGGCATAGCGTAGGGCCCTGAGCTTCCAAGCTCTCTCGTTTGGTGTTTGTTTGTTTGTGTCACGCCTGGCGCTATCCCGTATCTGTCCCGTACCAGCAAACACAGCTGGCCACATACAGCTGGCCGCAATATTCAAATAGGGCTTTCAAACGCAAGATCATAACGTGAAGCAACTTGGAAGAATAAGTATGTATGCGAAGTGTATCGGGGGATGCATGCAGGGCGATAGTGCGTGTTCGAATCCCAGGTTATGTCTAAAAACAAAAAGTAGAAATTTATAAGAGTTTATAACATCCCTGTGCTTTTTTTGTCTAGGTCATCAAGGCAAAAAAGCATAGCGTAGGGCCGTGAGCTTCCAAGCTCTCTCGTTTTTTTATTCTGATTGGAAATTCTCAAGGCACCTTTCACACCCAGTCGACTCTACTTAGCGAATTTCATGATTATAGGGACCCATTGTCCATGCCCATGCTTGGACCCATGCAAAATTGACCCTTTGTTGCGAACAGCTTTCATTAATTTTATACTTTATAACGAGCCATATCTTGTAGGGCCGCATGTAAACTATGTGCACTGGTACAGTCATACCCGCCGTGTATAGTAAGTGCATATCTGTTATAAAGAACTTGCTACGTATAAAGAACTCACTCTCCTTCACTCTGGTGCTCGTTATGTCAGGAGTCGACTATATTCCACAAGATGGGCGCCTTGCATGCCTTGCTGTGTGCTGCAAGATGACTCTGGTATATGCGGCCATTGGTTTGTTTTTGCTACTTGCTTATGAAGGGAATATGAAGGCATCGAAGTGCTCTCTGTTGATGGCTTCCAGGTATGACGCTCATCCCAATATGATTTCTCTTGCTATCTTAGAATGTTCCTTCCCAGGCCCTCTCTGCTGGCAGATTTATGCATGGCATGGCTGTACATGTATGTATTGGCACATGTAGTTTGTTTGGAAGTGTAGCTTGCACATACCCTGTCCACTTCTAGGTCAGCTCTGGCATTCTTTAACGTACATTGTAGCTCGTCATTCTTGGCGTCATTGCTGTTCTTTGATATGGATCACCTCAACACAGGGCATGTTCCAGTATTAGTTGATGCCCATTAATACAGTTAGTACATCAACTGTGTGTGTGTGTATGTTTTCTATGTTTCTGTTTATCATGCTTTTTACTGTACTCCTATCTGGTCACAGGGACGGGAGAAGGATGTTATCATTCTCAGCTGTGTCCGTGCTCAAGGTGCCTCTCAATCTATCGGGTATGTTGTCGTATGTCGTTTTCTCTCTCTATTTTCTTCAAGCTGTGGCCATGCCCTGTCATAGCTTATGATGAGTGTATGACTATCAACAGCCTAATCAACAGTATGTATGTATGTATGTATGTATGTATGTATGTATGTATGTATGTATGTATGTATGTATGTATGTATGTATAACTCATAATCACAAGGTGATCGTAGAGGCATTAATCAGCGAGAGAATTGTGAATGATGTCTCTGAATCCAACTCTATCGTGTGCTGCATGAGAGAGAGCATGCAAGGGAAGACCCGTCCAACTTTTAATGTTAGAAATCCATGATGTCGCGGGCCTTCCTCTCGGTCGAGATCCAGGAGTTGGTCCTTGCAGGAAGGGCTTGGAGAAAACGGCATGTCTCGTAACATGGCCAAACCACATCAACTTAAATTTCTTGACTTCGTTCGCTAGCCGCATCCTTGCTCCGATGATGTCATTGATTTCTTCCAGGATAGATTGTTGGTACGCCGGTTGTGGTATGTTACTCCTAAGAGTCGGCGGAAGCATTTCATCTCGAAGGATGAAATTCTTCTCATTGATGAGACAGATAATGTCCAAGATTGGCATCCGTATAAAACAGTCGCGAGCACAATAGACCTAACAAAACGAAATTTAGTAGGCAGTATAATGATGTGAATATGACAGTTTAAGTCATTTCACTTTATTTCCTGTGTGAGCCCATGATAAGAAGGGAACGAAAACGTTTTGTTCAGAAGATGTTTAGTGTGTTCTTTTAGAATGGTGACTGCTTAGATGCATTAGACGCCATTAGAGAATATGACTGTATCGACAGTTTGATGATGTGTGGCACCGATCCGATATCATTCATAAATTGTTCACGGTTTGGGGAAGGGAGAGAGGGTCCGAAACAGAAACAGAGCTCTGTCCTCTCGCACGCTCTAATTGTGCTGCCTTTATCAAGCAGTGGTACATACATGCATGTGATGAATGCTGTGTGATGCTGTGTGATGTTGTGTGATGTTGTGTGCTTTAGGTTTGTGCGCAATCCACAGCGACTTAATGTTGCCATGACAAGAGCACGACGTTCGCTTATTGCAATTGGCCACTACGAAACACTGAAGGTATTAATGCAGTTCTGTAGTTTAATTATAATTCTTTCGTTGCACACTGCTATACTTGCATGTACGTTAGCTGATTCTCGTAGCTACCACGTTTGACTTCTTTCTCTCCACTGCGTGAGGAGTCCACGAAGGGTGAAACAGTACTGCCCACAGATTGCGCAGTGGCATTTTGAAAAGCTTGGTACTCCATGTAGTATTGTTGAATTCTGAACTGACTCACTCTGTATTCTTTCCTGGGTAGCCTTTGTGACCTTGCATACAATCGCTGTCCTCTTGTCTCTTGGTAGCCTTTGTGACCTTGCATACAATCGCTGTCCTCTTGTCTCTTCTGGTCTTATCCCAGGTCAGTAAAGACTGGGCTGCCCTGCTTGACTTTTCCAAGTCCACTGGCAACTTTCAGCAGATCGTCAGCGCGGTGGATTCAGCACCACGCCTGTCCAGCATACTGACGCGCCACCTTCACTCGGTGTCATCGGACCAGGTCCCCATGACGAGTGTCGCTTTGGAGCCGGTAGCCAGAGCTATCGTGCAGGGCACGAGAGCTGACCCTCGACGGCCTCCTATAGGGGTGCGTCCGGGCCCTGCCGTCGTCCCTGCCGTGCATGGCATGTCTCTGCCAGCGCAGGGTAATGTAACGTTCGGCAGCGGTGCTGCCTCGCCAGTCTCCGCAACAACCTCTCCTTGTACGAACACTGCTCCACCGCTATTCGGCGGCATCCTCGTCAACACCAGGGATACATCCGGCCACCATAATAGCGGGACACAACGAGCGCGCATTGCCAAGCGTAAGAAATCGGTTACGTTCAATGCAAACCAGGATGAAGTTCATCTACTACCGACACAGCATGAAGCGCCAGTATACCCTCATCATACCGCTGCCAGCAGCTCCACGCCCGCACAGGCACCCGCACAGGCTAGTTGCGCTGCGTCCGCCGTGGCGTCAGGCAGGGGTGCACGGAATCGGCATTCTGCGGACAGCAACCCATGTGAGATCTTCTCTCTGGGCGAGCCACCGCCTAAACGACGACCCAACAGCCTCGGTGTGCCTCTCACCGGTGGCGGCAGTACAAGACCCGCAGCGGCTGGCAGTAACTACTCATCTCCAGTAACAAGTACCAGTACCTCCTGGAACTATGTACAGCAGCAGCAGCAGCAGCAGCAGCAGCAGCATACTACACGGCCGTACTCGCCAGCCACTTCTGAGCAGCACGACCAGCCTTCTGCGCAGGTAGCTGGCGTTCGGCAACACACACCATTTGTCTTTGGCCAGCGAACTCGCCAGGCCCATGGGTCGTCCAGTGATGCTGCACGGGGGCCTGAACCTGCACTGCCCGCTCCAGTTAAGAAGAAGAAGAAAACTCCATTACGCGCTCAAATGACCAAGCAGCTCCAAACGAAGGGTCATTCGAACTCTAGATTGTAATTCTGTTTTAATCAAACCATGAAACTCCTCGCGTGTGGTGCTCTTTCACGTGCATATGAAAGAGCAACTGGTTTGTGCCTACTCCATTTGCTGATTTTATTGGTCCAGAGTTCCTTTCTCACTTTAGAAATAAGTCCAGCTCCAGCTCCTCTGCTCACTTTTTAATGATTGAACCAGTTAGTCCAGATTCATAGCAAGTTGTCTTTCCCTTGCTGCTATTGTAGCTTTTGTAACCTGTCACCGCTAAGGGTGCTGACAATTGTTTTTCCTCTTATTTTTACCGGTGGATGTTGTGTTCTGCTGCTTTATGTAGCATGTAGTGTAAGAACTACCTGGCATCAAGGCCAATATACTGCATTACAACTTTCAATTGGAGTTAGTCGCAACAGTGTATCCTTGTCCATCGAGGCTATTGGCTGGTGTCATTGTGTGACCCATATAGTACTCGTGGACTGCTTTGTTCCACGGATCTGAAAGACTGACTGCACTGAACTGAGCAAATGCAAAATGGAGTCCAAACCAGGGAGTGGTAAAATACATGTGAACGGTCAGTTTTGTGCAATGTTATCACATGAGCTGATTGTCAAGTAACTGGTGGTGTTAGTGGACATTATAGCATCACCAAGAGTAACTTGTACTGTTGTAGTTCCTTGGTCCTTTTTCTTTACTATTATTTGAATAATATTTTTACTACTCCCTGGTCCAAACCCTTAACTAAGCTTACTTAACATCAACGTGTCATCGCCTTTCTGCACTAGTGAGACTGGCCGTTGTGGGGCATATGTCCACTTTCTAGTCTCTTCGATCGGTCCTGCTATGCATGCTGTTAATTACTGTTGCATTGCAATTGATTCAGTCGAAGAGAATACAGCATGCACATGGTACCAAGAGTATAATAATCCCAAATTGCAAAGCACCATCTTTTTCAGTGAGAGTATACTTGAGGGTGGCCCTGGGGATGGAGGGTACGACACCTCAGTCTACACTCAAATTACAGCACAGAGAAGGGAAGGGGTGAAAGTGAACCGAAAGGAAAGGACAGTCCCTGGCAATAAAAGTTCCTGTTTTCATTCTTCAGCCAACTGTCAACAATGGGTTGAAAACTTCGGAACATGACTGTGTTTGACAGTTGACTGAATACATGTAATGAACTCAGCAAGGTACCAAGGGCTACACAATGGGTTGAAAACTTTGGAACATGACTGCATTTGACAGTTGACTGAATAATGAACTCGGCAAGTTACCAAGGGCTTATAATACTCTTGAAGTTACTCAGTTACTTTGACATAGCATGCAACTCCCTGCTGTGGTATCAAGCTGCCACTCCCCTGTATCAAGTCAATGCAGAATTATTGGCGTCCAGATTCTTTACTTAGCCGGACGCCTCAGATACATGTACACGCACGTCTCTCTACTGGGCACTATCAGCTTGAATTCCTACAGTACTGTCGCTAAAGGGGGGTCAGCCTCCTAGCCTAGACCATTTTTATTTTCATCATGTATACATAGGGCGAGCTTGCTTCAAACATGCAGCGGAGTCACTTTTCCTGACGGAGGCTGCTCGTCCGAACTGTACATATAGGTGTTCAATGTTAAGATAACGGACTAGCAACCGTACAATGTACTGCTGTGGACATTGAAATCCGATGGGGTGACCAGGGCCGGCGCCCCTTAAGCCTTAGCGCGTACATGCACTGTAGTATACTGTAAGTAACCACTGGACATATGAACCAGCCATGCTCGTTGCCGCAAACGTGGCTGCTTGACGTCTCAACGAATTTCAGTGTCCACAGCAGTAGATATACTGCAGTTTAACCCTCTCATACACGCATGTACACAATATACATGTGCATATATCTGAACACTCACACATAATACCATACACCATGCGCATACATGTACATGTACATACACCACACACACACAAACACATGCACACACATGCACACACACACACACACACACACACACACACACACACACACACACACACACACACACACACACACACACACACACACACACACACACACACACACACACTTCTAGTGCTGTACATGTATGGTCCATGATCTTGATTTGTTGAAAAATGGCATGTGCTAGAATGCAGTCAAATTAAATAAAACTTCACTTTGTACAAATGCGAATACAGAGACTAAAATTCGAGATATTACTGTCTTGGGCACGCTATGTATAGTTTGATTACAATATGTACACGAAATGACGCCATTGATAACTAGAGTTTTGAAAAGAGAGTTGCAGGAGTCCAGGCTGAATGGCTCAGTACCAGCCACCAATGCCATTTCTAGAAATGCCTTTGGTGTGCTGACGTCGCTTCTCGAAATGTCTTTGCTTGTGCTTGGGATTCGTCTTACAATCTACATGGAGGCGACCTTCTTTCCTAAAGAAGCGACAGTCCGGGCAGAACCTCTTCAATGAGTTCCTCACCTTCATGGTTCTCACTGGCTGGAAAGTAGCTGCAGTCGGTGACACCAAACATCCCATCAGCTGGCTGCGTCCAACACTGATAGCCAGCTGGGTTAGGCGCAATGGCGAGCACCACATTGCTGACCGCTGATCATAAGCTTAGCCTGGAGCAACGATATCAAATTCAATTCTCTTCTTTCATACTTCGTCCATGAACTCCATATCAATGATTATGTTATTATTATTAATATTATGTGTTCGATAAAAAAGAAAACCACCTTCCCGAAAAAATATATTTCAAATTATTTTTCCATTTTTATTGTACAGTATCAAGGATCATCAAAATCAGGGAGTCGTAAAATACCGGTATTTTACGACTCCCTGATCAAAATACCATGCACGTGTGCATGACGTAGACCTGGTCTACGTAGAAATAGAAATCGATTCTTGCCGAATCTTGGTACGTGGTGCCAGCATGCAGTGCCAGCATGCAGTGCAGCAGGAAGAGGAAAGAGAGAGATGCTAAACGCAAGAGCTGGCTATACCGGCTAGTCGATCGAGCAGGTAAGAATTGTAGCAAGCTGCCGTTAAAATCTTAAATGGGTGAATGAGACATAATTGACACTCCTTCAATCATACTAGTATACTAAAGATTTTGTCAAACCATCTTCATCAAGTGAAAGAGCAGTACAGTCATGCACATGTACATGTATGTAAGCTATGCACCACCATTTCAAACATCAGCAGAAGATGCCCACACGTTCACATATGCTCAACCACAACTATTGCAAGTCCAGGGCACTGCTGTTTTTCTAACAGTCCACCAAGGTAACGAGATAATAAATTATACAGTCAGCTAGTGCGACAACAAGGCACAAAACTGACAAGGATATTGAGATATTCGACGACCTAACACCTAGCTCCAACACATCTACGAAGCACAAACCAACAACTTTCCAACTTGGAAGGCTCAGGTGCGGAAAGTTCCAATGAGGGGAAGGGATGCGCCACGAAGAATCGAAGATGTGCACGAGCTATGTCCCTCGGCAACAAAGAATGTCGACCGTTACGGGATGATACCCTTGTCAGTTTTGTGCCTTGTTGTCACACTATCTGACTGTGTATTGTCTCGTTACCTTGGTGGACTGTTAGTCATAACTAGTAACTTATAGGTCCTTTTCTCTTTACATATTGCTATTGGCTCAACATCGGAGTTTTTATTATACTAATATGTGCTGGGATATCATGGGGAATGCACATGTAAGTGGCCCAGCAGTTCACTTCCGCATTCACTGTTATTGCACCTGCTGGTTGATCTGTTGGCAGTGCTGCCAACCTTCCGTATTTTTCCGTACAGTGAGTAGAATGTCGATTATCTACAGTGCATTTCAAAACTATAGACGCGTAGGGTTTTTGAAATATTTCAAATTTGGCTGGAACTTTTTGAGAATAGTTTTCGGAATATTGCTCAGGATCGCTCCACAATTACTCTCATATAGTTTCTAAAGGATTGGATAACAGACGCCCAATTTGGAAAAAATTATGCACAAAGTGATCACAGATTTTATGTGGTATAGATGCTGGCATAACGGTTTTTGCCTAGGTACGCGTCTATTGTTTTGAAATGGACTGTAAACGATCAATTATCCACAATGCTTGCTTGCATTGAGGGGTAGAAAGTTAGTTTTTGCTGATTTTCCGTGACTACGCAGGGCACCATTCAAGTGATGCACAAGATGTATTGCAACGGGTTGGAGTCAAAATGTATCACGATAGTGTCATTTTGAGGAGCTGGAGTGCACCTAGTTCCTGTTGTACTGCCGAAGAGAATGAAAATTAATGATGAAAACTTGCGGGATTATGCAAGTTTTAGATAGACGTGTGATTGCCACCACAAACTACAGCATACACTGGCTGCTGGCGGTGACTACCCGTTAGAATTAAATAGCTTATTTCATTCTTTTTTTCATATAAGAGAGTAGAATAGGGAAGACGTGCTCCACCATCAACGTCGGAAACTGAAATTTCAAGCTCCCGATTGGAAGCAGAGCACACATACCACTGAGCACCATGTGTATGCACATACGCGTGCCCTGTGGTCACACTGTGACTGCTAGATCTGTTTGAGAATAGGCGTCAACTTTGAAGGGAAAAAATGCTCAAGAAGAGAGTTACACTTGTGCCAATATAATCACTGTGGAATACAGGTAATACATTTCACAGAGGTCTATCAATTACATGTATGTGTTCAGTGAATGTATTACGGTAGGAGTAATGTTCATATTCTCAAAATCAAGGCGAACATAACACAGGAAATAGGCAAGACTTGTGTTGTTACTTGTGCATTACGGGCGAGAACAGATTATTAAGATCAAGGTCCAGAATAACAATGTTGTGTGTTAGAATAATGGCACTTGGTTTCGAAACACAAACGAGGCGTCCCCGATGCTGTCAGAAGTTGGTTTTTTTTGATAAGCCAGACATGGGGATGTATCAAAATCTTCACTTTTATAATATTATGCTTGGAGCGGATGAATATTTCCTGTTGGCCTCACACTTGTTGACTCTTGTTGCCCTCGCGAATCTCAACTGGCACTGGTGGTGAGTGGGTCTTGTCGTCATTGGTCTCCTCAGAATACCGCTGTTCAACTGGTGTCTCGTACGGGGCTGGTATTCTGCTGACGCTCTCACACGACTCGTACCGCTCGGACATCTGGTGTCTGCCGTCTGCATTCAAGTAGTGACCTGCATGACCATCAGGGGAGGAGCGGATAAGTTTGCGCGACGATCCTGATGGCCGTCGCTCAAGCTCGCTCTTCCCTTTGTCGGCCCGTTTCGCCGGCGAGACGGCGTCGGCTGCATCGTCGAGGAGCGGTGCTGTGGACGAGGTTTGCGCGAGCTGTTGGTGTGCCTTGAATCGCTCTACGTCATTGTTGTGGTAGAGTATGTGCATCGGGCCAGCCATGCTATGCAGCATAGCGCCAGGTGGTGCTGCTGCTGCGGCTGCTGTTGCCATGTCGCCTTGATGTTGCTGCGGGTACTGTTGCTGCTGCGGGTACTGTTGCTGTTGCTGTGGGTGCTGCTGCTGTTGCTGTTGCTCTTGGCTCATTTGGTGCTGCTGCTCTTGGTGCAGCTGATGTTGTTGCTCCTGTGCTTGTCCGGGAGGTGCGGGAGGTGCAGTTGACGGCGGCGGCATCATCATGGCTGGATCCGTAGATAGCTGTGGCGACACCAGCCATTTTGTTGAGTAGGCGCTGACGTCGCCATTGCTCACGCCTTTGCCCAGTGCTGAGCTCGGCGTGCCTGCGGGATTGAGCTGATTGAGAAAGACTGGGTGGCTACCTGTGCGTATGTGCTGCATGGCCAAACCGTCCAAGCTGCAAAACCCAATACTGCCCATGCTGTTGCCGTTTGACGGTGCCATCAAGATGCCCTCCACCATGGCTGAGGTGTTGGCCGTGTTGCTATTCTGATACTGTGGCAAGCTGGCGGTCGAGCCATTCATGTCGGTTTTGATCGGGATGATGGGTGCCATGGCGTAGTTGAGATTGTTGAAGTTTGGCTGCACAGCAACAAGACAATACAACAGCTGTTGTAAGTATAACCTTGCCTAGTCTGAACACCTTCTCATAATTATACTATGATCTTTTTGCTTCTGAAACTCTTTCCAAACTGAATCATCAAAGTTTCGGGCATTATCCATCCTCATTATGAAGCAACGAAATCAAGAGCGCAAGTCTGGTTATGTACTCTGGGTAGAATGCTTATGATCACCAGAGAGTGGTGGCAGCTAGGGCCTGTGTACATAATCGGTCGTGCCTTAAGGGAGACTGGAACCGACTGCCGCCTGGGAGCGAAACCCACATCATTCCACATTCCATTCGCCTGTGTTGTCACCCCCATGATCACATGCCAATTGATCAGCAATCTTGGTCACTATACTACGACACCCCAGTTATCAAGAACGCTGAACTAAAGCATGAATTTGTGCTTGCATAGAACCCGGCATGAATGATCACTTCAAGGCAGTGCACATCACCACATCTATCAAGGTGTCATGGGTGTGCAAAAGATTGGAAACTGTTCGTATGAGTGCTGGCTGATGAAACATGGAGTCTGGCCAGTCTGCAGGGTTGCAATTTCTTCATTCCGCTATCCAATTAAGATGCGCTCGCATACGACAGCGCTTGTCAAACGATGCCGGGTGCCATATGCGAGTGTGTATAAGTTAGCCCTGCCCCAAGGACGACTGTAAAGGGCAGACCAGGATCGAACCCACATCAACATGTAGGGCTTGTCACCCATGCCATCCCCTAGATGCTATGACAACTGCTTTGGATTTCATCATGTCAGGGCTACTATCAAGATAGCGAGTTGCACAGACCACGGATCACGCAGGACTTGCAAAACCGGGGTCGAAACGTCAATCGTCTCCAGTACATGTACTATGATATCGTGTCGTCTTTCTGGATGCTACGATGCCCCGGTGCCTGGTGGAGACGCATGGCCAGTACCCACACATATCCTCTTGTGCGATTGGCACGGACTGTGAGTTTCATTATGATAACAAACAGACCACATAGCTTTCTCATCCAGATGCAGATCCCCTCTTTGTACTTCAAAACACTACAATTCTATTTCTGAATTAACTGCAGTATTCAAGTTGCTGTGCCCTTCGCTACAGCTGAATGCCTCATGCTCTGTGTGTTCTTACCCCTGGTCTTGCCAGAGTGCCTGTGTCTGGCTCTGCTTTCTCTTCACTCGATAGACGGCGAACCTACATCGGACCGCAAGGAGCAGACACAAATCCAGCCATTAGTTTGCTGGCTCATTCAATTACTGTAGCAGAATAGCTGGCAGCATGATGCTCTGTCACAGCGACATGCATCTGTTTTGTTCAAACAGCACTGGCAAAGAAGTAAAACTTGGGTTGAATCAATGGCTGGCAGAACCTGCTGCACATAAGCACTGCAAGCATCCTGTGGACTAGCAGCTGGGGATGTTTCTGTCAACAGGTAGTTGTCTATAGACAGGCACATACAAGTATAGATGGGTGGTTGTCACTGGTGCAGTGGTGAACTTACCACGAAAATGGTGAGGATGATGAGCAGAACGATAACGGCCGTACCACAAACAATGGCCACGATGATGTACACTGTCATGCTGTAGGAAGTCAACAGGTGCACGTGCATGCCGTTCATTCAGTACATGAAATCCAGCACTGAGCTGACTGGTGGCATCCCCACTCCTTGCTGCACTGTGTGTGTGCTTGTTTCGTTCAACCTTACCGTGCCGAGGCACTGCTGCAGACTTATGTGCATGTGCACACGGATCAGACTCGTATGTGGGGGGAATTGATGTAATTGTTGTCAAAAGGTAAACCTGCATCAGCTATCCACTGGCCATGCAGTGTAAATGTTTTAATGGTACACACACGCGAGTAGAATCCAATCTCGGGGATGTCGGCATTCACAAGGTGCAGAGCGGGTGTGCGTGTACATACACATACATACACACACACGCGCGCGCGCACGCACACACCACACACACACACACACGCACAGAGTCATTGTCTCTTCCAGCACTCTTACCCGTCATCTCCTCCCGTATTTCCGCCTGCGCCGTTATTTCCATTTCCGGCGTCAGTGCTTGTCTGCGGCTCTAAGACACGAAGCAGGAACAAAACAAGAGTGAGACATGTCAATCAGGGCAACGCACAAGTGTTCACAGTAATGTATCTTGCATGACATCGCAGCCTTCTCTGCTGTATAGTGTTGGGTCCTTTCATTGAGGTTCTTCTTTGAAGATGCATGCAGTCCTCATACTGCAGTGATATACCTTGGCCCTGGACAGGCAACATATGCCTCACACATACTCAGCATGACGTTTTAAGTCAGTTACCCATGGTCCTGCATGCGATAACCAACTCCAACACTTCTCGAATACGCCCCATTTGCCATCTTCGGCTATTAACATACCTTGACAGCTGCCATCTCGCTCCTCCAGAGATCCGGAGCAGACGCACGCGACCTGCTCGCCGACTGCCATACACGATCCACCTTCCACGCTGGAGCAGGCCAAGCCACTTGTCGGTGATATACACACATTGTTATCTGCTGGACCTTGAATATAAGCACAAGCACACAGTCATCCAAGGAGTCATCAACAAGTCCAGCAAGTATCCCGAGCCATCAAGTCAGCACACATACACCAGCAGTTGTGGCAATTGAAACCCGGACCCATGTACATTTTCAACACCGCAAACCGATTTTGATTACATCATGTATGCCGGCTACGTGCCCGCATGGTCTCGCCACACCGAATAACCTCACAAGCGAGGCTTACGGACATCTTACACATGCACATGTACGTGTGTATGCATGTACAGTGCTGCCAAATGAAATCCAGTCGTGTCACTCAAGCTAGTACACGCCGGGCGCTAGCGCTGTGCAGCCCTAGACCTGCGAACACTGGGCAGTGAAATGGCAAGGGGAAAAATGAGTGACGCGACTGGATTTCATTGAGCAACACTGTAGATTGCATTCCTGCATTCACTGTCGGTCGTGGCATTCAACCCTTACCTTGGCAACGGCCATCCACTATTTGCCGTGGCACCGGGCACAGGCATGTGTAGCTTCCCGCGGTGTCCACACAGACGCTACCAGGCACGTGATCACACAGGTTCATATTGGCACTGCATTCATTGATATCTGCAACACACACACAGCGAGACCGGCAGAAACAGGACAGAATCAATCAGAGACGCATCTCCAGTACATGTATCCCTGAGCACATGAAGCACCATGGTTGGTAGAAGCCACCTCAAATACCGGTTGCAGTAGAGCACCTACTAGCAGTCGGTATCAGGCTACTCTTCGTTCTTCTAGATGGGTCTAGTGGGAGGCTGCCAATGGCACATCACGGGTTAAAAAGAGCAAGTCATTGTCAACCAAAGGGAGAAATACCCGCCGAGTTCTTGATCAGAACTTACTGAAACATAACGTTTCCACGTTACTGGTGAACCACGCGGAATTCTTCTCACACACCAGTGGGGTCCTGTTGAATGATGCAAAGCCGTCAAGGCACTGCAGAGAGGCGACTGTATTCACCAAGTAGCCATCTAAAGCTCTCTCTTCCGAGTAGGACCATACTCCATTGAGCGTTGTCAGCACAGGACATCGGAAAGCTGGCGAAGAAGACATTAAAGAGACAACCAGCAATGCAAGCTGAACCAATCTGCGGCGCAGAGTACTTTATACATGCACGAAAAGGGCATGCTGTGCATAGCACGACCTGAGAGTGAACATATCCATGCACTGTCTGTGCATAGCACGACCTGAGAGTGAACATATCCATGCACTGTCTGTGCATAGCACGACCTGAGAGTGAACATATCCATGCACTGTCTGTGCATAGCACGACCTGAGAGTGAACATATCCATGCACTGTCTGTGCATAGCACGACCTGAGAGTGAACATATCCATGCACTGTGCCAGCACCATGACTAATAATATACTCATTGCTGATCACAGAGCAACACTGTCAATGTGTGTGTGAGTCACCGAGCTACAATGGCAATGTACAATCTCAGGCATTACTATCGTCATTCTATCACTCACACGATGTGGTGTCGCAGTGAGTGCTGTTGAGGCGGCCGTTGCCAACAGCACATACACACGTAAACGATCCGGCCGTGTTGGAACAGCTGGCAGTATCATCACAGTTGTGCATGCCATCCACACACTCATCCACATCTACAAAGCCGGAGACAAGAGGTACAGACATGTGATTACCATTCCCTGTTGGCCAGCCACCACGGGCTAGACATTTTTCTCACCACAGCGTCCACAATGTCTACTTTGACTACTAGTACTTTCAAAAATCTGTTTGACAATTCAGCCATGTGACAAGTATTGGCATTCAGCTGCAGTAAATGCACATGCAGCGTAGTGCTGCATCAACAAGGCTGTGGCTGGGGCTGTGGTGACTGCACGCATGGTACATCACCTGTATAGATGGGAAGAGGGGAGAAAGGAGGCCGCGGCTGGTGGCCATAACGTATTGGTATGATGCCTTGAATTTGCCCTGTGCATATTTGGTGCTTGAGCATCACCCTGAGAATGGACCATGCTAGGTTATCCGATGACTTTTGGAGGAGCTTTGCAGCAATGACACGATGTGGTGTGATTTTAGACAGACTGCTCTGATGTGCTTGCTCAAGAAAAGCAGTGAATACCAGTCCTCTACTTGTAACATGTTTGCTTTGACTCGAGCATGTACCTCATACCGCTGAACCGTTTGATGCATGTGGCGCTGCATACAGCTGCTACCTTACCTTCTGTGCAGTGTATTATAGCACCAGCCTCTACTCCAGCGTGCTGCCAGCGTTGCATGCTGTTGCAGCGCAGACGCCGTGGCATCACCTCAACACTGACTGCCGGCGGAAACTGGTAACCTGGAACACACTCGTACGCGATCTCCGCTTCCTCAGAGAAGGTTCCGCCAGGAGCTTGAGGTGGCGTAAACTCGGCATTCATGATCGTCGGTAGTGAGCATCTTTTCTCTGTGCACACATTGATGAATATCGGGAGGAGTAAGTTAATAGCAGTGCAATACAGTGAGTGATGTGTGCTTTTGAGATCATTGAGCAGATGGGTGTGGCTCTACAAAGTCTGATGTACCGGTAGTTCATTTGTAAGACATTCTGCGGATGCAGAAAGAAGCAAAACGAATTTAGGAGATGAAGTTTTAATTATACACAACAATGTTTTGAAATACTTCTTTTAAAAAGAACAATAAAGTTGCCAATTTCATTACTCGGTCAACTGTCAAAAAACAACATTTCCCGGAGAATAAGGGGTCGTCCGCAATTATCGAAAGTTTTTTCCAATCCGTAGTAGCTTCAAATTTTTCCTCACCCCCCCCCCCCCCCCCAGTCCGTAATAAAATATTATTGATGGACACACAACGCAACACATATGGAACAAACTCAATCAGTGCTGGTCCATCCTTGTTCGTCGTCTTGGACAACTGCCACAAGCAATTTATTGTTCTGTAATAATCAGAGTCACCAGCGGTTTTGAAAAAGGGCTGCTTCTTCACCGCCTTTCCAAACAACGTCGCCTGTCTGGACATAGTCAATAACAGTCGTCAGCGCCAGCGCTAGACGGAAGGACTTCAAAGGAGTGCATGGAAGACGGTACTCTGGACGAAGGAGACAGTGAAACTCAAAAATAGAAGGTGTCGACTCGCCGTCGAATGCGCCGAACTTTATGATCCCCGGCCCAGGAGCAGCCAAGGAAGCGCGCGCGGGGGCGCAGAAACTGCCAGAACTACAAAAATATTATAAGTAGTAGACAGTTCGCGCGCAGCCGCGCGTGGAAAACAGGGGCTACACGTAGACGTACACGTGGCACGCGCACGTGTCATTTCGGAAGTTTTTCAATCCGTAACTGGCCTTGACCCACCCACCCACTTTCGAAGCTACTACGGATTGGAAAAAACTTTCGATAATTGCGGACGACCCCTAATGATATGCGACTCGAGCAATAACTATTTATTTTCCTATGCAAAGTTCGATCAGAATGGTGGAACATGATGAGCCCAGACTACACATTCAGTTTTACAACCTATGAACCAGGGTGATGTACCTCAGAACCTACCTACACAGCCTGTTCCGTTTGTCCTGAGCCCATCGCCTTCGAAGTTGGACCGACAAACGCACAGGAAACCAGAGACTACCACCCTGCACACAGCAGAACTGTGGCATTTGGACTGCTGGAGATCCGAGCAGAGTGCTGGCAATGGGAAGAACGAGAGAAAATGGAAAGAGAAGGGGAAGAGAAGGAGATAAAGAAAAAGGAGAAAGAGTGAAGAGGGTACAGCAGAGAGCAAACATATTGCTAGGAACCAATACAGAGCAGCTGTCTTGGAAACGTTCATGAATTCATCCTACTCAGCCATAATAGCTACTTCGATGTACGAATTATTTGTGGTTGAATTTCGCCGAGAAGTATTGCCTGTAGCGGTTGCGATAACCACTGAGGCAATTGTTGGTTGTATTCAGCTTTGCTAGGTAGGAATTTTACCCATTGTTTCAGACCATGTAGGTAGCTATGATTATCTGTAAGACTTGTGTGTGTAAGCTGACTGCAATGCTTCCAAAGTGATGAAAGCATGCCATGCCAATGTGGTGAGTCAACATTATAAAACCTTGCGAGCAATGCCCGCAGGTAAAATGTGACAAAAGCAGCTACACGTTATAAATGCAATAGTGGACACGCGGAAGCTATCCCCCCCCCCCCCCCCCAGGTTAATTCACTAGCGTAAATAAGTCACTTAGACAGCAACGGTGGTTCCTGCACTGTTGCCACAATGCTGCTTGGAATATCCCCAGGGGCATAAAGAAGAAAGATGCCATGGATGTCATGAATCTGCTGTGTACATCATCATTCTCTCAGGCACATAATGACATCAATCACTACCACACACACACACCATGTTATAAAGCAAACACACACACGGACACACACACACACACAGTAATCATATCCACCTGCCGCCCCTGGGCGTGATCGAGGCAGTCTCAGTACTGCGTGAGTGAGCCCCAGACCAGGAAAGGCATTGACAAAGTCAGTTCATCAAGGCCAAAGACAGTGCTCAAAGGGAAGCAGGATGATCATGCAAAGGTTATTCCTTGCATGCTTTTACAGATTGTTCCATTGCTTGTTCTTTATGAGTGCTTATGCACTTTTTTGAAGTGCCAATTTCTAGTCTAACTAGTTTCAGGCCTTGCCCAGGGTGCATGCTAAGTAACTGCTTTTTCACCTCTATCAAGTGGGCTTGTGACTAACTCCCCGCCTTTCTCCCAGCTGCATTGGACCAGCACAATCGATCCTACATGACCATGGGGGCATATTCCTTAGAGTAATTTGTGTCGCCACCGCCCTGTAATGTGTATTGCCCAGTTGGGAGGGGGAGTTCGCACTGTCCTTCTCCCCCCCCCCCCCCCCATATCGCTTTCTGTGGTAGCTCAGATTTCTGGTGTAGAACAGGCTTGCTTTTACACGATACTTCTTACTAGTTTGGGCTCAGGTCACTCCATAGTACATCTATGGAATCTTGGTGCTGTAGATCTACACAGCATGCTACAGTGTAAGACAACAGTGGAGAGATCATCTGACATTACCAGCAGCTACCAATGGACAATCTGTAGAACTACCACAGTGAAGGTTCTATCACAGCAGGTCCTTGAGCCGCTTAGCTGATCTTGTTGTCCCTGGCCATTAGGCATCATCCCGCACAGGTATGGCCTTGGTAAGGCAACTGCTCAGCTGTAGTGCCTGTACTGTAGTGCTCCTCGCTCTACACACGCTCTGGCTATGCCTCATTTAGTCCTAGGTATGAGCAGTTCCTGGACCGTTCCAAGCGTCGTTTCCACAAGGTATCATGACCATGTTCTGTACCAGCCGGGCAGAAACCTGCCGCGGAAGCTCTGACTGAGTCTGAGGCCGCAAGGAATCCTGACATGGATGGGTAGAACGTTGGCACTCCAAAGGAAAGAGCTAAAGGGAGAGCATTCATTTTGAGCTGGCGTATAACCATGCGATATCTTGACCGTACCGGTGTTATTACTACCACTGCGTGTATTCTACCACGGGCTACGGATATTGACACTCTGACAGGCTGTCTGGCCGCTGTTCGACTCGTTGAAGATTCTAGATGTGCATTGGAAATAATTAACCGGGAAGCCGACGACCTGTACGGTCCTTGCATTAGGCATCTACTACAAAGCACTAGTATCTGCTTTGAAGAAGGTTTCATTGCAAAAGCCTAACACAACGACTGGATGATCGCTGTAAGCATTAGAAAAGGCCCTAGCCTAGGACATTGAAAACCAATATCTAAAACGACACGGTCTGTAGACTGTAGTGTAACGTTAGGTGTGATAGATTTGGTGCAGAGCCTCAACCATGTCAACAGTTACCTTCCCCCGTCCGACGCACCCTTCACGCCACACTTCCACGGAAATGACACCTCCTGGCTACAACATGTCGACAAAGAGTTTGCGGACAGAACAATTCTTTTGCAGGGTGTAATTGGATTTCAAGTCTTTCCCAGGGGTTAATTATTTCTGTTCCATGCTGATGTAGGTACGGCTCGCCTGCCTCACTTCGCTCGACGTCTCACAGGTTCGGCTCTGAAGCTGGCATGGTGGGAATTCGCTGGGCAAAAATCTTCCGCTCACCGACAAACTGGTAGGTGTACGACACCGCACACAGAAGGTCGAACAACTCACAACAAGGCATGTATCGGTATCTGCGATCCACTGCCATCACACTTCACAGTGCCGTGTGTGAGAGAGTGATTCGCGCTCCTCCAATAATAATAATAATTATACTGGTGCTAGTCCTAGTGCAAACCTCTGAAGCACCGCAGCCCTATGGTAAGTATGGGTGCTGGATAGTCGTTGACCGGTTCGAGTCCAGGCTGCAGATTGTGGCTGACTCGAGGCCTTCCCCAAGTTCCCTTCACAGCCTCACACCTTTTCATTGCTGCCATCAGCAGAATACGATTTATTTTGGATTTGGGCATAGGATCGCGCCTTTGCCCAAACATTGCACTGCTGCAGGGTAGACCTACGTCGCCTCCAGCCAGTGGAAATGACCCCGAACTGCCAAAGGTCAAAAGGACATGTCTCGTCTTGTAGGGCTTTTCGATTTCACCAACGCACGACGAACTGGTCGTGTTGCGTTGGCGAACTGACAGCAGCAACAGAATTATTCAGTCTCCTGTCACGGATAGGAAAGATCTTTTGTCGTGTGGGAATGTGAATACCCGCGTACCCGTGTCTTACTATTGTGCGTGCATCAATATGACTGCGTTGTTACATGTGTAGAGTCTGTAAACTCTACCAGCCGTGACGCAGCCGAGTAGAACGAGCAACAATCGCTTCTCGATTGCATATTCACGACGAGTTGTATTGCCCGTATTTTCCGCTTCCTCGCCTTTCTTCAGTTCTTACCCGCGCCTACACACAGCAGGCACGCAGTTTATTTCTATGCAGTTTCCAGCGGGACTCCAACGACTCTATGATTATTGTGAGCATCACATACAGGACGAGGCAATCATGAGAAGGACTTGTTTTGCATGAAACTGCAGCCATTTGATACTGCGTTTTGCTGACGAGTAACGACAGTTAACTGCTTAGTTTTTTCTTGTCGGTAGCACCGGTCGTTGAATGACCTACAAAATACACACACGTGCGCGAAGAGATCCCTTGGATGCCACCTGCACTCAAGGCAAGCTTCTCTTTCGATTTTGGTATTCCAATATTCATATTCAGTCCGATTAAGCCATGGACACAACGCCTAAGCCCTTAGAACAATGAACATGGCCAACAGAGGAACAGAACAATTACATGAAGACTTGCGCCCACCGACGGTACAATGTAGATCGACAGGTACATACATGATGTGCAATGTGGGCCTGTAGTGTAGACGGCAGAGTGTGGTACACAATGTCATTCCAAGGCAGTTTTACAAAGAGTGCACAGACAGTGACGGTGCGTCTACATGGAATTCGTGCTGTTGGTGAACGAGGTCAGGCGGAAACTCTTCTGCCAAAGGTCGCGTAGGCAGTATCTCCGGTCAAACGCTGATGTTCCAAACCGCTCTGCAGTACTGTGATACAGCGACAGCATGATTGGGACATGGATGTTCCGCTGGTCGGACTAGCATAGGAGGCGCCACAATGGCACAAGTCAAAGGTGACAAGAAAAATACCCTTGCCTTTGTGGGCGGCCTGTCAGGCAGAGCCGAGAGCTCGTCTTTGGTGCGGGAAAGTAGACTATAAAATTTAATAATCCCATTAAACTGGATCATATCCACGGTCACTTGCACTGGTCTAGTACTAGTAGTAAGAGGTGACTCGGAACGAATTTTAAAACACAGGCTCTACACTGGTCGCGCTAATCTCGTGTTCGGGTCCGAAGATCCGAAGAAGATTGAGAAGATTCTGCTTACTACAGGGTTGTACGATACGTTGACGTTCTAATCACGATCGAACTTACAGTACTACTAATGGTGTATATCTACACAGATTTCTTGCCACTACTATTATAGTGTAGCTGTTCCTGGTAGCTACCACTAATTAATTGTTCCTGTGAGCTAAAGACAAACTGGACACAAAGACCGACTGATGCATACTCGTTGTACACGACCCGCAGTTCTTCGCGGAAGTGAATGTCACACTAACTGTAGACATACTGGAAGGGCGAGGAAGGAAGGCAGGATGGCCACAGTTTTACTGCCAGCATACTACATCAGTCTACTCCTTGGCAGAAAGCCACACAGCAAATATTCCAGTTTGATGGATAGCGTGTGTTCGATTTGCAGATGTCTTCTCTTCTGCGTGTTGAAGTCAATTTCAGCACGCCAGAATCGACGTGAAAGTGATCGGAGACCGGGTGATACTGCACGAAGCGGGCACAGTCACTGTGATGCAAGCGCAAAAGAACTTTGTGTCAAATCGGCCCAGTAAAAACGTAATCGGTTGAATACAGATACATCATCTCACAAGGAATACTCACAGCAAGACCTAGGACTTACCCTGCATGTGGTGAAGATGCGAGCGTTCGCAAACCAGCAGGACAGGCAAGAGCAGAAGCATAGCATCCAGGCGTGGCCAGAGCAGGAGTAGCAACGATGGTGTCAGCAAGCAGGCACACACACACAGAGATTTGGCATACACAGACGTTACTTCTGTACCACCTTCCATGGACAGTAACGCATGCTCAAGATCATCCCACCCCTGAAAAAAATAGTCATCTTCTCCCATGGGTACATCCCACCTCAGTCACACGTGCGGTCAGGGTTAACATGCTGCAGTCGAACAACATAACAAGCTGCCAAAGCCAACCTTACGTACCGCCACACCAGTTATCTCGACCGCAACTGCCACAAATATGACACTGAGAAGTCTGCAAAGCCGTCTATCCAACGAACGTCCATCCATGCTTAATCTGCGATAGGGAAAATTCCTGCGACTGCTGTTGTCCATTCGAGTTGCTCAAATCACGAAACTAACTTCGCCCAACGCTGCTGCTGCTGCACCTTCTGGCAAGGCGCAACCTGACTGCTTGCTGGAGGTTGTGTCGTGGAGTATTATACGGACGGTCACAGTGCGGAACTGCAGTGTTCCAGTTATCCATGTGGCACCAACACTGCAATAGCACTCAGGTGAGCAGGAGAAGTAGGACAGGCATAAGCAGTGACTGAGCTAGCCTCATCATGCTATCTCGAGCACCAGCAGCAACTAGCGATATCCGCTGCGCGCGTTCCTCGGCTCCTTCAGCCTTTCCTCAGGCTCAGGCACAAGCTGCTGCCACTGTAAGTCTGCAATAGTGGTACTTCCACAAGAGCGACCCTGGCCCACTAGGCCACTCAAGACGCGCGAGCTAAAACTCAAGGGCGTCAGAAGAGCATTGCTACAAGATATCGAGGGCCTATTTTCGTGCACAGAGGCAGTGAATACAAGTGCGTAGCCTTATCGTGCCGCTACTATAACTCGTGCTGGGAGTGCGAGGGAAGCCTGGCCGCACGCACCATGTGCGAGCTCGGTACGGAAGGGGATTGCAGGCCTCACTCACTCACACACACACACACACAGTCACAGGTCTCAGATCAGAAGTGAAACAGATCTGGAGATGTGCCTTGCGAAGTTCCGTGGTGCGTTATGACTAGTCTATGGTCGCCGGGCATTTAATTCACTATTCGCAGTATGCATGCCCCCCCCCCTCCAGAGCTTCCCAAATGAAAACGCAGATATCCTTACAAGTTTGCCCCTCCCCCCCCCCCCCCCCACCAAACAACTCACTATCCTTTTAAAAAGCCTTACACCACGCGTCCAGAAGAGCCTTGCATTTACTTGTACCCACGGCCACGACACGTGCATGCGTATACAGTGTGTAATTTACATGTACAGTGGACACGCGCATCGTTACTGACAATTAAATACATCCGTCTCTTGTTCAACTCTACTTTGAAGTACGGTCAGTCCAGGGAGAAAACAAGTGGTGCGGTTAACGAATGAAGTGAACCCCAGCAAATCCTTCACACTGTGCAATTTGATTTGCAGAAATAATGGTCACTTCACGCTGATGGGAAGAAGCCTGCACAAGCCATCAAGACCTAGATAGGTGATTGCAGAGTAGTCCGCACAAGTGCACAATGATTACTTTTTGTAGAATGGACACAGGTATTGCCTCGCACGCCCCCAGACTTGTATCCACCTACAGTGCACTAATGTTAGTGTTGATTGTACAATGCAGTGTACAGTCATGTAGAGGACAGCTACAGCACAGTAAAACCTGTCAAGGCGACCACCTGTCAAAGAAGACCACTGAAACCAGGATCAAGGGATGCTATTTCCAGTCAAATGACCCTGGATAAGGAGACCACCTGGTAACAGAGACCACATTTTGAAGGTCCCTTGAGCGGTCGTCTTAGACAGGTTTCACTGTATTTCGATAAGCCAATGCTGCATACACATACACGTAGATTGGTACGACTGGTTGGCCATAGTGACTCGTCGTCTACGTTATCTTTCACTTGCATTGTACATTATACACAAGTAAGTTCATTGCTCTAGCTTCTACTTCTAAAGTAAGTTCTAGGCTAGCTCGTCTGCCCGTTCTCAGCCTGGTACATTACAAATGCCCGTTCTCAGCCAGGTCGATAATTGTTAAATGCCCGTTTCAGCCAGGTCTACTACCCGGTCTCACCAGGTCTAATACCCGATCTTAAAACTAGGTCTAATGGCTGCAACGAGATCTACAGAGTACATCGACATGTGGTGCTTTAAACCGGTCATGTGGTCATTTTCAGACTGTACTGATACATACTGATCTGCATAGCCAGCACGGTCCCTAGATTAGCGTCTTTATATGTCAGTTTACAATTTACATAATTATTGTTTGTGCTGCTGGAGTTGTTAGATGGACTACTAGTACTGATACATAATACCTGTACTGCTATAGGTGAGAATGAAGGTCATTTTAGAACCCCATACCCTCCAAACACACCACACACCTTTGACGCCCCATCTCCAGTGGAGATGATAGGCTACTGAGTTGGGCAGTACTTGAGGTGACGCTTCAAACAACCCTACAGCCTCCCATTATAATGGAACTCCCTTCAATTTAGACTACGTCTTTGGGAAATCCTCAAATATATAATAATAATAATAATAATAATAATAATAAATCGCCACTTCTCCTAAACGCTCTGCCGCATGCGCAGTGAAAGTCCTTCGGTGCAGGGAGAGGAAGACGATGTTGATGGACCCGCCTGCGCCATTCACACACACCACACACACACACACACACGCGCGCGCACGCACGCACACACACACACACACGCGCACACTCCCCCACTCCCCCTCTCATGGACCCTCTCACTATAGACTGTACTGTACATGTATATACGTGAACCGGTACATGTAACTGGGACAGAGTTACGTGTGCATTTTAATTGTCATGCTCTTTGACGAAAGGCCCTGAGAAGAAGTTAATTAATAGGAACGTGCTGGTATACATGAGTAACATTTCATGTTAACTCCCGGGTGGTGCCTGCTGGCCTTTTGATGGGTGGGGAGGAATGAATACAATGGCATGAGTGCACCTTTCACAGCCCACACTTACACCGGACTGGACTGTCCCTTCTGTTTACGCTCAATCACACGTGTCGTTGGTTGGAGATACATGTAAGCTCAAATATACCACAACTTACACACGGAACATTAACGCGCAACGGTAATTTAATGCATCCACAGCAGAGGAGAACAGGGCTGAGTTTGCCAATCTCAATTCTTTTCACCCTGACCAAAAGACTATTGCACAATATGGGTATGATGAACGTCCAACACACTTGAAAACATCTGTGCGGGCCGGGGTTTCACTGCTACACTACCATTTTTGTTACGCCACCCACGGCGCCAAACACTGAAACATTTGTTCTTTCTCAGTCGAGCATGCAGGATTGCAGGTCCCCTGTCATATCGCTGCCACAGCAGCTGGATCTCCTACTAGTCCTAGAACGATAGTCGGACACCCTGGGGATGCTTTACATCAGCAAGAGCCTTCAACTGAGTTCCCAACCGCCAGCAACATAATGCAGTAACTCAGGGCGAGTCAGGCTCTACGAAGGATGGTCAAGTAATCAAACTAATGTTAATTTCGTGGTTGCTAGCTCGAGTGTAATAAAATAAGCAAACAAAACTGTATCATCTGTATGCATGTAATCAGTATCATCTACGTGCAGTTCATTTCGGGCTCTTTGCTTCGGAAAGTGTTATTTCAATATTTGCCAGCCGCAAAGGACTTCAAGTTCAACGTCCACTGCACTGGCTGTGCACATAGCGAGTCGTTCGCAAGAAAGCTGCCTCTTTGTGGGCTACCCGTACGTCACGGGACGAGAAAGAGGAACAGACAACATCTGATCTAATCCCCAAAATACTGTATCACCTGGTACATAATCCCAGGCATTGTACATGTGCTAAGCTAGTATAAGCTATGCACGCATCTCTGATCAAGCTCTTCGAGTTGTGTGCTCTGACCCTCTTTGCATTCACACACTGTCATTCTACATTCACATTGGTGTGATCAGGGAGTGGTCTATACGACTCCCTGGTGTGATGGTGCTGCACACGATGCGCTGCCGTAGGAGGCATAGCAACTAGTCTAGGGTGCTGCACATTTTAAAACGCCTTGTCGAGAAGTTACTTACAGTCATGTAGGTTGACGTTCCAAACGTGCACGTGTTCCCTTGGCCTGTTGCCTGCACTGTAGGCTGCAGGCCTGTGAGCTCAATAACAGTTACTGTTACTTCTTTGAAGTATTCTTCCATTCTTCTATCGGTTACATGGAGTGACCTGTCACCACAACTTACTTCGGCACAAGTTCAGGCAAGCGGGAAAGAAACATGAAGGCGGTGGTGTACGGAGGAACCATTCTAGTGACACTGTTCCTTATCAGTATGTACACGCTCCCGCCGTGGCTCATCGGCATAGCACAAGGACGACACTAATAACCTGTCCCGTGCGGAATGCGCCTTAGAAACGAGCCGCATGCAGCCAAGTACTGTAGAGTAGATCTACGAGTGTACATTCAGCACCGCGGTTTATCATGGTTTATAGGTAAGGGTAACAAGACTAAAGGTTTGCTAGACGTTCGCCTTGTGCACGCACCGTGTACTGGTCACGGCTGGAGACTGGTAACATGTAGACCCGCTATCTACTTGGGCTGAATTATGCTTTGGAACGTTTGGGAGACAATAGACGTGATGGTGTTTTGCACTTGTAGATGCCATGTTGGTCGATTGGAACACTGATGCACCGGTGGACACGAACAAGGCCACCTTCACCGTGTGTTTTGCAGTAGCAGTACCAGTCTCGTCCTTTTACTATAGACTTAGTAGTATAGTATAGGACGCTGCAACCGTGAATGCTTCACTGCCGTCCAATTTTTAGCACTTACTTCTCCCGCCGCCTATCCACAGGTACGGGGAAAACGCAGAAGTGATTGGAACCAGTCCTAGACGCGTTCCATTCTGGAGACAAGCAGCGAGGCGGCAACAAGGCAATTCTCCTTTAGCACGTACATGTAGAAAGCCTCTGAACAGCTATCCATGAGCCACTAGCAGCCACTCAGAACGTTCCACGGATCGTATATGAACATGAGCATGTACAATGACATTCCTGCCATGTACATGTATGCGGTACATCATGCTTACACAGATTTCCTCCTCAACCATATTCTTTGTGGCACATGGAAATAGCACTTTGTTTAATTTAACCGGTGCTGTTTGTAGCACCT